AAAAGAAGAGGAAAGAAAAAAAAAAAACGCGACAGTCCATCAATCAATCCCATCGGTCAAGAAGATCCACCCAAATCTTCTTCCCAACCCAAACCAGCTATATCCACCCAGTCGCGTCGATCAATACAAAAAAGCATTCCCTTCTTCCAACACACACACAGCTCGCTCGCGGCAGCTGGTGCGTATTTTGGTTCTTCTTCAATCCTTCCATCCGTTCAATCCATCAATTCCATCAATTACAAACACAATACATGGGGGGAAGCCCAAAAAAAGAAAAAAGAAATCCGTGCGAGGTGTTGTACACCATCCCTATGTTGTTATGCTTTCTACAATCCCCCCTTCCATTGCGGCAGTATGTATTATGCATTACTTGCCGAAGAAAATCAAAGAAAACAGAAACATATCTAATAATCCCACAAGCCTTGACTCCATATCGTGATTCGCATTTTTTTTGTTGTTGACACGTCCACTTTGGCGAAGCAGTTGACTGAAGAGAAGAAAGATCAAACAGCATCCACACCCGAAGGTTGAGTACCAGCTTTAACCTCCTTTCCACTCGGGCTCGTTTCTCTTCCGGATCCAGAAGCCGCTGGGTCATTGGTGCTATTGCTGTTCTTTCGACCCCGAGAAGCAGCCTCTTCGGCATCAAGTCTCTTTCGCCAGTCAGCAAGGCTACCGCTGAGACCCTCCTCTTTGCCATCGATCAACTTGGTGGGAGATCGCTCGTCGAATTCGAAGTTGTTGCTCAGACGATAGTTCTTGTTGGTAGTTTCCCAATGCGTACGGAGAGTCTCCAGCTCACTGGCAAGACTATCGAGAGCCAAAGAGTTGCGGCCATTATCGTTGCCATACAATGAAGTTTCGGAAACACTTTCGGCGGCTGAGATTGTGCGTGAATGGGAGGCGGCCGCATTTGCGGTGCTTGTATCGACTTGACGTGATTGACGACGGTAATTATCGACAGAGGATTCAACCTGATCTAAGAGTAATGATACCTTTTGTTCGGCATCCTGGGCTCTTCGCTCAAGCAAGGTATTTTCTTGGTGTAGTTGGGAAAGTTCAGACCTCACTTGTTGAGCCGACTCCAATTGTCGCTGAGTTTCCTCATGACCCTCTTTGAATGAGTCTCGTTCTTGCTGTACAAAAGTAAGCTCCCGTCTGACATCATTCAGCTGCAGCTCGAGTTTTTCGCTGGTGGATTTCATTTCCGCCTGTAATGTCTCAATCTGCTTGCTCAAAGCGACTCGCTCAGTTTCCCATTCAGCTGGCGCAGACTTGGATGCTGCACGCTCCTCAGCTTCACTCAATTGCTCCTTCATGCTCTTATTGTCAGATTTGTATTTGGACAACTCGTCTTTCATGCGTTTAAGCATTTTCTCGGTACCCTTCACGTAATGAACCGCGGACTGATAATCGTGTTCAAGTTGACCTATCTTCTCCCGATAAGTGGCCTCGGCTTCTTGCTCACGAACTTTATACGTTGCCTTAATATTCTGGTTGGCCTCGCGAGTCTCGGCAAGTTGGTGTTCCAGCTCTCGGACTCGAGAAGCATCAGGAGTATTTTGACCAGACTGAGGACTGGAAAGACCTCGGACGCGAGCGGCACCTGCTGGACTGATACCACGTTCACCCAGGATATCTTTGAGAGTGTTGTGCTGAACATTCACAGCATTTGATTCCAATTGCTGGTTCTGCAATTTGTACTTCATCTCCGAGTTGGCAGCTTGGAGAGTTTGGACTTCTCGCATATTCAATTGGAGTTGCTTGCGAATGGACATGCCTTCTCTGCTCGCTTGTTCCTGGTAAGCTTCCAGACCAGCGATGCGTTCTTCTGCACTGCGCAATTTCTCAGAGGCGGTATTAGCGGCTGCTTGGTACTTTCGGACGAGGGCATTGGCGGCCACGACTTGAGCTTGCAAGGCATTTGAACGCTCATCACTACCAGAGTTTGGAGAAGCAAGATCACGAGTAGCGACCCTGTCCAGACCTGAGAGAACGGCTTGTCGATGGGTTTGAGCTTCCTTTGCGTGTTGCTCAGCCAACTCTTCTGCATTTTGAAGTCTTCTAGAAGCGGCTTCCAATTCCGCACTCTGGGATTCATGCTCTGCTTTAAGCTGCACGAGTTTAGACTCAACAATCTCCCGCACCGATCTCTCTTCGTCGAGTTTTCGTTCTAGTAGATTTCTCATATCAGCCGAAGTGGAAATAGCATCTCGGAGAGAGTCGAAAGTTTCGCCGTGGTCCTTGGAAGAGCCAAGGGCCTCGTTGTACTTTTTCTCAAATTCCTCTTTGTCGATCTTCAAAAGCTGCGCCGCTGCAACGGCCTCTGAGTAAAAGATTGCGTCCTCGCGCGCTTTTGTCTGGAATTCGTGTAGCTCAGCTTTCAACTGCTCCACCTCCGAGGAATTCTGTTGTCTGTACGCCTCCAGCTCAGCCATTCGGGTTTGGACAGTATTTTGAGAGTCCTCTGCTAACTTTCTGCCTCTTCGTTCCGACTCGAGTTCAGCAGTTAGCATCTCAAGGTTGTTCTTAAGATCCCGTTGTTCTGCCAATGCTGCGGCCAGCTTTCTGCTAATATCCGTTGAACGATCGTTTGACAACGCACCTAAATCTCGAGCATCGCTATCCGGTTGAGGGGTGCTACTTTGACTGCCTCCATGTGCCGCTAGCTTAGCTTTGGCATAGACAGCTTCCCGAACGGCGGCATCACGTTGTTTCTCAACCTCCGCAATCTGTTTTGCCGCAACAACCGCTTGCTTATCTATCGATGCTTGAACGTTGGTAAGCTCTTGCTTCAAGGCAATCAAAGCTTCAATCAATGGCTTATCGTCGTCATCAAAAGATTCAGCCGCTCTGGCATCGAGCGCTGGACTACCAGAAGGATTTGGCGTATAACCAGCCTTTCGAGCCAATTCAAGCTCGGATGCGTACCACGCATTTCGATTCTTGGCTGCATCCAATTCCTTCAAGAGAGTAACCGTTTGAGAATTTCGGGCAGAACCTCGACGGCTGAGCGGATTACTCGGCTGTCTGGTAGGAGGAGGTGGTGAACTGGTGCGGTTGTTGGTGACATTTCTTAAAGAGGATTCGTTACTGCTGTCTACCGATCCTTGCTGGCGATTTGTCCTGGACTTTGATGATGACCTTGTTGCACCAGTAGGTGGCATGCTAACCGGTGGTGCGTTTTCGGATACAGGTTTGGAGGCTTGTTGACTCGTTGGGGTACGGCGCCCATTTGTTATTGGACTTTCCCTCTCCTTGGGGCCAGGTGACATTGTGCGGTTCTGTTGTGCGGAAGATAGGGCAGTATCAACCGCCGGTCCAAATCCCCTTTCTTGTCTTGCCGGTGGCTTCCCTCGCCCATTTACTTGCGCGTTCCCTTGCCCATTGGCCGGTTGTGGCGGTCCGTTTGGTAGTGGCCCTCGAGGAGCCGCTGGAGGTTGTTGCTGTGGAGGGGGACCAGAAGGAGCTTGTTGCCCTGGTGCCGCTCTTGGGAGTTTGGAACCACCAGGAGGGGAAATGTGGCCTGAAACTTGTTGAGCTTGGGGCCCTTGTGGTTGTGCTGAACCCGGCGCGACTCCATTACTATCATTCCCATTGACTCCAGGCTGCCCATTACCACGCCCGTATGGCGGACCTTGCGTATTCTCTCGAGGGGGGCCATTCATTCTCTTTGGTTCTGGAACCGAACCGCCTTCCCTGGAAGTCAACCCACGATTGGCTCCCATAATCGCTTTTTCCCCACCGCTCGGGGCTCTGGTTCTTTGACCTGCGACACGCTCACCGGAAGGAGTCTGCTGTATTTGTTGGTCGTTAGGATAGCGAATCTTGCTAGTATCGAGCAGGTACACAGTTGCAAGGTCGGTTGCCTCCCTGGTTGCCGTACTTGGTTCTCCGGCAAGAACAACGACCGTCTTTCCATATGCTGTCATACTATGCCCGGAACGTGGTGATGGTGATGGTCCCATATTCTGAAAGGTGTACCACCGCCTGGTAGATATTCGAAATGCCGCGAGGTCGCCTAAATCTGTTCCTTCTTCCGTTCGTCCACCAAAGATATACATTACATCATCCACAATTGCTGCAGCATGTCCTTCTCTGGGAGCGGGAATATATCCAATACAGTCGAGGGCAGCCCACGCATTAGTGATCGGATCGTAGCACCAAACATCATTAAACCATTGGAATCCATTAGTTCCTCCAAATCTATTCAAATTAGAATTCTTCTTTGATGCACTCAATCGCCACTCACAAGTAGAGTTTTTCATTATAGGCCACGACGGAATGATTTGTTCTCGCGGGAGGTACTTGTCCAGCTGGTGGTCCTCCTTCCTCGGAATTGCGCAGAAGCATCTCCCATCGATTGGCTGGATTTTGTAACTGGTTTAAATCAAATGCTACTAGGTCGTTCATGAAATATCCTTCGACTTGACCTCCAAATACATATATTTTCGATCCAACAATATTCAGCGAATGGCCGTATCTTCCGGATGGTCGCGGTCCGGCTGGTACTGCTCTCGACCATTGTCGGGTTGCTATTTGGATTAGTATTATTTAAACAATCGCACTCTTCCAACCTACAAGTATTCAAAAGGTACAAGGTTTCGTCGAGGACATCTGAGTCCTCCATCTTCGTGTCTCCACCATAAACAATGAAAGCGTTTCCAACTAGTAAACTGGCATGCCCGACTCGGGGTCCTGGCCCTTCCGCGGTTGTTGCCAATGGGTAGCATGCCATACTCGCATTTCCTCCAGCCTCTACCATCCACAAATCGCCTTTGACTGTCGAACTGTTAATGAGACCACCCATCAAATAGATGTCGCCCTCTTTCGAGGAGACCGAATTGACGGCGGCGCCATATCTCGGGAAGGGGCTCGGATGCGAAGTTGTATATGTCAGTTCCCGGCGGGACCATGGGTATAAGGACGCATTTGGATTCGAGTTCATGGGAGGGCGATTCGTGTTTGCACCGTTCCGTAACTGTGACATGTTAGAATCTGTTCTCCCTTGGCCAGCTGCAATCGCGCATTGCTCGTTCGTCCTCTGGATGAGCTGCGGGCGACTTACAGGTAAATCGTGCGATGGCTCTGGATTTGATCCTGGTGCTCGTCGGCCTCCATTGAGCTGCTCCGGACTGGGAGTCGCATTGCCTCCTCCTCCTCCTCCTTGGAACGATGTGATTGGATTGTTTACGCTGCTTCCTGGCGTCGAGGCTTGCACGGGAGCCTTCTCGTTCATGCGTGTATTTGATGCTTGCGACCCTGCAACATCTCTCGTGGCTTGGGCTTTCTCAGCATTCTTCTTGCTCTTGAAGAGGAAAGCCATCGTGCCATCCGAGGCGGTCGCCCGCGCGTACTATTGATCTGCTAAGGTCGCTGGAAGGGCGAGATGTGTGGTGGAAGTCCCAAGTCTCGAGGCGCGGAGGTTCGTAAGAAAAAGGAGGCTGTCTGAGCGCCGGTGGTCCCCGTGTAAGGTTGGGAATGGCTGGGGATTCAGTGCCGTGATCAACGATCGTCACGCTTCATTAAAGACGACGACCCGGCGGGTGGAGAGCAACTTGAAACTTGCAACCAGCAAAAGGTGAGCGAGGAGTGTTGATAGTGTAGGCGTGTAGGCGTGTAGGTTGTGTGTGGATGGGGTCGTCGTTGATGGATGAGGGCAGAGCAATGGATGTCGAGTCGGAGATTTTGCCTCTCAGGACGGACGAGTTGGGGCGTGCGAGTGTGCAAATTGGTGTTTCCAAGGATGTTGCTGTGCACCTGGGCAGCTCTGGAAAAAAGTGCGGCGGGTGCTGGTGGTGGTGGGTGTTCCAGCGATGGCAGGAAGACAGGAGGAGGCAGGCGGGAGCAGATGCGAGGATCCGGTANGTGCACCTGGGCAGCTCTGGAAAAAAGTGCGGCGGGTGCTGGTGGTGGTGGGTGTTCCAGCGATGGCAGGAAGACAGGAGGAGGCAGGCGGGAGCAGATGCGAGGATCCGGTAGGTACCTAGGCAGGTACAGGCAGGTACAGGCAGGTACAGTAGGTGTAGGTAGTCGGTACCTAATACCTAATCGATAGGGGCTTTAGCGGGCTTGGGAAGGTCGCAGGCGTAGGCGTAGTGGGCAGAATTCAGCACCTGCAGGGCAGAAGGGCAGAAGGGCAGAAGGGCAGAAGGGCAGAAGGGCAGAAGGGCAGAAGGGCAGAAGGGCAGCACCTGCATTCGTTTAACAGCTGGAAATACGCTCGCCTGACACTCCAACGGCCAAGGACCAGGGCCAGGACCAGGAGCCTATGAATAGCATCACCGTTGGTATACGGCGACGGCGTACTCGTACCTGTACGGAGTACAGGTACAAAGCAGGACCATGGGACACGGAGAACGAATCGTAGCATGTACGGAATCACTCAACTCAGTGTACTTCGAAGTAGAAGGGTTCAATGCTGTATTGCAATTGTACTCGAGTACGTGTCAGATCATGCACCCAAGCTGCTCTCCCCTCTCCCTTCCCGCTTCCAATGCATGAGGTTCGTGTTCTCCATCAAGGTATATCTTGTGGTGTACTCGAGTGTACACTCCGTACCCAGGTAGGAAAGCATATAAGCACTGCACCTATGACTATACTTCGAAGTAGTATGCACAAATATGGGTCGAGATTACGAGTGCCTGGATACAAAGTCTTAGCAAAGAGGGGATTGGCAAGTCTGCGTCTGGCATCAGGGATTGCCGTCTCTGGAAATGGCCCAACTGCGGGCGGTCTCTCTAAGTCCCAAGATTTGTCGACAATCCACAATCCACTGTCCACATGGCACGTGCTGGTCAAATTAGCATGCGAGGCAGCGAGGGAGCGAGGGCATCTAGGCATGTCCTTAATCCCACCAAGTGTCTGTGTTTCACCAGACAGACTTTCTTTCCTCCACGAACTTCGTCATCCCATCTCCGTAGCAGTAGAGTACTTAGTACTCAACGCTCACATCTGGGGGAGATGGTTGTGTGGACGTGTGGCGTCTATCGGACTCTCACAGCCAGATCTTGAGCAGAGGCCATTCGGGGGTTTCCAGTACCGGTAGCTGCGGTTGCACTGCCGTGGAAGCCTCGAAGACGTTGCCGCTGTCGAATGGGGCTGAATATCAAAATCGTCAAGAAAAAAAGGTATGGGACCACGAAGGCACATGCCCATGGCGCCAGTAGTGTAGTGCTACCGCTCAGATCCTACAAAGGAAATCCTACGGCCGCTTCCAAGAGTAGGTTGACGGTTGACCTACTCTCGACATAACTATTCCGGCAATTCAGATAGAAGTAAGTGCGAGAGATGCTGGCAGGTCATTATTATCGAGATTGATTCAAGGACCCATTCTGCAAGTAAGCAAGCATCTGCATCCCAAAATACTCCCTCACATACATCTTGCTGCACGGCGATGGAGAGGACCGGATTTCCTGTGCGTCTGGGGAACGTTAAATGGGGTCATCGCAATGCCATGCGCAGAACGGGGATTGGTTCGCTGAATACTCGTAGCATGGCCTCTCCCTCTTCCAATCGCTGCCCCATTACGAGTACTCCAGCATTTTGGATTTCGGGGTCGCTGTTTCTGAGTTATCGATAGTGCCTGCAAGAAGCCGTTGCCTCCTGGTACAAGTAAGGATAAATCTGACAACATCATCTATCTACCCGAAATAATGATGTCAAGGAAAGGAGGAGCTCGGAGAAACTGTCTTACTTTGAAGTAAGTTTGCTGACAGGGAAATCTTTAAATTCCGAGTTTGTCCATCCTAGTGGAAGGTAGACCCATCCATGTCTTGGGGATATTGACATACGGGGTATTACAAGAACCGCATATATATCGTATTGCTAGAAGAGGCAGTGGGATCAATCTGAAAGAAGAGTCGGAAATACGAATTTATACTAGACGTAGTTGACGACACTGATCTATAATGCCTGAAAAACGACCATATATATTATCTGACGGTTCTCAAGATCTTAAGTCAAAAGCTTGCTTATACTCAAAGAGTTACTACCTACAGTAGTTCCTTATGAGTCTTTCAATAGTACCTTAGGTCCTTAGCTTTGAGCAAATCTGTATACAAGAATGTGATAAGGGATCTCCTTCTCCTTGATATCACTGGATACAGGGAAGTGGTTACCGGTACAGATGGTAAGAGGTGCATAGAATCCTTCTGGCACAGTGACAGAGAGGGTGACGGTGACAGCGGCTAGAAGGCTATGATTGTACAACAGAGTGTAACTGGATGACAGCATCAAACTTTAAACATCGCGATGGCGGTGTGTAACTGATGGGAATCATTCAATGTCTTATTCACAACTTGTACAGTACAGTAGCTGCGGAAATGAGCGTATTCATGTCTACAGAGCTTGAGTAGATAACCTCTACGAAGGAGAACATGGAACAACCTTTGACCGATTCGCAAGCCACACTAGCCACAGGTTTAAGCAACTAAAAAGCGGCACTAACTCGCCTGACAGCATAGAACTCTAGAGATTGAATATCAACCAAAATGTATTCATACCAGATCTATATGAGTAATACAAACAAAATCATAGGTTGAATCATCTCAAGTGGTCTTGTGACCGTAGCCACAAGTGGGAGCACAATAACATATCCAGATTCACTTGAACGTTGGGTAGTTGGTGGTGGTGGTGATGGTGGTGGTGGAAGATGGTGGTTGATGTTGATCGCCGCTTTTCCAAACGGATTCCTGCCTCTTTTTTGGGGGTAGACGAGGCTGTCGTCGGCTTCTCTCTCAGCCAATAACAACTGCGCTACATTTGGGCTGGTACTTGCATGTCCCGTCAGAGTCGTTGAAGCTGTGAAAGTGAGGACGCAGCACGTCTGCTCTTCTACTCTTGAGAACAGCCTGCCCAGCTCCAAATTGATCGCAGGTACACTCCCTACACTCTGTACACTCTAATACACTCTGGATGGGGAAGGCAACAGAAATTTGAAGTCAGCTTCAAAGTCGCGCCGATCTGATAGTAAGTTTCCCTCAACTTTCCGCCGACTGATACTGGACCACTGCCCCGACCCCACAACCACGCGACCACGGTACAAGAGATCGGAACCAAATGCCATAACCACAACCACAACCACACCAAACCACTGTCCAACTGTTGATCTGCGCAGTTCAAATTGGACCGATCTCGACCGATCTCTCTTCAAGTGCGCGCACTTTCTGGAGGCTCCGCTAACTTCCCACTCAATAGGTTCTGGTCATCATATTGATGAGTTCATAGGGCTCCTGAGAAGCTAGCTCTTCTCTTCAGCGCGACAATGACGGCGGTAGCTGTACAGCACGCTGGTTCGCACCAACCACCGATTTCTCAAACAAGTCCTCTGTCCTCCAACATGCCTCTCCCCAATAATACACAAAGCTATACGAGCCCTTCGCATATGCGGCAGGAGCCACCCCTTCAAAATGGCACTTCAGGTCCTGTCAATCCAAGACCAGCTGTCAGTAATGACCCTGTCCAGCATGTACCCATAGTCAACGGAAATCATACTTCCCAAATGGGAGTTGATTCACAAGCAGAACCGACCTCAAATCCCAATATACCACTGAAAGGCAACGATGCGGTGAAGGGTCGCCGGGCTTCCTTACAATCGCGACCAACCTCAGCACCTGGATCTAACGCAGAGAATGAGCAAGAGGGATCCGATAGAGATAAGAAGAATCAGAAACCAAAGGCCTTGGTGCGATCAAAGAGTGATTTTGGTCCGAGAGGAGAGGAAGCAAATGCAGCAGCACAAGAGGAGGAGGAGTGGCAAGGTTGGGGCGCGCGACATGGATTTGAAGACCATTATGCTTCGGAAGAGTATGTTTCGCAGCTTGCAAATGTAGGTATTTTCCTTTTTTATAAAGTTCTAGACTTGAAGCATGCAGCTCCAGGGACTGCCAATCGGGTAGTACCCGCCCATGCATCTCTAGATCTGGGAGACAATAGCAACCACTGCTATTGTGTCTTCGGAAATGAGCGAAAGAATGGAGGATTCACCACAGGTTGACAGCCTCAAATCCTTCTCTGCTAGCACCCATGTTGACCGCCATGTCTGGGACCAACTAGACCAGTGATGTGGTCCCTTGATCAGGTCATTCAAGGATACCAGCGCAGGGCGTCGTTGCTGTGTTTCTAGGAAAAGTTGCGAGGACCATTATAGAAACGAAGAAGCTGACGAGAAATTACAGAATTGGTACATGTACTTTACCGACAAGAGACATGAGACGGCGGGAAATCCAAAGGCCTTAGGCTACGAACTCCAAGACTGGCGAATGAAAGACCGACTGAAGACCGTTTCTGCGGCACTAGCGATTTGTCTGAATATCGGCGTTGAACCACCAGACCAGCTCAAAACAGTCCCAGGAGCAAAGCTAGAGGCATGGCAAGACCCAACCCACCCTCCTGTTCAAAAAGCACTTGACACCATTGGAAAGTCTCTACAGGCACAATATGAGACCCTCGCCATTCGAACCAGATACAAGCAATACTTGGATCCTTCCGTAGAAGAGACCAAGAAATTTTGCGTGTCCCTCCGACGAAATGCAAAGGATGAACGAGTTTTGTTCCACTACAACGGTCATGGTGTCCCAAAGCCAACCGCCTCGGGAGAGATTTGGGTCTTCAATAAGAATTACACTCAATACATACCAATCTCTCTTTACGACCTCCAAACATGGCTTTGTGCCCCCACCTTTTTTGTATGGGATTGTTCAGATGCAGGCAACATTCTCAGCAATTTCAATCGCTTCGTTGATAAGCATGAGCAAGAAGAAGAGGAAGCCTTGGCCAAGGACCCTACATACCCTGCAGTCAGCTTCAAACCATATATACACCTGGCGGCATGTGGTGTGAAGGAGAGTCTCCCAACCAATCCCCTTCTGCCTGCAGATGTGTTTACGTCTTGCCTGACCACTCCAATTGAGATGGCCTTGTGGTTTTTCGTGTTACAGAATCCTTTACCGTCCCAACTCACACCCGAACGAGCCAAAAAGCTGCCTGGTAGGCTGCAGGAACGAAGAACACCACTGGGAGAATTGAATTGGATCTTCACTGCGATCACAGACACCATAGCTTGGACGACTCTTCCTAGACCACTCTTCCGCAAATTCTTCCGACAGGATCTTATGGTAGCCGCTCTGTTTAGGAATTTTCTCTTGTCTCAACGAATCATGGGCGCATATAACTGCCATCCTCAGTCTTATCCAGAACTGCCTGATACCCACCAACACCCCCTATGGGAGAGTTGGGATCTTGCGGTTGAAATGGCTCTTGCACAATTGCCTATGTTGGAGGAGAAGGAGCAAGGTCTTCGTGACTACGAGTTTCAAAATTCAAACTTTTTTTCGGAACAACTTACCGCTTTCGAGGTCTATCTTACTCAAGGCGCCATTGAGCACAAAGCACCAGATCAACTCCCCGTTGTTCTTCAAGTCCTTCTCAGTCAGCAACACCGAGTGAGAGCTCTTATCTTGCTAGGAAAATTCCTTGACCTTGGACCTTGGGCCGTCAACCTAGCTCTCAGTATCGGCATCTTTCCATATGTGCTCAAGCTACTTCAATCCGCCGCCCCTGATCTAAAACCAGTGATGGTGTTCATATGGACTCGTGTCTTGGCTGTTGATCTGACTTGCCAACAAGACCTTTTGAAGGATTCCGGTTACACCTATTTTGCCAACATATTGAAGCCAAATGAAGGCCTACCTGTTGTGGATAGTCTCGAACACAAGGCAATGTGCGCCTTCATTCTTGCCATGCTTTGCAATGGTTACAAGCAGGGACAGATGGTCTGCAATCAGAGTGAAATTATGACGCACTGTTTGACGCACCTTCAAAACTGCGAGAACCCTCTCTTGCGACAATGGGCATGCTTGTGTATAAGCCAACTTTGGGCTAACCTTCCTGAGGCAAGATGGCGAGGTATCCGGGAAAATGCCCCTACAAAACTGTGCACTCTAGTGCAAGACGTCTGTTGCGAGGTTCGGGCGGCTATGCTTTATGCTATGACCACATTCTTGGGAATTCCAGATTTGACCGATGAAGTTGCGCGCGTTGAGGAGGCGATATCCTGGACTATCATGGAACTGGCTTACGATGGCAATGCTATGGTCCGCAAAGAGCTGCTGGTGTACTTCTCGAAGCTCATCCGACGATATGAGAACAAATTCTTTGTGGTTGCATATGAGCAGCTTGTCGAGGAACGGGACTACCGCCAGTCTCCTCCTCCAGAGGATGGCCTTGATTATAAGATGGGCCTTCACTATGCAAAGGCATCCAATCGAAATCGCGATGGTACAATCAAGGTTGCCGCGCAGGGATTTGGCCACAACTCCATTTTCGCCACTGTATGGAAGCATGTTCTGATTATGGCTGTTGACCCACATCCAGAGGTGCAGCGTAACGCAACTATCATTGCCGATTGGGTACATAGCTCCATGCTGCAATCACCACTCGGTCGAGCCGCGCAAACAGTTATAGATGACATCTATAGGCGGGCACCCAGACCTGCTACGGCCAACCAGCAGGCAAATCAGCGACCTGTCACGCCGAAGCACCAGGACTCGCCATCATCCGGCCCTAACTTTCAACCTGGACTTCTCAAGCGAACGGCTAGTTATTTGTTCACCCTCCCATTTGGTGGCTCTTCTGATAATACCCCTAATGACTCTGGTCGAAATCATCCTAAATCAACAAATCAACGAAATTCTCTTCCATTGCGGAGTAGGCTTCCTGCTGATCCAGATCCAAACGACATCGCTGCAACTCCCGGTACCTATCATGCTGCTAGAGAGCCTGATTCTGGTGGTTTCACTCCTCGTGATATGTCTGTGCCTCCCCAGCTGCCACTACAAAGTACCTTCTTGGAATGGTCCATTGAGTATTTCCGTGAGCCACAGATGAAGCCTAATGAAGCGGAAGAACCTGGTAGTACCGACTATAATGAACGTCTTTGGCGACGATCTCGAAATGAGGGTATCCTTCGTGACACTCAACCGCAAAAGGAGACGGCCGGGGCAGGAAAGTGGACCAACCCGGCTGGTTTCTTCAACAATCAGAGTCAACCTTCGAAGATGACGTTCCATCAATTTGAAGACCATCTTGCTGTTTCTGATGACCGAGATACCATCTGTATTTGGGACTGGAAGAAACAGGACAAGTTATGTCGTTTTTCAAATGGCAATCCGGAGGGCTCCAAGATCAATGACATGCAGTTTATCAATGAAGATGACCAGGCCTTCCTACTTACTGGATCGTCTGATGGAGTTATCCGGATATACCGAAATTACGACTCTGATAAGAAAATCGAAGTTGCATCTGCTTGGAGAGCTCTGACGCACCTTACGGCTGCCTCTGCTAATTCAGGTATGGTTCTTGATTGGCAACAAGTTTCTGGGAAATTGCTCGTGGCTGGCGATCGGAGGGTCATCAGAGTTTGGGCAGCTGCACCTGAGATGTGTATAATAGACATTCCCGCTCGATCAGCTGCTGCCGTGACCTCGTTGACTTCCGATCAAATGACCGGCAATCTCTTCGTTGCAGGATATGGTGATGGGGCGCTGCGTGTGTTTGACTTGCGTATCAAGCCCGCCGAGTCAATGGTCAAGAAATGGAAGGATGATGCGGATCCAAACTGGATTAAGAGTGTGCACATGCAGCGAGGAGGACAACGTGAGCTTGTTTCAGCAAGTCACAATGGAAAGGTGAAGCTATGGGACATTCGGATGGATAAGCCTTTGAAAGTATTCCGTACGACCAACGATGGCTTGAAGACAGCTAGCACCCATGAGCATTGCCCTGTCTTTGCTGTGTAAGTTCTACCTTCTTTGCGTCACATTACCTCATAACTTACTTGAATTCTAGTGGAACCGGCAACCACAGCGTCAAGGTCTTCAACTTCGATGGCAAAGAGCTGTCACGGGTCGAGCCATACTCGGGCTTCCTCCACCAAGTTCGACAAAGTGCCATCTCAGCAACTTCCTTCCATCCTCATCGCATGATGTTGGCTTGCGCAGCCAGAGGGGATAACCATGTCAATCTGTTCACTGTTGCCGAGAAGAAAGGGCCTCTACCGGATTATGTTATGTGAGCGTTACACGGTGGTATCGTTCAATTTGATTGATAAGCGGGGGGTGCGATTTGTTTTTTGCGCCAATGCGGATTTACCCAGGAGTTTATGGCACAGTGAATGTGCGAGGTTTGCTTTTTATTGAGCGTTAGGCCCCTACAAGGGAGAGGCTTGCATTGAGATGAAAGATTTGGCGGCACTGAACCCGGCTGATTGATTTGACGAGGGGTTGGGGTGTCTACTTGCCTTGCGCCTATGCTGGTGGGCTGGCTGGCTTCATCTGGCGCTTCAAAGCTGGGCTGGCTACACCTACATATGATGGTGCAGTAATGATTAATTTTTCCGATGGTTTGTTTTGCGGTGTTTGTATAGTACTGGACCGACGGTTGGTACATCAGGGACGTGCGATCTTGTTAAAGCATGGCATAGCGAGGGATGATGCGCTTCTAATGCAAATCATAATTGCAATTCTCTTGTAGCTATGGGGGGACGATTCTCGCAAGGTCTGCTTCTTTTACCATGTAGATGTAGAACTCAAATATTAGATTATGGAAAAAACTTGCCACTTTGTCTATTGATTGATCGCCTAATGTTGTGTGTAATTCAGCCTTATTTTTTGGTGGGGGTGGGTCTACAGCCTCGGACTGCCCCTCCTTTGGCGAGCTGCAAGGGTTTCATGCCGATTGCTCATACCTCTCATTTCTTCCATAACCCCACCTCACATCCCTCAACGAGTCCTATCTATACCAAAGGACCACGCAACACTCCCCTTTTCTTCTGTGCAAATCGGCCAATCTTTCAACACACAAACCAAACACGAAAATGGCGTCCGAACAGCCAAAAGAAGTTCCTACCGACCCCGCCCTCGCACCTCCCGCCGAGGGAGCGGCAGCTGGTGAAGCCGGCGAAGGAGCAGCAGCACAATCCAAGAAGGGCGCCAAAAAGGCCGAAGCCAAAGCCAAGAAGGAAGCCGAAAAGGCACGGAAAGCTGCTGAGCGCGAGGCTGCTGCTGCTACTCAATCTGCTGCCGCGCAAGAGGACCACGCGAAGGAGAACTATGGGGATATCCCCAAGGATAAAAAGATCGAGTCGGCGTATGTGATGTTGCGAGATGTGAGCGAGGAACATATTGGCAAGACCATTAAGCTTAGAGGCTGGATCCAGAATGCTAGGATGCAGGGGGCGAAGATGGCGTTCTTGGAGTTGAGGGAGGAGGGAGCCTGGACGGTGCAGGGAGTTGTGGCTGCCAGTCCGGAGGGGAAACCGGTCAGCAAGCAGATGGTCAAGTGGATTGGGGCTCTGAAGCTGGAGAGTTTTGTGGCGTTGGAGGCGACGGTTCAGAAGCCTTTGGAGCCGGTTAAGAGTTGTAAGGTTAGTTTGTATGAGCTGCACCTTACTAAGGTGTATCTTGTTGCCCCGGCCCCAGAGATGTTGAGCTTGGGACTTGCGGCTGCTGGGAGAGCTGTCTCGAATTTGGAGGATGAGGCGGTTGGTGAGGGTGTTGAGAAGGCTGTTGAGAGTGTGTATCTCTGGTTCTGTGGTTTTTGAAATACTAATAGCTTCAGATTTGAGCATTGCTGGAGCACCAGGAGCCAGTCTTGCAACCCATCTCAACAACCCAGCTATGCACAAACGAGCTCCAATTAGTCAAGCCATTGCTGACATCAGAATCGCTGTCGAAGACTACTTTTGCGAATACCTGAAAGCCCGTCGCTTCAAGCGTTTCCATCCTCCAAGTTTGATTGGCGCTGCCTCGGAAGGTGGTGCTAACGTTTTCGCGATGAACTACTTTGACAAGCAAGCCTATCTGGCACAATCACCTCAATTTTACAAACAATTCGAAATTGCTGGTGGTCGAAAGAGAGTTTTCTGTGTACACCCAGTTTTCAGAGCTGAGAACTCGAATACCCCAAGACACATGACTGAAGTAAGGACTTTGTGCTGCTTAATTCGCAAGAAGTACTAACAGTTAAATAGTTCATGGGTCTCGATATGGAAATGGAAATCGAAGAGCACTACCACGAAGTACTAAAGATGCTCGAGGGTGTCTTCATCTACATCTTCAGCAAATTGGCCGTCGAATTCAAAGAGGAAATTGAACTTATTCGTTCAGTCTACCCCTCTGAAGAATTCCTCCTTCCTGAATCAGGGAAAGAAGTCCGTCTCACCTTCGCAGAAGGACAAGCCCTGCTCCGTGCCGAAGGGCCACCAGAATTCGCCAACGTAAGCGATGATGAAGACATGACCACCGCACAAGAAAAGGCCCTCGGAGCCCTCATCCGCAAGAAATACAAGTCCGATTTCTACGTTCTCGACAAATTCCCCGTCGACGCTCGTCCCTTTTATGCTATGCCTGACCCGGAGAATCCCAAAGTCACTAACGCATACGATTTCATGATGAGAGGCCAGGAGATTTTGTCTGGTGGACAGAGATTACATCTACCGCATGAACTGGAAGCTACGATTCGGGCTAAGGGGTTGGATCCTAATCAACCGGGTTTGAAGGAGTATGTGGATGTTTTTAGAAGTGTGGGTGTGCCGCCTCATGGAGGTGGAGGAATCGGTCTCGATCGAGTGATTGCGTGGTATCTGAATCTTCCTAGTGTGCAGCTGGTTGCCGATTATCCTAGGACGCCTAAGCGTTTGGGTCCTTGAGTGGATGTTAAGTTGCATTTATTGGGGATGACTGGCAATGGAAAGATGAATATGAACAGATGTGTGCTATGATGATCACAAAAATGGGCGCGGGGAAGAAAATAAAGTAGCTGATGATTGGGAATGTAGAGGAAAAAATGAATCAAGAGAAATCTATTGATTTTTTCTTGCTTTAATCTACCTAGTAACTTTTGGCGATGTATACAGCACCATTTACACGCTGCCATTCCTCTCGTCGATAAGATCCAGCGTAAGAAATGAGTAGAGTAGAGTGAGTAGTGGCACCTACTCTACTCTACTCAAGTATATTTTAACCCTACTCTACTCTACCCGGTAAGTACTAATAAAGTAGTAAGATACTTGGTCGTTACTCTGTACACACTATATAAAACTCTATTATACCAAAACTTGTAGTACAAGCAAAATAATTGTCTTAAAATACCTAGGTCAGTGAGAAATAAGAGTTCATAATTATGCAAGTTCTTTATATAACCATTTTAGTTGTACGACGGTTTTGGAATAATTTTATTCTAAGAGAGGCGTAGAGTATAGAGTAATAACCATGTCTCTCACTTAAGTACTATACAACTAGTACGGAGTAAGTCGGGAACTGGTCCGATGGCTCGGACGTAGCCCCCCCTATATATAAATTATAAGGGACGAAGAGAGCTATTATCTGGGGGAAATTATTTTGTACTTTACTTATATTAGTCATGTTACTACTACTTGAGTAGTACTGAGAAAGTACTTAAGTAGTCCAACTCAGTACTCGTTACTACTCAAATATTGGAATCTGCTACTCTGCTCTACTCTACTCGAATAGTGCTCGAGTACTACTTGAGTAGTTGAGTAGTTCTTGCATACGCTTTCAATAACGGCCACTCCCAACGTCGTTTCTAAGTTCCAAAACTACGCCCTGACTCTGTGTCATCGAGGTCGCTGTAAAACAGTCTCATTCTATAAACAATCAATTTATCCCTTTCATACTGTTCTGGAGAAATGGCCTGTTCTAGAAGTTGCTCGGGGCAGCTTTTCACAGACAATATCAAACAAGCCTATAAACAGATACTCGAGGTGGTTCGACTTTTATATACTGGATTGTCATCTCAATTGACCGCCAGCTAGACGAGAAGGCAACCCTTACATTGAACACCACATTTGATATCAATAACAAATAAGCTTCTTTTCATCACTCCTACAAACGCCATGTCGCCTCCCCAATCCCCCCGATACTCCAAGAACCAAATTCAGTACTACACCTCCCCCTTCGCCAAGTTACGAGCCACACGCCTAACCAAAAGTCTCCAAAACACAACGATAAAACTCGGCCCCTTGAACAATTGTCACATCGAAAAAGGAGCCGACTCCCTCTCCGGGATCCGCGAACGGAAGACAAACCAACGAGTAGAACTCGAGTACGTAGGCGACTACAAAAAAACCCGCCTCACATCCCTCGCCGCAAAATTCGTCCACAAACACTGCACGTCCACGAAAAAGGTCGTCACTGCCGCCGTCAACTCCGTTATCCACCAATCCTCACTCGATTATCAGAGAATGAAGCTGCTTCAAGCAGCCGCAGAAGACGGAGGAAAGAAAAATAGACTCCTGCGAGACTTCGAACCAGAAGCTGTGAGGATGCTAATCCGCATCAGTGCCGCCCTCCCCAGAGCAGAGATTGAAAACGCATTCAAGGCCCTTTCCCAACCAACTTGGCACCTCGGCACGGCGCTCTACGCAGAAGACCAGATTCGCGAGGAAGATGTAAATAGCGTCTACAACGCGAGCTTCCTCGGTCGACCGACTTGTATCATTAGTCCTCCTTCTTCCCTTACCGACCCCGCTCTCGTCGCTGCAATTGAAACATTCCGTGCTTGTCCCAGGGATGAGGATCCGGAGAATGTTAAGAGATTGAATCGGGAGCTGAAAAAACCTTCCAGACATCCTGGGGAGTATTTGGAGAGTGTGCAGACGGGGGATATTATCCGGTTCTCGTGGAGACGGGGGGATAGTGCGGTGCATTCGAGTGGGAATCGGGATGAGGGGAGGATCGTGGTGTTGCTTTCTTTTGGGAGGAGTGGGGAGCTGGTGGGCAGGTGGGAGGTGGGGTATCGGTTGCATTGAGGGTGAGGATGGGGCATGGGTGTTTTTTGGTTAAGTGTGTGGTTTGGGTTTGTGGAATATGTGTTTTGTGATGTTGGTGTTATGAATGTGCGTGGATGTTAGAAGTATTGGTAGATTGTAATAGCTCGCTTGTTAAATGTGGTTAAGCGAATCTCGAGATTTTGATGACTTTTTCTATTTTCGTGAGAACATTTCCAAGTATCAAATATTGTGTGGCATTAAGGCGTTTTAAAATTTTTAGGTAAGGCTTTTGTTTAGTTATATTATGTATCTGTGTTTCTGGTTTATGAAGTAAGAGAGGCGGGCATTACTCTATACACGCTATTAAAAGTCATTATTCCAAAAGTCTAGCACAACTTAATTAATTGTTCTATTTCACCTAGGTTAAGAAGGAGTGAAAAGTATCAACCATTCTAAATCATTCATATAATTGATTTAGTTATGTAAGGTCTTAAGGATAATATTTTTGTAACTCAGGAGTGTACAGAGTAATGCCCACCTCTCTTACTGGTGGTATATGTTTTGTGATATTAGCAGGATTTATGGTGAATGAGGATAGGGCTGTTTAGTAAACTATGGTGGGATATACATCCCACCCTACTACTAGAATACCACTTTGCTTCAACACCACCGCCATATCCACCATATGGTCAGCTACACTACTGTAAGCTCTTTTGTCCCACCCATATGCCCCTTGCTATTAGCTCGCCGTGCTATGTGCTAGCGCAAGTCTCAGAGGGGAACTTTATGTGTTGTGTGGTTCTGATTGGCTCTAGCATGCCTCTGTATGGCCGAAGTTATGGCCCTGCTCTATACTTTGTAAAGTTCGAGCACTTGGCGTATGCCATTTTTAATTAGGACTTTGTGTTCTTTCTTTTACAGGCTGTGTGCTTGTTTATAAGCTGTGTGCTTATTTTTAGTTAGTTACTACTCCCGCAAGGGACGCGTGGCCGAGGGTGCTTATACTTCGCTTTCCACTTCTCTATATGTGGGCGAATTTTAAGTACTTGAAGCTAGCCAGCAATACAAAAGCAAAACCAACAATAAGCCTCATTTGATGTGTGACTACTGACGAATAAACAAATAAAACCCCACAATAGCCTCTCATCTAACATGTGACGAATGGACGATAAAATGATGGTCTAATTGTGGGGACGTGCCTCGAGGTTACAATTACGAATCTCTGACAGTATTTTACTCAGAGAATGCCAGGTCCAAAGAGTAGAACCTTAAAGCAAGAGTTTTGAAAACTCGCGAGTCACTCAACTCAATTGCCATGCAAAACACCTTTGTTTCATTACTCATCGAATCAAGACAAGGTCTCACTGAAACTTTTAACAATGCTTCTGTTCATCCTTGTGTTTTTACGGCACTTCTCTTCTGGAACGAGCTCGAAAGTACTCCATTATTCTCGGAAGATGACTTGACGTTGAGTCTTGTGCCAGGAACAAGGGACGAAGAGGTTTATATGCATTGGCATGACCATCTTCTATGGTTAAATTCAAAGCAAACAACAAATCATGTTTTACGAACATTTTCACAGTATCTTATCTTATTTGTTCTTCGAAATCACTACAATGTCTGGTTCTGAGTCCACAACTTCTATTAGGGAGGAACTTCAACAATACATTTCTCCCTTCGCCAGAATTGGAACAACTAGTTCTAGTAATATTCTAGGAGATCTGGCTATCACCCTCAGGCGATCCAATAATGTTTACCCCATATCCTTCCGCCAAAGACAATCCCCCTACAAAGGCAAATTCAACTACCGCAACGCAGTCGACCACGCCACAAAATTTATCTTTCAACATAGCTCCGGCCAAAATCTCACATATGGAATGGTAGAAAGGGCGGTATCGTCCTTCATCACACAGTCCTTGCAAGACTATGAAAAAAAGAAGTCGCTGGAAGCCCGACTCAAGTCCAGTTCAAGGTCAAACTTCAAACCAGATGCATGCCACATGGTCATCCGCATCCACAAAGGATCACAGATCACTGACAGACTGGAAAACCACCACTGGCATGTGGATAATCTCTACAAGCCTGAAAGCCCAGGAGACGTCAATAGCCTCTATGCCGTTACCTTTCTCGGGAAACCCACACTTGTCCTCAAACCACAGTCAACTTTACCGCCATCCCTTCAAAAGTCAAAAGGAAGCCAGAAGGGTCTCCACAGGACTCCAAACATTTTCCGAAAGTCGACAGCTCAATGAGGAGACCCGCAATTCAAATCTCAGACCTAATAGATACTTGGAAACTGTCAAGGTGGGAGATATTATCAGGTTTACATGTGGACGGAATGACTCGCCGATTCATGCCCCTGGTGATGTTAATGGGACTTCGGATCGCATTTTTATGTTGATTTATTTTGGGAGTGCGAAGGAGATAAAGTTTCCATAGTCAATAAGACAGACACCCTGGCTTTTGAGGTTGGTGGGGTTATATAGATGTCGCTTCTTTATTCAACAATATCTTTTTGAATCCCCCCTCTTAGCCTTATGAGATACAGTACCGAAAGAAATATTGACTTCTCGATGGTTTTCACAAGCATACTTTGGTGAGTTAAGGGGTAGTGCAAAAGTAGGCCTGCACCAGCCCTCCTGTTTTCCATTCACGGGTGGTGGTGTATAGCAAAATCTTATTGATCATATCTGTTAGACACTTGTTACAGTACATTACCTAAAATTCCGAGCAGTCTTGTGAATCCATGTATTCGCAAGATCTTACACAGGTACGTAGATCTTTACACAACTCTTAAAAGAAATAATTTGATATTTGAACCTACGCCTTTGACTGATTAGAGGTCTAGCCTCTTATACTTGCAGCTCGTTTTATAACCTAACGCCCCCTTTCCCTCTCCCGCTTTTGAACTTTTGGAACCTCTCAGACCCGGCAATCATTGATCTATTTTCGAACAAATGACCCGTCGGGGTATGCTGGGCATGCTAATGAAGCAGCACCTAATTCTTTGCATAGCTTATCCCACTATAAGTATCATGAGTTAGCTTTTGTTCCATTTCATTCAATTCATTAAGCCTCATCTGTGTCTTCATGTATCTCGTTTGAGTGTTTGATTTTATAATGCGGAACTCTTTTCTTGGTTGGGACTTACAGGCTCTGGTAAGATACTGGAGCTCCTGCTTTGGCAAATTGGCTCGATGGGCCCATTCCGAACACTTTTGTTATCAGGTATACTTGGCATCGCCACCAGTTCTGAGGCAGGCGATCTGGGTACTGTTTGATTCGAATTTCACCTGGTTTATATGTTAGATGTTGTTGAAAGGGGGGGGCAAGGGGGGTTACGTTTGCACCATGACATGTTGCCTACATGCTGCCCGGAACGTGATCTGCATACACATTTGTCGCTTAAGCAGTAACAGTGAGTATGAAAGTATTTTGGAACTGCATTTTGGGTATATGGTAGAGTATAATAGATTTAGTAGATGCGATAGATGTGTAGAGTGAGAGATTGATGGATGTCTACTAACGTAGAACAAAGGATGTAAGCAAGTGCAACCTATAGTATAATGATTGAGTGTACTCTATGCTAGAGGATTGGAAGCGTTCAAGTATTTATGGTACTTGAACAAGAGAGTCTACTATACGATACTGTATGATTAATCCAGAGGTCAACTTTGTCCTAACAAAAACACTTATCCAAGAGCGTTTCGGATATACCAAGTATATAATGCGATCATTCGTTTTAGTTTTGGCCAAGATAAAATGTACCACTTCTTGTACTTGGGCTTACAGAAACGACGTGCACTCCTAAATGGAGTTCAGGTGGAGTAAAAGAGTCCACTTTTTATTCGTAAAACAGGGTTATTTAGCCAACCAGGTCACAACTCCAAGCATTTAAGTCTTAATTTGACGTTATCGCACCCGCTTATATCCACTCAAGAATACCCTTTTTTCTGTAACAATACGAGTACTCTGGAAGGGATACAAGTAAAGTTCAGTACCTCATTGTTGTAAAACGCGTTTTACGACAATCACTTCCACATTACGGTAGAAAATTGTACAAGTATGTTGGAATGTATTTATAGAGTAGGAGAAGTTGGCAAGACTACTTTCTGGGTCATGTAGAGGACAGCTTTCTACGGTTCCCACACGTGGTAATGTTCTACATTTACGAATAAAGACTTCTAGCAAGTAGGAGTCTCCAGTCACTTCGAGATATCGCTCTGTACTCTACCCACGCACCCTAGTATGCTTGTTGAGTTTGATTTATTATGGTAGAGTGATAACGCCGTTGTGAAGGTTTGGAGATTCCTTTTGCAGACATTTCCGAAGCTAGGCGTGTATTAACATGGATGAAATGAGATTTCAACATGCTATCAAGACGCGAGGTCTATATCGTATTAAAAGTTTCTTTTTGTAGGGCTGCTCCATTACAAGTGTGATAGTTTTAACGTTTCCAGAGCGGCTACGATGAAGTACAGGAAATTAACACTTGAAAACTAATGAAGGATTTGATTATTGAGACTCTCTACGGAGTATTTAAACATGCCAAGTAGCATATCTCTTGTGCGCTCGCGGTTACCGTATACTTCGTATATTTTGTGAAAACTTATAAATTCCACGCTAAATACCTGGTAAATCATCCTTGTAAGAAAATTTTGAAGGAGTGGGGGGGGCATGCCTTATATACGCGAGCTGCTCGTAGAATAGATAAGTGGAAACAAAAGTTATCTAGAGATAGGTGAACTATAAGCGAAAGTGGAGTCATTATAGTCGGTTTATAATAGTAAATAATTATTAGCTAGCTCCGAGCGTAGCTGCTTCTGCGGGACTAGTGCTAGTGGTATAGCATCCATAAGTAAGATACCTGGTCGTTACTGTGACAGACGTGCTTCAGGTAGAACTCAGAACAATTAACACTCTATTCTTAGGACAAAAGACGAGGAAAGAAGGAGAGCTCGAGAGAGCTGGGAACTAAATACAGGTCGTGCGCGCTAGCGCCTCGCTAAGCGAGCATGTGACATCCAGCCCTCGTGACCATAACCGTCACATCACCCCCCCCTTTAAAAAGAGCTCGCCCCGAGCGTTGAAAATCTGAACTAATTGTGAAAAATACCCTTTTGCCAGGCATCTGGATGGTCAGGATCGTCCGAATCTACCTCCGCGCTATCGTAAGCATTGTCGTTCATAGCTGCTATTACTACTCTGCCTGGTCTTGCAATCTGCTTTCGTACTGGCTTTGGGAATGCCTCCCCAGCTGGTAGATCCCCCAAATCTATGGCTGATTTCCTTCCTTGTGGTCCTGGTGAGAAAGGACGGAGTATGCAATCGTTGACCCAGTGTTCCAAGGAGCCACATCGTACACACCTGCCTTCAGCTCTATATTGATCTCTACGCTCAGGGGAAATAGAGCGAGCGCGTGGAGGAGAGGATGGGTCGATGGAATTGATGCTAAAAGCATTTATGTCCATTGGTTCGCTGTGGTGGTTGCCAGAGGAGTAGGACTGTGTAGGTTGTGTAGACGAAGAGAAGCGGCCTGCTAATTGTTGTACGACGCGTATGAATGTAGTATAATCGCGAGGTAGGTTGAGTTGTTGAGAAAGTCGTCCGCGAAGAGTAGAATTAAGGCCATTCCTAAAGGTGGAAATTTTGTTGACATCTGGCCAGTCCTGACCTCTTGCTTCGTAAAGGACACGCTCAAACTTGGCGATATATGTAGGGACTGAGTCAGCACCTTGCTTGAGGGCAAATAGCTTGTCTTCCGCCTCCTGTACCTTGTTTGGATTGTCGTACACGCGCGCGAGCTGTTCGAGGATTGTTTGGTAGTCCCAGCTTTGGGTGTCTTCTGCTTGAGAGAGCTGTGGAAGGACCATGGCTTGGACGTGGGAGTCAAGGTTGAGGTAGACGTAGTAGAACTGCGCAATAGCGTCTCCAATAGCTGTACCGTCGACTCGTAGCTTTGCTTTGATTGAGGGAAGCCAGGTGTCGAATTTATGAGCCTGGCCAGTGAATTTGTCAGGGTCTGGGAGGGAAGGTTTAGGCTTTGCGGATGTTCTTGACCGGAGTAAGTGAATCTCGTCGCGCTGTCGCTGGACTTCAGCTTGCAACTCAGCGATGGCGGACTGAACTTGAAGGGCATCCATTGTAGAGAAGTCGAAAAAAGAAGAGGTTTCGTCGTGTTGTAAAGTGTAGGGTTCTTGCGCACAAGAAAGTGGTAGAAATCGTGAGAATTGAGACGTAAGATCGTGGACCTGAACTTGGACGTGAACGTGAACTTAGACCTGGGATACTTAGCCTCAACTAAGGGTCTTTTGTAATGTGACAGACGTGCTTCAGGTAGAACTCAGAACAATTAACACTCTATTCTTAGGACAAAAGACGAGGAAAGAAGGAGAGCTCGAGAGAGCTGGGAACTAAATACAGGTCGTGCGCGCTAGCGCCTCGCTAAGCGAGCATGTGACATCCAGCCCTCGTGACCATAACCGTCACAGTTACTCTATATACACCGCTCTTAGAATAAAATTATTCTAAAAACGTCGTATAACTAAAATAGTTATATAAAGAGCTTACATAATTGTTAACTCTTACTTTTTACTAACCTAGGTATCCTAAGACAATTATTATGCTTGTACTACAAGTTTAGTAGAATAGAGTTTTATATAGTATATATAGAGTAATGACTAGGTATCTTACGTGGGGACTTAGCTAGCTATATATGTTTCGGTATACAACATTAGAGACTTAGACATTACCTTAGTAATATAGGTCTTTTGTATTACTCACTTAACTAAATAAGTTAAACCAACACTAATTAGTTCTCAGCTACTATTACGGCATATTATATGACTAGCGTAGTACACTATTACTGTCTTATTGTTCTCTCGTGGTATACGATCACGGGATAGATAACTCTATATAATACAAGTATTATACACTATTTAGTTTTAATAGTAGCGTCGTTATATTTATAGAGCTGTGAAGAGTGTGGTTCAATTTTACTAAGAGATTATATTATATTCCTGTTCAGGAGTTTAATGGAGTCTCTGCTCTAGGCCAAGACTATACTACCGTAATAGATTACGTGTAAGGAATCTTATCTATAAACAGTTTCGCGAGACTACCTAGTTTCATCTATTGATTAGTTTTGCGGGACAACTTATAAGTATCTGGAATTACAAAGATTCGACCGGACGTGGGAAAAATCTTTTGATGAATGATGGTACGCCCCGGTGGGGGACGTGAGATGGGCTTCTTGAAGGATTTATGATGTCTGTATCTTGCGCTGGTCGCCTGGTCATCTTCTTTGGAATGGAGTCGTCCTCAGATCCTTGAGCGCTGAGGAAATTACAACACAAGTGGAACAGTACACAAAAGAAAGAATGGGTAGAATATTTTGAATGACGAAAATAAAAGGAAACAGTGATAAATACTAATGAATCACGTAAAGGACCAACGTACCAGTCGGGATGAGGTTGTCGAAGGCGATCACCCTCGGTTCCTTTCACGGTATCTGATAATGGTCATTCGTTTTGATTGAATCCAAGCGGATTCATACATAGCAAGATCCACTTACCAGCCTAGATGTTCGATCTCTTGTGGTCGGCAAAACGCGCACGCAATGTAGGATGACGATTAAGGATAAAGGGTGGTGGTGGAGTCGCGACCGCAACAAACAAATTGGGGGGTTCGTCAGCCAGATTTGGTTGGATCAACTGGAGGCGGTCTCAAAGACGATTCCCGACATGCCTCAACATACCTGAGGGAGGTATATAGTGAATAGCAGTAGGCACCTAAAGTGGACTAGCGTACTTAAGGACTATTTGATAGACCTGAACTCCTAGCTACCTAGCTACTCAATACAACCACTTCTTGACCCACATCCACTTCATATCACTTATTATTTACTTATATCCAGTTGTTGCTCCATTCAATGCAAAGTCAGCGCATGGTCTTCTCGTTAGGTGTAATATATCTAATCCTGTGTAGGTCCTCTTAATACTACCAATTGTCAAGTCTATCGCGGCAAACTATTCTTCTGGGCACCCTACCTTGACTACGATCTTGTCCTCCAGCTGGGACAACCCCAAATCCCAAACCCCAAACTGTACCGTAACTTACCCTGCCACACCAACGATCCGCCCCTCCAGTTCACCACTGGAAAAATCCCAGTCAGAACTATTCGGCAAGCTTGCCCCGCCACCCACGATCTCCCCCCTTCAGTTCACCACTGGGCAAAATCCAGACCCCATCTGTCCAGTATTCTACCACGCCATACTCACCATCTGTCCCTCTGTAGACCATCATGGCTTATGTCGAGTTTCTGACGGATCGTGTGTCTACCGCATTAGATCAGCCTGCAAAATCAAATCAATCAAATGCCAACTCTCTCCTCCAGATATAGATTGCAAAGGAATTTTGCCCCACAGCACTTCAAACCCCCGGGGTCAAAATCCACCTTCACAACTCCCCCCACAACAAACAGCTCAAGACGAACAATGTACTGGAGTGGACGTTGATCCAAAATATGAATCACAAACCGAAGCTTCTACACAAGATACCAAGGAACATCGTCACTATCAGCGACACCTCCTTCCCGTTTATAAGAATGCTGTAAATTCCCTTAAGAAGGGCCGTTCAGCAAAGAAACACGAGGACCCTCAAATGCCCAAACCAAAAGTCACGGAATCAACGGTCGAGACATCAGTCGACGTTCCTGCAGCACAAAGTATAACAAGCACCGCTTCTGCTGCCGTATCGTTGAACACATACACTCATCGGGGATTCATCGTGAAGGACCAGGACGATCAAAACCAACCACATCACCATCAGCAACTAGTCATGCTGCGATCAGAGGAGTTCGGTGTTGAACGGATGGAACGCGGAGGTCAGGAAAAAAAGTTTGCAGCTGAAGAGCTTCGCGTAGATCCAGGTAGAGCTCTTTCAGAAGCGTCTGTGTATGAGATAAAGGATGGTATCAAATTGACAAGATTTAAGATGCAACAGAGAATCTCGATGATCCAGCAACTGCCGCAGAAGTTTCAGTCTTTTAGAGATTGGTGTGATCAACACACTGTGGATGAGTTACATGATAGTGCAAGTTGGCAGACCTTTGTCACAGTACTGGCGGTCACATTCAATGCTACCCCGGTAGAACTCTATCAGACCTGATTTGAGAAGGATTGGTAAATGGATGTAGTTGTATCTGTATTAGCATAAAAGCAGTTTAAGAATAAGAAGCATCCATGCACATCGTATGTCACTTCAACGTTTCAAGTTGATATTTGATCTCGGTTATAGTGCAAGCAATTGTGAGGGTATTTGCAGGCAAAAAGTCATTCTGCAATCAGCTACAACTATTTTAGCAATCAATCGTTGTAAACGCAGGTGCCATGTCGCAGGATGATTGCCATTGGCTATAAGAATAAGATTCACTCCTCAAAGTACCTCGGTCCTCGGCCGTAACACTATATATTTAATGTATCAACACCATTACTAATGCAAAATACGTAAATATGGAGCCTCACTTTGATCACATTTGGACTCCAGCAAGCTTTGTATTATGAGCAGAACTTTATTCAACCACGACTTGGACAATATATTAACGAGTGAGTTTTTATGTACTTGATATCTAGGAGTAGTTCATCCTTTACTTACAAGTTGCCAGGACCGTCAGCAATAAGATAGGCAAGACAAAAGATCGAAAGTGGTGTTTCTGTGTATATGCTATCTGGGAATAGCTTCATTTTTGACTCTTTTGGATGCCAAGAAATGTCAAGGGTATACTTAATAAGCATCATACCAATGAAAAGATATGTTTCTGTATACTTACTGCCTAGGAATAGCTTTATTTCTGACTTGTATACCAAGGAACATATCTAATAGGTAGCGAAATCTTAGAAAAACACGCTCTTCTTGACTTATTCTATATTTTCTTAAGTCTAGGAATACTTTTTACAAGTCCGATTATGCTTTTTCATAGCGGTCTAATTCTTCTATGTATCAGTGAAATTGTCCATAGAGAGCGATAGGGGGGGCTCTTGTTAAAAGGCAATTTTTAGAGATTCTCCGGGATACCGTTTTTTCTCAGAAATCAACTCGAAACTTTGTCTCTTCTTATGTAGGTGAATTAGCAATTAGTGAATAGGAAATGATGAGTTTACTATATATGATTGGCCAAGTTTGTACATTATCACTTCGGTGAATCTTAAGCTAGTGAATAGTAAAGTACTTTTCCTATAGACGATTAGTTGATTTCATCTACTACCACATGCGTGAATAGAGATTTATATCGTTTTCTAAGTATTATATATACATCTGATTTTTATATTAGCGACATTCACTTTCAACTCTAAGGGGAAAAATCTTAACACTTAGAAAAAAAATTGGGTTTAATCATATGTAAAATGAAGTCTGTTTTAATTATAAAAATAAGTAAAAATCTAAAGAGAAAAGATTTTTTTCTAAAAAAAAAAGAAGAGTACTATACTAAGTAATATAAATAAAAATAAAACTGTATGTTAGCTTATTATTTAGAGATACTATAATATATTTGTTATAAAATCATCTAGTTTTTCTTATTATATGGAATATTAAATCTATTTTTATAATATACGCTATAATAATAGTTATATAGTACTTTTTTATTAAAATATAAACTCTTTTATACTCTTATATTAGTATACCTTTAGAGTATATATATTATTTAAGTTATAATAAAAGATCTAACTAGAAGTTAAAAGTAAAATTTATATAAAATATATATAGGAACCTATAGTTATATTCTTATCTATTATAGATTTAATAAAATCCTATTTTACTTTCCTTATATATATAACTTAAGCTCGAGGTTTATTTATTATACTACTATTCTAAGTTCCTTTTTCTTCTAGATGAGAAAACGTATTATTCCTACTAATTCCCTTATAGGTAGAATATGTTATATAAATTAATATTAGCTTATTTATTCCTATATATATTACTCTAAGAGGGTAATCCTAACTATAACTTAGTATAATTATCTAATTAAGATTATATTTTAATTATAAGTTATTAGTAAGCTATATAGTACTTCTATTAAAATATTCTTTTTTTAAACTTTTCTTTCTTAGTTAAATTATACTATAATTATAATATAATAGGCTTATACTATTATAGTAGGCTAGTATCTAGAACTTACTTAGTATAGTTACTTTAAAAAGCCTTTCTACTAATTATAATTTCTTTATAAGCTATATAATACTTTTATTATAAGAGCTTTCTTTTTTTTCTTTTTCTTAAGAAAAATATACTTTAATATTCTAATAAACCTATATTATAATTATAAGCTAGTATTTAGAAAGTAATTATTATATATACTAAAAGAATAATACTTTATTAGTTATAAACTAATAGTAAGCTTTATAATAGTTATATTTTTTAAGCTTTCTTTTAATATTTCTTTTTAAGTAAAATGTAACGAATACTCAAACTGGCTAACTAAACTTGGCTGGGTGTTCGCTGGTTGGTATGCTATGATAAGAAGAAGACTATCGGGTTGTTCACTTGGAAGTGAACTCGTTACTTGTATCAAAGATGTCAAACTAATATGATAAGATTGATAACTAAGTTGAGCACGAAGCTCCTATCTAATGGCAGACATGCCAGTCTTATATAGAACCTTCGTTCTCATTGATAACTAAGTTGAGCACGAAGCTCCTATCTAATGGCAGACATGCCAGTCTTATATAGAACCTTCGTTCTCCAAATCCCAAATGTCGACAGCGCGCTCGTCGTGCTGTCGCGCGCGACAATTCGCTTGTCGCGCTGTCGCGCTTTTATCACGTGACTATGAATGCTATGAAATCCTTGGATACTCAACAACCCTGAGTAACCACTGCTATGATATAACTACTCTGGATGTATCTGTCCTGTCAGAACGCCGTTTGGACTAACTCGTCACATGCTAACACGTGATTCGTGACATAAAACTAGTATTTAATTATAATATTAGAAGCTTATCTTATAATAATAAACTATAAAATTAACTATTTTTTATTTCTAATCTAATTAACCTATTTAATAAGTATAAGCTAGTTAATAGAGACCTCTATTAGTATTTAGTATATAAAAGTTTTATAATAAGTATAATATTCTATTGATTTTAATTAAATATCTATTATTTATTTTTATAATATATCTATTAATAAAGTTTTAATAAATATTAATAAATAACCCTTTACAATAAACGTATATTAATAAATATAAACTTTACCTTTACTTAATAATCAAGAGCTTAAGATATAAAAGTTGTATACTAATTTTAATTAGATAATATAATATAATAAAGTTAAGCTATTAAATCTTTACCTAAGTGATTTAAGTTAATATATCTCTTAGAAAAACTCAGTCATTAGTTTTTAAGTTTCTCTATTTTCCCGTTATACCCATTCCACGGACCAGCAGTTTACACGCGGGGAAGATGGGATGGGAAAAAACAATATAACAAGGTTAACGCTTAATCAGGTGGACAGGCTTCTTCGTTGCTCGAGACTACTGTATAACGCTCCTGCATGAGATTTGGGAAATCGAAAACGCGGGGACCCTTTGCATGAACGAACCTAATCCACATAGAATATGTGACGAACATGCTAGATCTGCAGTAGCTTGCGGATAACGATGAAGAGAGTCAGCAAATAAACTTGGCAGCGGGGTCAGGGTACCTTTCTGCAAGGAACAGGTGAGAAGCAAAACGGATGATTTGCACAAACGATAAGGTTTCAAACCGCGGCTTTTTTTGCAACAAGCTTTAAGGGCAGGGACTTGGTTTTAGTCTTTCACGATATAATTAAAGTTTTTGTTATGATCTTGTGGAGCTGATTCGGAATTTTTTAGCTTGTGCCCCATTGCTGATTGGCTTGGGTCGATTACCCAATTGCTTCGCCTCTAAGCTGCCGAGTCCTACGTAAGAACTCAGCAAACTTCATAGCAATCCTACACTCTACAATCATTTCGCTCTCTACAATTATCATCCAAAATGTCAGACACTAAGCCATTTCCGGGTATCTCCCTCGAGGTGACTGTTACCATCGCCCCCGAGAACGTCCCAAAATTCTTCGAATCCTTCAAACCAGCTTACGAGGCAGTAATCGCTGAGCCCGAATGCACATTCTTTGAGGTCTTCATCGACCCTGATCAACCAGGAGTCATTCATTGGGTAGAAGGTTGGAAAAAGGACAAGATGTGGTTATTGGGAGTACAGATGCAGAAGGACTACTACAAGCCATATTTGGCTGCCACAGAGCCAATGTTTCTCAAGCCGCGTAAGTGCGAGATCTCTTTCAATTTCAAGCAACCGATTACCCTGTACCAGATAGTACCGGAGAATTGTTTAGAAGTTCTGTACTAACGTGAGACAGGTGAATTCAAGGTATTTGAGAAGCTGTCAGTCGAATGGTGCCACGTGAAGCCTGAGCATCACACCAAACCATAGGCATATGGACGGAAGGAAATTAAGAGGATGCTTGGATTCAAGAGTGCTTATGATACACGAGTAGTCGGTTCACAATGTCTAGGGGAAATAATTATGAATAGCTATCGTCTCTCTGCCATCTCAAAATGACTTTAACAATTGTGACTCATGAATTCGCTGTCCTATAAGATATGTACAAAGAAAAAAAACAAGGCTAGTAACTATCTTTGCAACAATTCCAACCCCCCTACTATGATTTGGCAAACCTCTTTTGGAATCTGGATTCACTCATCTTCTCACATGCAATGTCCCATTCATTTGTCCACTCCTTATAGAACGGTTGGTATCCCAATAAACCCCCCACCCATCTCCCCAGAAATATACTCATGGCCATAGAAATTGTTCTCGAAAAGGGTATGTACCAAGGGAGAGAAAGATAAGAACCACCAGCATCAAACATCTGTCATCCAGATTAATTTATCAATATAGTCACATGGGTCATCGGCAGACTTACACTCATAACTTGTAACAAGTCAATTTTCTCTCCCTTGAGCACCACTTGATCCTGGTACCCATACCAATTCTGGAAAAACACCCCGTCCATCTTGTAACTCTCCTCTGTATCACTACCGCTCAAGATAAATTTGGTAATGATCTCATCTGTAACTGGAGGGGGATACAATCTGTGATTTGTCCAAGGTTTGACCGCGAAGACACCAGATTCTGGAGTTAAAATATTTTGCACACCTTCCGCTTCAACCGTGAGCCTGCCTTCAAGAACTTCCATGTCTTCGGTTTGGTAAGGGTGAAAATGCATGGGCGGCTTCTTGTCGGCTAGCGCGAGGAGGCGGGGATGATGGCAGTTGAATTCAACCAGAAACGCAAAGGCTTTCTTCGGGTGTTTGGGGAAAGTAGTAGTTATGGCCCCTTCAGAACTGCGTTACATTAGCTGGGACTCTGGGAAACTCGGTCGCAATCGGATAGATTACGCTGAAATAACGGCTTGACCAGCCGTGGTGAACGTTGGCTTTGTAGGTGCCATTTTGGGAATTAGTTTCTTTATTTTTGATATGACTATGAAGAGAGAAACCACAGTTTCAAAAGAAACCCTTGGTTTTAAAGATTTAACACCACTGTGCCTGTTCGCAAATCATGCGATTATTTTCGAAATGTTTCTCAGGGAACTGATTCAGCCTGGGGTGTAAGCAAATATAGATCCACTTGACGGAGGACAAATTTCAGGGAAAATACTCAAGCATTTATCTTCAGGATTAACAACCCTACAGTGTTATCGAGTGGATCAGAGACGGGTAATTGGGCCTCTGTGGAATCGTGTGGATCTTATCTCTCTCCACTACAGTAATTAGGCGAATTATTTCGAAGTAAATTAAACGATGCAGTGCACTGTAGATCACATTTTTAGAGTTTCGGGGGAACCTCTTTTGGCGGTGACTGCTGAGTTGCAGCCCAACGTCACAATTATCACCGGTAGGAGAAATTATGAACCTGAGTAGGAAGAGCTTCTTAATTGAGAAGTCACAGTAACTATTCATGTCGATTCCTAGGCTGAACATTCCTTGAGTAAAGCTAAGTTCTAGCCTACCTCTTTGGCTGCTTAATATGGGGAGAGTACAACAGTACCTCTATATTTACATCTACTTCTATGTCGGACTTAAAATCTCACCGAACTATTTATCGAGCACAGGTAATCGACACGCGTAGATTGTCATTATTTTATGTGCGATTCAGTTCATAATTTTATGAGTTAATGAAAGTTATTGGAATAGCCTTTCACAGAGAACAACATGGAACCCATTCATCACCCAAAGATTACACAATACCGCTTCCATTATCAGACTTGGCACCAGCAAGAACACATTTTGTTTCTCTGAAAATACCTAAAGTGGGGTTCAGATAACCCTCCCATCAAGGCTATCGTCCGTATCTAGGGTGACCTGTGACTTTTCCAAATGTCCGAAATAATCATATTAATTAAATGAACTGTCTCAAACAAACCAGGCTTGTAAATTGCCTAGGGAAATCAAAGAAGGTAGAATAGCGTGAGTTATATACAATGCTACTATCAAAAGGCTGTTGTGAGAGAAGCATCGTCTTTTGTCATATGTGCCCATTCCAAAGTCTTCGTCCATAGCTTTTGCTGCTTGGTCTCGTCATTGCTTTCAGGAGAGCTCTGGGAAGGCTCAGACATCTCATAGAACCCCTTCGTTCCAATGTATTTTTTGCCAACGGCCAATTCAATCAGATCTACTGCGGCTAGTTTCGCAGAACGCAACGTTGGGATTGCATATTTCATGATTGGCTGAAATGCTCCCAGGACTTTCATTCCATATTTCCACAAACCAGGGACGCCCGATCGCATTGCTTTCGAGTCCGGGAGTCCGCCAGGATCCAAAGCAACCGCCGTAATGTCTTTCAAATTTGGGTCCTATATCGAGTCAGATAATTACAAAGAGTATCGTTTTGAACTTCCTACCTGTTGAAGTCGTCTGTTTAGCTCATAGGTTCCCATTATTACTGCTAACTTGGAATTGCCATATCTCTGGAACCCTCGACCAACTTCTTCGCCTGCAGTATCTGGTTCTGGCTTCACAAGAAGCTCAATATTGTCTGGAATCCCTGGAGGATATTTCTCCAATCCATTTTTACCCGGATAATGAGCATCACTGGCAAGAAACACGATTCTTCCGTCAGATCTGAAGCTGCCCAGTAATCGCAAGACCAAGGACATGTGTGCTAAATGGTTCACTGCGAAGGATAACTCATATTTATCTTGGGAGAACCGTAGTCCATCGTTGATACTCCAGATATAGGCGTTACATATGACAGCGGCAATTTTTCCTAGTGATCCTGTTGCTATTTCAGATGATATGGTAGTGGCGAATTCCTGGACGTCGGCGAGAGAAGAGAGGTCCAACTTTCGAATTGATGTTGTGGCTTTGGGAAATCTCGCTATCGTTTGCTTGAGCCTTGCGGTGTTCTCATCGGAGTCGGAAGTGTTTCGTACCGTCAAAATGGCCGTGTAGTCAGGATAATGTGAAAGCAAATATTCAACTGAAGGAACTGCAAGCGATCCATTTGCGCCTGTGATGATGATCGTTCCGGACATTTTGCGTTTGATTCAGTCTGTTGGAAGATGAAGAATGCTGGAGCTTTCAAACGAGGAACTTCTCTGGGTCAATGAGGGTTATCATGGGGCCCAAATGCCGTCGGGATGGGAGGGGCAAATTGCTTGTCTGAAGGTGCTAAGACCTCCAGTACTCAAGGTTCCCTCGCTTACCGATCAGTGTGAACCGTTGGTTGGTCCAAGCTTGTTGACTGCAGCAACGGAAAGATCTCTTTTGACCGGACTTCTATTTCAAGCCTCCAAAATTTTTGGACCCTGCTGGCATTGCATGGTGTCCGAGGTTGTCGGTCACATCCACCTGTGGCTGCATTCTAGTTTACCAGAATACAGTCCTTTCTGGTTGTATCGATAAGGAAACCTAAAGACGTCTGATCCAGGATCTAAGCTCCAGCTCCAGCTCTGGCGCGGCGCTCGCCAGGGACGCAGGGGTCGAACCACGCTTTGAATTTTTACTTCGAAGTACGCGACGGCATTCTTCAAGATGACTTCGAGAACATTTCCCCAAAGGCCTAAAGGGTAGCTGGTTGCCATGGTCGTACCATAACTTGTATGTCTCGCACAGCCAGCCACCCAACTTCTCCTCCGCAAGAAAAACTACTTCGTACTCCCGTACTTTGATCACGGCAGTTGAGCCGATCGTATGCAGGGCACGTTCTTCAGTTCGGTAGTAGGCGCTTCTGACTAAGCTACTACCTTGCGCGCAGACGTGGTTCCTTGAGCAAAGACAGAAGTAGAAGTACTGACACGTACTTCCTCCCAGACGTACTTCGTACAATTATGAAAGCAATAAGGTTTACTTGTGATATCTCAGTGGAATACAGGGTAAAGTCCCCACTAAGTTTTTGCGTTTCTTACGCCTAAGAGGAAGTATCATTAAATTTTAGGTCTCGATTCTTTTGGCTAGGGCTTTAAGGTTGATGTTGACATATTGTTGTTCCTTGGTCTTTTGGTTCCTGAAAGTTTTTATATATTTGACACACACTCTCTCGCTTTTATCCTTGGAGGCTGGCAATTTGTTACAGTTCTATCCGACTCTAAGAATATTCACAACGTTCAAGTATAAAACCAGGACTTGGTAACAAGAATTACGGGATTACGCGTGCATTAGGTTCTAAATGTATTTAAGCATTACTTGGCGCTATCATATATTCCGTAGAAAATATGTGCCCTTGTCGTCGCTTATGTCAACACCCTTGTTATAAAGGCAACCTCGGTTATTTCCTTTGAACATTTGCTCCTGAGCATATCCTTGCATCGAGATTTTTCTGTAAATTATGTCAGAAATTGACAAGCGGGGGAACCCCTGTTGCCCGCCCTATTTACTGCCTGTAAAAGAAGAGGTAGTTGCCCCCACGGCAAAGTATTACCGCCGAGCGAGACCCTTTTCCAAGGAATACTCAAGCATGTTTTCCAAGAAACATGAAGCACCTACCTTATGAAGAACCCAACTTGCACGAAGCACCTACCTTTTAGCCCAGGAAGATTCCGAATCGCTCCCTGGGTGGATGTACCCTGCGGTAGCTTCAAGGCACAAGCAGGTCTGAAAAGCTGTTGTTGAGGATTATTATTTGATTAACCAAGACGGTGTGGATGCAACCAAGTGAGAATCGACCTAATTTCTTATGTCAAAATGTTAGATATAATTTAGATGGCGCTCTGCAAATCCAGTCTTCTCCCTTTCTATCCCTTCCTCTCCATCCCTTTTTCCCATAGCTTCGGAATTCGTCAAAGTCGACAAGATGATTTTCGGTTACTCTTCACTTTTCTTGTTGTCTTCTATGTTGGCCACGACATTAGCGAGAAAACGCGCCACGAGTAATGACAGCTGTCAAGCACTGAGCAAAACATTCCGTACGGAAACCTATATGTCTTCCAATAGCAGTTACAATGCTCACTCAGAAGAGAATTGGTATGCTCTCTGCTACCTACTTCAATGGAGACCAAAGACTGACCTTTCTGTCTAGGTCACAAGTTGCTTGGAAGAAACCAACGTGCATCATTACCCCAGCCACTACAACAGACCTCCAGTCTATAGTGAGGATGCTTATGGAACTCAACCAAAAGTTTGCGATCCGAAGTGGTGGACATTCAACCGCTCCAGAAGCGGCTAATATTGATGATGGCGTATTGGTCGACATGTCGCTCATCAAAGAGGTGACTTACAATGCAGCCAAGAATACTGTTGTCGTTGCATCAGGAAACAGATGGTAAGTCATTTTCCTTGGCTTTCTAACTCTGTTGAGATTCGTATTTCAGAACTAAACCAAAAACAGGGGCGATGTCTACAAGGTTCTAGACCCTTTCAATATCACGGCTGTTGGGGCAAGAATCATGGATGTGGGGGTGGGGGGATCGATACTTGGAAGTGGGCTCTCGTATCTTACTGATCAATACGGATTGGCTTGCGATAACGGTTAGAGTCTCGCATAGCCCTGTGCTAATTCTAAATTAATCTCTCGCTAGTTATTAATTTCGAAGTCGTACTTGCAAATGGGTCGCTTGTTACTGCAAACAGCAACGAAAACCCTGAACTCTTTTGGGCTCTAAAAGGAGGAACCAACAACTTCGGTAAGATAACCAATCGAGCGTTCATCTGGCTTTCTAACCACCTTCTTGCAGGCATTGTAACCAGATTCACGATAAACACTTTCCCACAAGGATACGTTTGGGGTGGTATCAAGGGGTATACCAATGCACAGTTACCTGCACTTCTCGAAGCTCTTGCAATCTATCAAGCCGACCCCAAGAAAGACCCCAAGGCCAATCTGATGTTACAGTCTGCAGTGACGAACGATACCATCGGTACTCTTCTCAATATCGTCTATCTTGACCCTGTCATTGCACCCAAAGCGTTTGCTCCATTTTATGATATCCCAACTGCCTGGGATACAACCAAAATTCAAACTCTTAGCCAGTTCATGGTAGGTGCCGTTTTGCCACCTATTCCTCGGTAAGCTACAAAAATCTATATTCGAAGAGGATACTAATTATTTGTCAAGGTGGGATTTCCATACCACGTCTTTCCGACCAAACAAGGAAATACATGAGAAGATCCACAAGATCATAACCAACCCAGAAGAACTCGCTAATCTCAAAAAGATCACCGCTGGAACGATCGTACTCGGGTTTCAACCGATCTCAGCAGCTGTGGCGGGGCACGGAACTAAACGTGGAGGCAACGCCCTCGGTCTCAATCCGGTTGCACAAACCTGGATGGTTGCTGATACTGCATGGTGGCATAAGGAGGACACTAAAACCGCAACTGATTTTGCGGCCAACATGCTCAAGAAAGTCGATGTAGCCACAAAGGCTTCAAATCTTTATGAACCATACTTGTTCATGAACGATGCTGCTCGTGAGCAGCCCGTCATTGCCAGCTATGGTGCTAAGAATGTTGCCAGGATGAAGATCGTCCAATCAATGTACGATCCATTTTGTGCTTTCCAAAAACTTGTTGTTGGGGGCTTCAAGCTTGGTAGTTATTTCTCATAAGAACAGGCGTCAGACCTGCGATGGTTGAAATGATAATTTTAATTCCTAATGCAAGAGTGTTCCTCTTCACCTCTTCAGATCCCAAATCTGTTCCTATGTTGATACTTCTGAATGTGAAGTTGGGTATTAGAGTTCGACCACGGACACTGAACTAGAGTAAATTTTAAAGTTAGAGGATGAACCGTTCGCAAGAGAGGGTTCAGAGGGTTCCAAGGTTACCAAGCTGGTCTCGGAGTGCTTGTCGGGGATCTTACTTCCATTTTTCTTGACGACTCAGTACCCCGTACTCAACCCTATGTGACCCGGGATTTCGCCGGCGAGGTGACCCGCGTCCCCCCCGACGTCCTGGCAATTTAAACTTTCTCATATTCTTGGCAAATTGAACGATGAGAAGTAGAGGTAAATTACTCCGTACGGAAATGGTCTCCTTAACGACCGTAAATTCAAAGCTTGAGACGTCTAGGCCGATGGAAAATATATACAAACTCCAAGTTCTGTATTTCATAGTTTATAAAAGCATATGGGATCATCAAATTTCATGAGTTGGCTTATTGATGGCTGGTATCGGAACTGTAGAAATTGAATGTGGACGCATCTCCTACAGTAGTTCCCGCACAGCCCAGCCCCTACTACTCTTTGTGGAAAAGCCCGAACTGTGCAAGACTCCATATCTCAGCACGAGTATCTTCACGAGGATCTCTGCTGTCCTATTGACTTCTTACTCATATCTCAAGGTAATGCCTCTATCTGTCACGTATTGTTTACCATCAAAAACCGTTGCAACTTCGAGGTGGGGTAATGTGGTCCACTTTTTCGATAAGTCTATTGATTTTAGCAAGGATGCTGTTGTTCTTACAGTAGAGCCCACAAGAAATGTAACTGTACCCTAAACAACGCTCACCGCATATTGGTAGTTTGTGTCACTCAATTTGTTGCTGCAGGGAAAGTTCCTGTGAGTATCAAATGTACTTATGAATAGATGGCCGCGTAAAGTGTTTGAAGATGGTTGTTAGGTAATTACATAGCAATAATTATTCCAACGCTTATACTGGAGCTGGCTACTCCTGGATATGATTTGTCGTAAAGAGGGCGGATAGTTGAAGCTGAATACTGTCACGTAGATTATATGTAAGAAAAGTCTATATGACCCAGATCCGAGTCTCTGATTCGCTAGTTTTGCTGAAGATCGAGGCTGAGCCGTAATATAGTCAAGGACCCACTCAAATCAAAGACATACTTGGAGGTATGGCTGTTGGACAGAAGACAAACTCTCTTCTCCCGTTCAAAGTCTGCAGGTGGGTCACCATATCTATTACAACAAACGTGCATTCTTATCATGTTATAAACCCGCCCACTGTCAAACGGCAACCATTTCTCAGGAAAGAAACCGCTTCTCCTTGTGCAACGAAGAGAAAATGGGAATCTCTTTAAGCAAGAATCCTCAAACCCAGGTGGCCAAGACCTTTGACAATCTCTGGCAGTTGTCTCGTTTTCATACCAGGGAATCATGGCTTGCTGTTTTTCCAGCTAGTAAGTAAATCCCCAAAAATCTGTTCACCTGAAAAAAGTCTTACCTTGATACAGTCTGGGGGCTTGCTTTTACTGTTAATCAAAGCCATACGAATCTGCCGTCATCTCAACTCCATTTAATCTTATCAAATTGGTTTTGTATGACCCTTTTTCATGGAACTTTCTGTACCTGGAAGTATGTTGGAAATATTCCTAATCTGTATATTTGGCGCAATCACTGACCTATTGCGAAGCGATGTGTGTGATGTCAACTTTGATAAGCAAGTTGCACGAACCAAAAACCGGCCTTTAGCCGCTGGAAGGTGTTCGATACAAACTGCTGTGATATGGTTCATCACTCAATGGGTTATAACCGACTTTCTTGTGTATACACTTCTCGGAGCACCAGCATTAAAAGTCTTCCACCCATGGTGTTTTATTGCTACAATATACCCTTTCATGAAACGCCTTGTATCATGGCCGCAGTTTATTCTAGCTCCAGCGGTCGCCGGACCATCCTTTGTTGGCTGGAGTTCGATCAACGGAAACTCCAATATCGAGGGTGCACTGCCTCTTTTTATTGCCTACTCTATCTGGACAGTTTATTTTGACACAGCATATGGATTTCAGGTTCGTCTTTCCCTCGGTAATTAATGAAGAGCATGAACAAAAAACCCTGACAAGTTTAGGACATCAACGACGATAAAAAGGCTGGTGTGGGCTCGCTTGCACAATTCCTCGGGCCAAATTTCATCAAACCATTCCTGGCTGTTACCGGAGCTGTGACAATCGGACTTCTGGGAATTGCTGCCACAAGGGCGCAGTTTACGCTACTATTTTGGATTCTTGGTCTCGGAATCTGGGCCGCCAGTCTTCCGTTTCAATTTAACATGCTCGACCTGAATGATTCCAAGTCTGGCGGAAAGGTGTTTGGGTTCAATATCAAGCTTGGCCTTTACATTAGTTTCATTGCCCTGACGGAAGCAGGCATGAAATTTGTTAGATGAAGCGCGAACGGAGTTTGGTTGTAGAAAGAATTCGACTGGGAAAATCATGTCCACCCGAGGAGGGTATGCATTCACGAAGACATATTGTACCGGAAGTCTTCCGAGCACCGATATGATTTCTGGTGGCTTAAAATGGCGAGGTTTAATGAGAAGAAATTACTTTAGTATGGTCAGAAATTGTTTGTCCGTTGCGAGTATGTGCTGAAGTGTTTAAGCGTGATTTGAACTCGCACATTCACACAAAACAACGATGGATGGGAAGTGCATTTGAGAGGCCTGGATGGAATGGTCAGTAATGATTCTTCATGCGCAATAAGCCTCCACGGATAATATCACATGCAAATACAACTGTGTATGGCACATGTCTCATGAAGCACTCCATCTACACCAAAATCCCCTGGAGCTGCCCTTGCTTCAGGCACCTTTTAAAGCCCCGCAGAACTCGGAGTAAAAGTGGATATGGTAGAATTTGAGCGTTAATTTGGGTCCTTTTTATGGCACTTGCGGCATTAGGGAGGTTTTGCCATCGACTTTTAGTAATAGTGTAAAATGTTTATTAGGGTGCATATAACTAGGCTTATAGCTTTTAGAGAGATTTTGTTTGCACGATTTTAGTGACGGGGTAGTATAGAATAAGGTATGGAATTCTTATATCTCTAAGGCGAGCATACATCTATAACTATTGAATTATATAGTTTTACTGGCGAGTGTGAGGAGGCCGTGTTGTAGGCGCGTGTAGGAAGTCTAAATAGTTTTATATGTTGTATAGAACCAGAATCAATGGAGCACTAAAAAGGAGAATAAATAGTAAATTAAACACGTAGACCCTCCCTATCTCCACTAGTCGTTGATATAGTTTTTGGACAGATATTGCTCGGATTGTGTCCACTTCTTGGAACGAACTTAACTACGAAACTATCATTCACAATCGGTGGCAAAACCTCCCTATTGAGTTTCTCGCAAATGAAGTCTTTCAAACCCACACTAAGCCTTCAGTTTCAACACTTTGGCCCTGGAAGATGGGTTTTGACGGTATTGATGAAGTATCAAAGGATAGTCATGAAAGAAGTACACCCACATGGATTTGACAAAGTGATGTGCGACACGAACCCGGACTCTTGCGAGGCGGGTTTTTTGATGGGAGAGTTAGGGTATCACCGGATGAAAATATGTGATCCGTTAGCATTACTATCTTACTTCGTACGAAGTAGAACAGGACTTCAAATTGATATCCATTCTACCCCTCCTCGAAGGGGCCGTTGTGACGAGTGGAGTACGTTCTACAGCCAAGTTTTCAAGATAGTCAAGGAAGCTAAAGTCGATCCCGCATTGTCCATTCAGCTGCTCTTATTTCGCACATGCATGTGTATCATTCAAACAGGGTGTAAGATGAGGAGTACCGTACCTTGCATGAAAGTTGCAAGATGGTCTGGTTACTTGTAAAAGTTTGAAGCACGCAAAGTCACAGCCCGAAAAGGTGCCTACAATCTTTGTTCAGAACCCTTGATTTTCATGGATTGAAATGACCCTGGGAAAGTTTATATCAGAATTGGCAGGTGGAGTAAACAAAGCCGTAGAAAGCCCACATAACTCCCGATGGCACCTGCCTCCTCCAACGTCAATCACATCACACCAATACTACTTTAACGAGTAATGTGTGTAGCTTTTTGATGGAATCACGCCCGCGAGGCCTCAAAGATAGCAAGGTAGGCACTGCAACTTATTCCCTGTCGCGGGATATACTATAGTAAGGTGTTAGGAAGGCCTGTGCCAAACCAAAAAGATAAGGCGAAGAAGCATGCCAACTCTTTCTTACCGAGCATATTCATTGCACGTCCTCCCTAAAGTCTTACGGACCATCCGTGAAGTCATTTTTGCCAAAAACTCAGCAACCATGCAAGATACTGTGGCCAGTAGTTACGCAGTCTCATTCATACGAAGTACGAAATACGAAATACTCCCGAAGTCAAAAAAGGTCAATGGAGAAAGGATACTAGGATACCTTGCTAGGATAGCTCCTCCTCCACACGCAATTGCGGAGGATCACGTCTTCCGCAATTAGTATGCAAGAATTCAAAGTGCAAAGCGCCCTGTGCACTTCAAAATGGTCATATTGTCCGACGGGAGTTGGAAATATTCGTCTGGATGTCACTTCCTTCTGCAATCCAATGTCTGGGCGTGGGCGGGTTGCCCTGGTATGGGAAGCTTGAAGCAGAAAAGCCTCTAAATCTTCATTTTGAGTTTCACAGGAAGGATTGTGCATGGGGTTTTGTGGGGGTTTTCTTCCCAAGCCTGCCACTCGCTTATCCACTAGGTGCTCCGTGCATACAAACAAGGATATCTGAGATGGGGATCACGAATTTGTAGGTAGGCAAAAATGAGACATAAACACGGCTATGAACTGCTCTCCTAAAGGTCGGAATGATATCGCACAGCCATTTTGCAAGCTAAGATCAACAACTGCGCAGCCTCTCTTCTCCGATCTTTTTTCAAGCAAACCATTACCCCGCAAACGGGAGGTCAATATCAATCATGGCAGGTTTAATGGCCAATATCACTCTGTCTCCTCCACCAACGATAATTGACGACAGTCAAAAAGACTACACTGTCGCAGCAGTGTGTATTATTCTGGGAATAATCGGTTCAGCATGTACGAGTTTGCGACTAGGCTTCCGATTCCAACAGAGAGCCTTTGGGGCTGATGACTGGGCAATGTTGGTCGCTTTAGTCAGTAGAATCCCAAAGTTCAATGCGAGTGAGTTTTGCTAACCCACTACAGTTTTTGTATATTGGACACACAATCATGGCAGGTTATGTTAACCTCAATGGAGGAATTGGAAAGCCTCTTTGGGTTGTTACAAACGGAGAGTTCATCATCTGGTTCAAGGTTAGTGAACACGACTTTGGCTTCTGCAGCGATGACTATCATACTGATCAAAGTAAACTGCTAGGGTGTAGTGGGAAGTGCTTTTCTCTACCCAGCCATGACATCCGCAATCCGAGCCTCAATCGTCCTCTTCTACCATCGAATATTCTCCCAGACCGTCCCAAACTTCAAATGGGCAGTCTACGTCTACCTGGCTTTGACAGCCGGTATCGTCGTTGTGTTTTCGATCTTGCCAGCCACAATCTGCCCCACTGACAAATTTTCGTCTTTGTGGTCGCCATTGCTCCGTCAAAAAGATTGCAAATCCGATCTATACTATGTCAATACCCAAATTTCACTTTACAGTTGCAGCGTCGCGTTCGACGTTATTTTGCTCTTCATGCCACTCTATCCAATTACTAAGTTACAGATGCCAGCAAAGAAGCGAATGGGCGCTCTCATCATGTTCATGCTTGGTTCCTCGTAGGTTACACCCGAGCCTCGCTTAGACATCGTGGGTAAAAATTGCTAAAAATCTGGATAGAGCATGTATCGCAGTATCGTATAAACTGGCAGTTTTCGTCATGCAAATGGCTAAATACGATCACATCGATCCTCGTTGTAAGTTTGAAGCGAAATTACATTCAAACGGGAAACTGACAAGTTTTAGGGATGATGACCCAGCTCTCTCGCGTAGTCCCCCCTCAATTCGACGCCTACGGGTATACCTTCTGGATCCCATCTCAAGTCGAACCTACCGTTGCCTTGATCGGAACGTCACTTCCAGCCATATCACAAGCTCTGATGAAATTGTCACCCGGCTTTAAGAAATTCATGGCCACAGTTGGGAGCACCAATCGAACCAAAAGCTCTCAAGGAGTTGTAACCATGGAGTCCAAATATGAGAACTTGGAGGGTCCCAACGGCTATCTTAAGGGAGACAGTGAGTCCCAGGTCGGGCTAAGAGACACCAATTATGAATTGAAGAGCATTGATGAGAGACGGGGGGGACGCTGATGAATTGGCCAGGAGCTCTGTAACGACGATTTTATGACAAATAGGCTTGTTTTTTTATTCTTCCTTTCTGTTGACCAGTTGGCCATTTTCCTCTCTATTTTTGACTCGGATGAGAGTTTTGTTGTATTGCGAAAACGAGTATAATAACTGTGGGGGTTTCTTCTGTACAAAACAAAAGTATAGAAATCTGAAAAGAATCTCCGACTCTAAAGTCCTCATGTGCGAATATTCGAAACCGAAAAAAAGAATCATCCGCAATTTTGGGATAAATGGTGGCCTCTCTTCGTCTATTCTAGCGCTTTAGATTAGTTTTGCCGTGAGAACTACCTTGACATAATTAGTGGATGGAGAACACCATCGAAAACATGAAAAACAGTACAGATTAGCACACCGATAAACAAGAGTCGAAAAATAATCTGCTATATTCCCGTTACATCCATTTTGAAGCGCTTATCGTGTCCAAAAGGGAATTTGCGCTAGCCGGGGCAAAGGCTTTCCCCTCGCCCAAAGTCACGTCAAAAAAAAATAGACCTGGCAAAGGAAAAGCACACTATTAAATTATATTGGCATTAAATTGGAGGATGTAATGGAGCCATGGTCAAGTGATGGATTTTCTTGGCATTAGGCTTTTGGTGGGGGTTTAGAGTTTAAGCTGGCCGCAAGAGGGTCCTTACGGAATGGTCATCATTATGACCGTGTGAAATGGAGGGGTGAAATCCTCTTGAATCCTTTGAATGATCCGATAATGTAGCTTTGGTATGATCTGTCATCCACAATTCGTTGTCATGTAGACACAAGTCCGAGATCAGACAGAAAATGGTGGCGAAGCAGCATGAGATAAGAAGCATTGCCCTCGGTTCTCGCATGGTGGAGGCCACTGACCCGCCTCTCATTTCACTCATACTTCAGTAGTCTCCGCTTTGAGATACCAGGCGGTCGGGCAATCGGATCGCCAGGGCATCGAACGCGTGGGAACAACGTGCTTCGGAGAGCAGAAATCCTTATTAAAGATGAATTGGCACAGCCACTTTTTTGCCATCCCGTCAAGCCTCGAACATTAGTTCTCTCTCTTCCCAAGATGCTTATTTCAACCTTTCTCGTCGGGGCCCTTCATCTTGGAAGTTGTCTGGGGCGACCACAAACTCGCCGCGATGAAGTGGTGCCTGTGGTCGAAAGCAGCATCGCCGACTTTGTCGAGTCTCTTCAGCTTCCGGCCGACACAGCGGAACTGATCACCAACACTTTGACTTCAAACGACGAAGTTATAGTGCTTCTTTCCAATGCCACCTCTGAGGTTGAGAAAAGAAGTCTAAAATCCTCCTCAAAACTTGCTCCAGTAGCATGCGACATCCTCCAAAAGTGCCTGGGAAATGCCGTCGTACAGGCATCTTCTCGCGCATTGATCGAAGTCAACTGGTACGTCCCCATAACAAAGCACAGCACTTGGGCCCGGTTCCTACGTTAACAACCGGTGCAGGTCGCAGGAGTGTTGGTTAACACCGCAATGTATCATATCACCTGCCTCATCACGCGATGTATCAGTCGCAATCAAAACTGTCGGTTTCCTGAACACCAGGTTTGCTGTCCGCAGTGGCGGGCATTCTCCAAATCCCGGCTTTTCTAGTATTGGGCCCGAAGGAATTTTGATCGAACTGAGCAGATTAAATCAGGTGACACTAAGCGCCGACAAGAAAGTGGCCTCTGTTGGTCCCGGTCTGAGATGGGGAGATGTCTACAAGGCTTTGGATGCCTCCGGCGTCACAGCCATTGGTGGGCGTATTCCAAGTGTCGGTGTCGGTGGATTGATCCTATCTGGTGGAATATCGCATTTCTCTGCTCAGTTCGGGCTCGCTGCAGATAATGTCGAGAACTTTGAAGTAAGTGATTTATGATTAGCTCAACATCCGGCGATATTAGTTTCATATAGAAGCTTACATGAACGAATAGATTGTGTTGGCAGATGGCTCTGTAGCCAACGCAAATGCCCAGTCCAATGCGGACCTATTCTGGTCATTGAAGGGGGGCGGACCTAACTTTGGTTAGTACAATTTCAGGTCGACTCGCTATAGCGTCTCTCGTCTCCGATTAGTCGCTAACAAATCTGGTAGGAATCGTTACCAAGTATGATCTTTATACTGCTCCAGTCAAAAACATCTGGTATACTGCCCGGGTACATCTCGCCTCTGATGTCCCAGCCCTTTTGGCCGCTTTTGTTCAATACCAGAATGAAGGAGCTTTGGATGAAAAGACCTCTGTCCTATTCCAGATTGGGCTAGACACAGTAACTGTGGGATTGGTTTATTCCGAGAATGCACGTCAACCAGCCGCTTTTGACCCTTTCTTCAGAATCGCGCCTCTGGTGCTTTTCGTTCCACCCACCAATGGTACCGTGGTATCCTTCACTGATGTTCTTGGTGCTGTCTTTGGTGATGCAGACCAACCGTAAGATCCCTCCGTGCCACGAAGAACCACGGGATTGACTAACACGAATCATTAGACACGACTATCGTGGTGCCTCCAGTCTTGTGGACCTTGCCCTGTACACTGAGGTAGAAACATTCTGGAGAACGCAAGCCAGCGCCGTCCGAGCTGCAACCGGCGCGAACATGACTTTCACCATGCAGCATATGCCTCAAAGTGTGGTCACCAAAGGAACAGCAAGAGGTGGAAATGCTCTTGGAATGGTAAACAAACCACAGCAATGTAAGACCCATTCTCACATCAACGAGATAAAATCACTGACACCATCAGGGTGGACTACTGTCGTCGACTGGTCATCTGCATCTCAGGATGCCGCTGTGCGAGATCCTGTCATCGCCGTCGGAGAAAAATGGAAATCAGCTGGACAAGCGCGTGGGTCTTACGTTCCTCTCATATACATGGGTGATGGTTCCCGAGATCAGAACCCTCTCGCATCATATGGAACAGAGAATCTTAACAAACTAAAGGCGACTGCTAAGAAGTACGACCCTAGAGAGTTGTTTCAGACTATGCAACAGAGTGGTTTCCTTCTTTCTAAAGCATGAAATGATGTGGGTTGAGGGATGAAAACGAATCATGATTCATAAGAAGGTGGTCTCGCTGTGAAAACAGTAAATAATGTATAATTAAATTGCAAAGCTTTCACAAAAAGTATGAACCGAATGCACTCACCTTCGATACCTACTTGAAAAGAACACATTGACCTCCTAGATTCGCTTTATCAGATGCTAGGGTTTGTGTCAAAAGACCCGTTGCAGGACCGTTGGCTGAATATAGAGATCGGTGTAACCCAATTGAAGTCTATCTCTTGAGAGGCATTCTCAAGCTTTCGGATGAACAGATAAGCTCAGGGCCAAGCTGCCGATCTGATGATGGGTCGTGATTCGAGCGACGTGGGCGGCCTGAACCAAACAATCGCCCAGACGAAAAGCGCTGCTATACAACTGCTGTGCGTAGGACCTCTTCGCCCCAAAGTTTGATGTCTTTTGTGAGGCTCAGAAGATTTTTTCATGATACATCTGTCATGTCTTTGTTCTGTACAGTGTCACCGGTGGTGCATGTTCTATGACTCTATTATTTCGTAGCTCAAGGTTACGCAACGCGGGTGCTTGATAGTGTAATCCTCTGGTGGTTAGACCTACTGAGATTGAGAATTGATAACACGTATGCCAGATTGGAGCTTGAGAAAGATGCTGTACATGATTGTTGTAAGGGGTGCAAGATCTACCCTTACAGTCGCAATATTGAAGGTGGAAGTTGGACCTGGGTCGCTTCGTCATTGAAATTTGCTTACCCCTGCAGGTGAGGTCACATTTTTAGGTTTCACGTGGTTGCAAGGTTATTAGTAACCCCAAACAAATTGGAATACTTATTAGCGACAAGTGTCTCAAAAAATTCGAGCAATACAGCGGTTGCGCGCTTTGATGGGCTCTCGGTGTACCGGCAGAACCTGACCTTATATTTGTACCTTGTCAGGTGACCTGCATGGGTGAGCATCCATGATTCCAATTCTATGGAGATAAAGCGAGAGCAAGACCCATGGTACACACAAATATAGTGGTGATTAGCTTTCATCGATTTGAAATTTTCGCATAAATACAGCTTGGTTGATTATTCCATGATTTTGTAGTCGCTAAAGATAACAATTCACACAAGGCAATTGGGTTGAACTCAAATCGTAATGTAAGTTGTTTTGAAATTCCTAGAAGGTAGAACATTAGAGAGATACTTTGTCGCTAATCTTTTAATAGCAGCAAGCCAAGCATACAAGATGTAACTATACCAAACTTATAGAAAGAACGGTACTCGTAGGCCGCTCGTGCAAGAGACTTGGTCATTACTCTGGACACACCTAGCTTAGAATAATGTTATTCCACAAGCCTCGCACAACTAAAATATACATATAAATGGTTAACATAATTGATAATTGGTAAATTTGTATAGACTAGGCATACTAAGACATTCAACTTATTTGTACTAAACCCTTAGTATAATATAAATTCTTGCAGTGTGTACAGTAAGGCAGTTAGGCGAAACTCTGAACACACCTAGGTTTAAAAAAAAGATCATTCTAATAGTCTCGTACAATTAAAATGGTCCTTCGAGCGATTTAGGATAATTATGATCGATATATCTTTCTTAACCTAATTTGTTTAGGACAATTAAGTTAATTGTTATAGGAGTTCTGGTAAAATAGAGGTTCAAAGGTGTGTCCAGAGTTTCGCCTAACCATCTCACAAAGTATGACCAGGTCTCTTACAAGCTTATAAGGATATTAAATTCTCTGGTAAGATAAGAAAAATTTTATCATGTTGATTAGGCTTGTAGACCATCGCAACCAGTTGAAATGGGTCGACGTCGCAATACGGGAGCTTGAACAGAAGAAGATTTGATGACATAAATCAGGAGTAATGCTCGCAATGGTATTGCTTCGTCGAATACTGCATTGAAACTCGTTGAGTTTCTTTGTAATCATGCTCGCAACCACGACAAAATCAGAAAGGAAATCCACAACATTCTCATAACACGTGCAAAGGGAAAGGCCTCCGAGGTAGGATTGGGAGAACGTTTCGAGGTATACCTTAACTCGCACCCGATATATTTCCACGAGGACGGAGTAGAATCAGGTAATCGAAACTCACAGTTTGTTAAGATTTAACTCCTGGGGGACATATGGATTATTCTGATTCAAGTATTCAAGTGCCGGCGCTTGGTTTTATGTATCTAACTAGGCATACATTTCTGGGATATGTAAGTAGCTAATCTGGAGGAAAATACAATTATCTTTTCATACAAACTTCATATTCCTCTTACTTTGATTTAACTTATCTTAGATAAGTAAGTTTAGCTACTACCCTCTTCTATTGTAATTGCCATGTAAATAGTAATGATTCGTCGCTACTGAAATACTCGCCCCTTTATTAAATAATAACAGTCGATTTTCAATGAAAGTACAACCTAATTAATACAAGTAAAGTATAACGCCTCGTGGGTTCTCTATATCTAAAAACAAACTATTCCGACCTTTACCTTCTCTATACTGGCCCTACACGGCCTCATGGCTAGATTATTATAGTCTATATTATATGGATAGTAACGTGGGGAAAAGTGCGGAGGGAGAGAACATAATTTTTCGTATAGATTAGTAGGGTGTTATAGTATTTACAACCTCTATTCCTTTCCTTATTAAAAGAGAAAAAAGAGGAAACTTACTACTATTCTAACATTTGAACCGTGTATAGGGATCTAAATTTAATATAGACTCTATATTTTCTTTTTACATAGTACACCAATAAGCTGATGTAAGTTGTAAATATCTACAGTAGACTACTAGGGGTACTTGTCTTAGTTGTCTAAAAAAAAATAAAAAAATAGAGACATATACAAATTAGCTCACTTGATTTTCTCTTACCGGGAAGCTTCTAAAAGTTAACCTTAACACCTTAGGTCCTGTGAAATAAGGGGAAGTCATTTTAAGTTAAGAATCCCCTGAAATCTCTAGTAGTGAATATACGTTAGTGGATTTAAATATACAAGTCTTTTTTCTTACTAGTGAATATATATATATATACTTTAATTTAATAAAATCTTTTTCTATAAAGTATATAATTAATATTTTAAGAAAGATAGTAATGTTTACTTTTATAAAATTAATGAAATGTCTTTTTAGAGACATAATATTTTAGAAATTCTTTATAAATAAATAGTTAGAATAACTATAATCTAATAATGTTTATTTAGTTTAAAACAATAAACGACTTTTTAGATAAATAATTTTAAAATAATATTTATAATTCTAAAACATACGTGACAACAGTTTCGGAGGACTAATGTACGCATAACCGCCGAGTGCCATTGATATCCTCCAGGTAATATAATGGTCGGACTAGATAGTATGTACTACGCTGGACAAAGTGATAGTAATTTGAGCACATGAAACGCAAAATCAACTGCTGCTGACTTTATGTGCTGCATGTAGAACTTAGTCAGCACGACGTCGGAAACTACTACAGCCGCCAAGTCTAGCGGCTGCAACGTACACCTGAACGACAACCAGACCGCCTATTCCTCCAATGGATCATTTGTATTCCGAACAACCTCGCAGGTCCCCCTATGTAGCACGATTAACTGGACAGCTCATCAAGATAAGTAAGCTCGCGTCACTCACCGGAACGAAAGTGGGATAGTTTCTTCCAGCGGGGTAGTTTTAAGAAAGAAAACAAGACAAATAGCTAGACCTCCTTCAACAACCATCCAAGTTTTTTGCTGCTCCGTTTAATTAGTGGCATATCAATACAATGGCAAAATTAGCAAGCGAGGAGACTCCTCTACTCATCGCTTCCGGAACTGGCCCGGCCATCCAGGCCTCACAACCACAAGGTGATCTCCTCACTCGGAAAATATCAAATAATGGCGACACCACAACATCAAAATCAACTAATGTTGAATACGAAAATGTGCCGTTACCAAAATTTCAGATTTTCGTCTTATGCGTCGCGAGAGTGATCGAGCCAATGGCATTTTTCGGCATTTTTCCTTTCGTAAATAAAATGATATGGGAGACTGGCGATATAGACGAGTCAGACGTTGGGTTCTACAGTGGTTTAATTGCATGCCAACATCTCCCCATTTATCCTGTCATTGAGTTAGTCTTATGACACTGAAGAAGCAGAATGCTAACAGAAACTTTCCCTCTTTAGGAATCAATGTTTTCCTTCACACAAATGTTGTTGATGATTATGTGGGGTAATCTCTCGGATCGGACTGGAAGGAAACCAGTCATGGTTTTTTCGTTGACGGGTGTTGCATTTGGAACAGCGTTATTTGGTTTCAGCAAAACTATATGGCAAATGATTCTGTTTCGGTGCTGCGCTGGAATCTTTGCTGGAACGGTAGTGTTCGTACAGATGAAAACCCATTGTTCTTCAGCATATACTAATGAGACTATAGAACTATAAGGACGATGATCACGGAGAATAGCACGCGAGAAACTCAGGCGAGAGCTTTCAGCTTTTTTGCTTTCAGCGGCAATCTTGGAATTTTGGTTGGACCATTGCTTGGTAAATACCCCCAAACGTTTTATATCATCGCTCCTAATCACTGAAGATTTTTAGGCGGGGCTCTTTCAGAGCCAGCAAAGCAGTATCCAAAGGTATTTGGACATTTGGCCATCTTTAAACAGTTCCCGTATAGCCTTCCAACTTTGGTGAGCGGACTTCTAGCTTTGCTAGCAACTGGTGTTTGTTGGGTGTTTTTAAAAGAGGTTATTATGATTGTCTCCCAACTTTTCGAGTTGTGATTAACATACACCTAGACGTTGAAAAGAAGAGTTGCAGATGCCCCGGCTCCTCCCCCAATTGCAACGATGGACATCATCAGATCTCCCGGGGTACCAATCATTTTGTTCCTTTATGGTCACGTAATGCTTCTTGGACTGGCATACACAGCTGGTAGATATAGTTCTCCCAAGTCTCACTGACAAGACTAATCGGTTCAAGTGTCTCCAGTTTACTGGTTTACCGATATATCGATTGGTGGTTGTTCTTTCACTCCCATGCAAATTTCCTACTTTCTTGCTGGAATTGGAATTTCGCAAGCAACATGGCTACTCCTCGTCTTCCCGCCTCTGCAATTAAAATATGGCACGGGAAACGTTTTGCGTTTGTGCCTATACGCATGGCCTTTCTTTTTCGCGGCCGCACCACTTTGTAATTGGTTTTTGAGAAAGGGATGGACAACAGCCTTCTGGATTGTGGCTCCGACAATAATGATTGGGGGCAGCGGAGTAGCCATGGCATTTAGTCAGTCACGCCTTTCGACGAATCCTAGATTGACATGCTAACACGATTTTGCAGCTGCTGTCCAACTGGCTCTGAACGATATTTCTCCCTCCCAGCGAAGTCTCGGTACTCTCAATGGAGTAGCTCTTACATTGACCTCGGGAATCCGCACGATAGGGCCAGCTATTTTCACGAGCTTGTTCGCAGTTGGTGCTCGCACACAGTTTCTGAATGGGTATTTAGTGTGGGTGATTCTGATTTTGGTTGCGCTTTTAGGGATTGTAGGGATGAGATACTTCCCTGAGGAAGCTGAAGGGAGGGTAAAGAAGCAGGCTGTGGTCGAGGAATGAGGTTTCTTTGAATGATACTATTATTGTGTAAGCTGTCTTTACAGAAAAGACTCGCAACAAGGATATGGATGGGCCCGGATATAGTATGCTAAACACATGAACGAGGATATCCTTATGGCGAGTTCCTTAGCATAGGCAACGGCAAGGTCACATATTTAAGTGTTAGGAATACATAAACTAGTTACTCGTAGAGGATTAGTACTAGACGTAGAATTATACACTCTTGTCTCTAAGTCCTAGCTTTTTACTAAAAATGTTAGGATTCTACGTAGAATCACTTATATCCAATAAAAACATTATAATTGGGTTATTATAAGGCCTTAAGGAGGTCCTTAGAATTTAATCGAGGATATTTTTATTATAAAAAAGATTTGAGACCTATAAAACCTAAGGATATCCTTATAGCGAGTATATCCGCAGATCTACTAAAGTCTTACCTATAATAATCGGGACTAAAAGCCTAAGGATAAACGAGGATATCCTTATAGCGGGGATCCTTGTATCGACTCTCGAGTTTTTTCTTTGCAGATTCTAGGCGTCCGGACTCCGGAGATATGGAAAAACAAAGTTGCACAGACAAAGGTAATTAAGGGTCGGATTTTCTGTTAATACATTTCAAATCCGACTTTCAGTATTGAAAGCAACACTGTCTCAGGCCTCCCAAGAAGTACTATCTAGCACCTCATCTTCCTCAAAGGTTTGGATTTCCAATGCTTCAATTTTTCTTCCCCTTATCTGCTGGAGTGCCTTATCTTACGGAGTATTCGTGTCTCTCGTTTATGTGCAAGAGGTCCCATAAATATTCATCATCACACGTCGATCACAAATTTGGACCTCGGTTTTTCATTCGCAGGCGCTCCATTAAATGATCTGTGTATTGAGGATCCTTCGCACGGTCTTCGGATCGTTTGAAAATGTCTTCCTTGGATGCTCCGTGCAACCCGGATGTTGGAAAGTTCAGTTCTTGGTGGTTGTGCAAATTAACTTGCGGTACGGAGTAAATGGCTGCATCTCATCCATCTGAATACAGTACTAACTTACGGTCAAAATGCATTGCGAACGGAATATGTTACTTGGAACTATGGGGATGTATTTGCAAGAGGTAACACAAGTCACCAGGGGAGTCCCAAGTGCTGCCGCGAAAGCGTCAGTTAGATTGGGATTCGGGAACGAATTGGCATCAAGGATATTCCAGGGAAGGTTCCTCAGGAGCCCTGAAATTACCCCGCTACCGTACTTAATCTGGGCATATTCCACCTCTCGTACTGAATACTGGCGGCACTTAACCCCGCTTGCCGAGGTTCGCGATTGACACTAAAAACGATGCGGAGTACGGATCAACGAGCGATTTTTTGGTAATCTTCTTATGACAATCTGATGTATTATGTTCCATTCAAATTAATCTAGATGAAGGGGTCGAGACCAATATGCTAGGTCAATTGTGCTATCAAATTAGCAAAGCCAAATCAGTTTATGTACTGCCTGTTCTACTCGAGTGATTTTCAGCAGCCGCAAGGTGCGCTTGGTCCCCTTGACGCCATCACTGCCCTACAAAACTTCCCTCCCAGTTTCCAGGTTACGAAGTAGCAAGATGAAATATGATCAGATCATTTCAACAATCTCCTTTCAGCATTCGGGGAAAGCATTGTCCGATAAATGTGCTTATTGAACAACCTCAAAAATCCGGGGCCTGATCTGCATGCAACCTTAACCTTTCCAGACCAAGAAAGTGCATAAAGAAGAATCCGTTCAACAATTTGTGCAAAGAATTGGCGTGACATTAATCTTCACCGATAGGGATTCATGGATGTTATTCGCAAGACCGTTTCATGTATCAGACGAACCTAATCTTTGCCTCCGCTGGGCAGGAACTGAACCATTCTTGGCGGGTAAAAGTTCGCCAATATCTCAGTTGACCCCACAAAAGTATCGTTTGCCATCGACTTTTAACCGTTTCTAGTGGCTCACTCCTAGCTGCGGGACTTGGAAAGCTATGGTGGGTAGGGTTAATGGTGGGGGAGCTACTTCTACGAAGTACTTCCTTGTGCGTTTGTGACAAACTTCGGAGCGGGTACCGTGCCTATTCATCCTTGAGCTTGTCAATTACCACATGGGGATTGATGGGGTGGAGGCGCCTGGCTTATACAATCCATACCTTCCACGTGGAATCGAAGGGGCTGCTGCTTCTCGTTCTTATTGAAAGGCGAAGGTATCCGGTCTCTTGGGACACGAGGTTGCACTTTCTTCTGTTGGTTTGCTGCTTCAAATTTTATTCTCCAGCCAGTATGCACAATGGCTTCAACTGGCGACCCTAAGTTGGCCGCCTACCTTGTTCACATGGCAGAGCTGGCATCAGAGCAGGATCTTACGGAAGATGTCAGAGGCAGTGTTTCGGAATTGGGCTACTCGTTCACTGCACTTGCTGTTATATTCGTTTTGGTGCGTTTTGGTGCAAAGTACAAGCAAGGAGGATATACTTTGGACGATTGGCTACTGGTTGTAGCTACAGCCTTTCTTATTGGAAATACTGCTCTACTTGGCATGAGTATGTACTTCATTTTTCTTTTCCGTGGTTGTGCTGATAGCGATAGTGGTCAGTTATGGACTGGGCCTACATACAGCAGCAGTTGCTTCAAAGGGGCCAAATGGATTACACAATGCTATGATGGTTGGCAAGGTAAGGATCGGTGGCTCCGCGGCGTGTTGAAAACCACTGACTGGTCACTACAGCTTCTTTTAGTTCATGAGCCCTTGTTGTTCCTAAACTTAACGATTGTCAAGATTTCTATTCTCCTGATGTACTATCGACTATTTCCCTCCCGCGTTGTCCGAACCCGAGCAATGATTTTGGGGATATTTGCCATTCTTTGGACCATTGTACTCGTATGTCTTGCAGAAGGACAGTGTGTTCCCCTTAAAAAAGCCTATGCTCCATGGATAGATGGCCGCTGTTTCAATTTGCGAATCATTTTTGTGGCAATTGCACTTCCCAGTATCATTCTCGACTCGCTCATTGTTCTCTTACCGCTGCCGCAAGTTTGGAAACTGGATATTAACAAGGCCCAGAAGATTACGCTTTCACTGATCTTCTTGACTGGTGCATTCGTGGTAGTAATGAGTATTTATCGATTCGTTGTACTGTTCGAGTATCATCCTATGGATCCGATATTCACACTTGCGCCTGGAATGGCTTGGAATATCGTGGTACTCTCCAGTGCAATTATTGCTGCTTGTTTACCGGCTCTCGTATGTTTTCTCGGGCGATGGCCCGTTTTGGAAGAAGAAGAGAATGAATGCTGACCATTATTCAGGGGCCAATGGGCCGAGTATTCATCAAAAGCTTGCGTGCTGCCATTCCAGACAAGAATGATATCGAGAATCCTCATGTTCTCAATTCCCTACCTAGTAGATTTTGGCCGGGAAAGGAGAAGAAGCATATCAGCATTGAAGGCTCACGGATAGGAGGCGATAACTCCTCGAGACGGACGAGCGCAGCCGGTGACAGTTTGAAGAGTCCGGTCAGCTTGAAAAGACCGGAAAGTTCAAAGGGACCGAGAGAAGAAGACGTCAGAGAACAAGATGAGAGGGGGGCGATGGATTTGATAGATGCGTTGAACAGCCCATCAAAACTGGCCGTTGTAGTGGAAGCTTCGGAGTCTGATTGCGATGATGAAGAACACGGGATCATCACCATGTTGCATGTTTGTGAATGCCAAAGTGGGAAATTCCCGAAGGAACAGAGAATAAATAGGAATACCCTTTAGAATACATGATTTTACGGCATATTTAGAATAATGATAATGATAAGGCTTACATCGCTCACAAAGAAATTTGTCTTCAACGCTCAAGAAAGTGATTCTTATCTTCTTGCTATATTCCAGTCATCGTGGGACAATCTGAGCAGTAGAATAAATCAAAAAGGGCCAAAAGGAAGAATCAATTTGCAATCATGCGATACTTACTAGCTCCTGCCACAAAGATGCATCACTTTTCCCGAAGCCCACAGAGAAGATCATAAGGCCACTCACTGTATGGGGTTATCCCTTACTCCGTAACTGACACAAACCGGTAAGCAGGAATGCCTAATCAGGTTTGGCCTTAGTACTCTCGCCAATCAAGACCGTTACTCGAGTAGAAAATAATCAAAACTGGTAGAACGCAGCCTGCCAAACCTGATTAGGCGATTCTGCCTACCGGTTTGTGTCAGTTACGGAGTATCGGATAGCCACTCCGATATCCAGAGAAATAGCAAGTGGTTTTCCAAGACCAAAGAAGCCAATTCTATAGTTTCCAGATCAGCTGAGCCCACTGCCGCCCAAGGCGCGCTCCCTTGAAAACTGTTATTATGGTTTTACGCCATGTGATTTATGTTTATGGCAAATGCGACCATAGCCCACAACCGCGTCATCGGAAGGCTCTGGGCAGGCAATTTGATGTTTCAAATATTCAGCTTTTTGTGGTGTCTGTAGACTAGTGATCATGTTACTCGCCAAGTCTTGGGACTTTCTCTCCATCAATTTCATGAAGATGTTAACAGGGTTATAAGAGAAAGGTCCTTCAACTGCCGAGTTTTTCGGAGTACGAAGTAGGTATTGATATAAGTCTCGGTTAGTATCCGGTACAAAAATTGGCGGTGTTGATTTTGAATATCGTGGAGAAGGATTTCCAATCTGATTCAGATATAAACTTTTCCAAGAGATTAACTCGTCCAATCACTCTCCAGAAGACGGTTCAGAAGAAAATTTTAGTCAGAATTGTTTTTTTTAGAACAGTTTTCCGCGATGATCAATTCCTGTATATGGAATAGGTTGAAACCGCAGCACCACATTTAGTGCTGACAAGGGGAAACCAGACGTTCGCTTAGTCTTTATCACGTGTCACCAACTGCCGTCAGATCAACACCTTAATCCAGTAAATTTCTAGGATCCTTAGTATACATGAAGCTGGTTTAAAAGATCTACGGATACCTCGGAAGAAGAGAGCCCCCATCTCGCATCCCCAAATCTCATCAAAAGTGTCATAATGGTCTTACCACACGTCCTCTCCCAGACTGCCAATATGCAACTACTCGACAACTATACGCGGTACATCCTACGAACGAACCTCCCTCATCCAGAATTTTATACGGAGAATGCGAGCCTCCAGCTCTTTCATTGGGATCTGCAGAGCAAGTTTGAGGTCCTCGGATGTCGATTACTGTAGTGAGCTAGCTGCGAGCGACGTACAAGACTGATTTCTTGAGCCATCATGAGATCTTCCCCTCTCATACTCGGGCCCAATTTTCCAACGATATTGTCTCTTGATATCAAGTGAGAGAGAAGTCCTTAGAAGTTCCACAGTACGTACCCACAGGATCAAGGGTCTGAATACTCTCTCGGTACTTGTCACACCAAGTAATCCAAATGGCTTTTGACTTGAAATTCTTTATAGGCATGTACGCTGTAGGCTTAGGGTAATCAAGCCAAATAGGGTCTAAGTATCAAGGTTATCTTATAGGAAAACAAGGTAGCGCATTCGATATTAAATAATTAGTTCGCTCCCTTAAATCAAAGAGTAAATGCGGGGTTTTTAACTAGAAAGAGAGTAGTTAAGTTAAGTAGTAGTACCTACTTAATTTAATACAAGGGTTTTTTAACCCTCCTTAATTAATACTTGAGTAATTGAATCTACTACCTAATATTAATTAGGTAGTTAAGTCTACTATTTATTAACTCTACTTAACTCGGCTACTACTTAAGTAGTAATTAAGTAGCTGATTAATCTTTTGCCACGCTAATCTCGAACAAAAAGTTGTCTTTTCTAGTAGTAGTGTATATAAAAGATAACCTTTAGAACTAGGGGTAAAGAGTTTCTTTTAGTCATAGAATATTAAACCTTAATATCCTATAGATTACCCTTTTTCAAGTGTTACTAATCTCTTAACTCTATACGTAGACAGGCTCTTGGAAAGCTAGATATAGCCGATATAGTATACTACTTATTAATATTACGACTTGATTTCTCGTTAGAAAACAGTACCCTAATTAATATATATACAATCCAAATTATACCTAATCCTCTATTAGGGATAGTCTTTACTTATACGTCTATAGTACTTATCGACTAAGACTACTACTCTATTATACCTAAGCGAAGGAATCTATTTAGAATCAATGTTTTAGGAGACAGGTTACGTCTAATTCCAAGGCTGTCTATAGCGGTCCGACAACTAAACATATATACCTAGGTAGGTAAATACCGCGAAGAGGGATAAAGGGTAGAGATATAACGGTTAGAGTTAGTATAATGACGTTATATAAAGAGGATATTAGTGTAACGAATACTCAAACTGGCTAACTAAACTTGGCTGGGTGTTCGCTGGTTGGTATGCTATGATAAGAAGAAGACTATCGGGTTGTTCACTTGGAAGTGAACTCGTTACTTGTATCAAAGATGTCAAACTAATATGATAAGATTGATAACTAAGTTGAGCACGAAGCTCCTATCTAATGGCAGAAGTGCCAGTCTTATATAGAACCTTCGTTCTACTGGATCCCTTCTGGATCCGTGGATCCCTTTGGATCCCTCCTGGATCCATCGGGGTCCATCACGTGACAACAACCAAATGAAATCCATGGATCGCTTAGCTGGCCTAAGCAATCCCTATTTGCTATAAGAAACCTGGATGTGCCTGTCGAGGGTTGCGCCTCTTTATTATGACAAGTATCACGTGAGCATGTGATTCGTGACAATTAGTTGTCTTTAGTAGGGTTTAGAAGTAGGGGGACGCTAGTACCGAATTTAGGTAGCCGATAATCTAATTCCTAGAAGGATAGTAAATCGCCCCCTCGGCTTCACCTAATAGGCGGTCTAAGCTTTTAGTACGTTATTCGTATCTATTTCATCTTAGTCTTGCCACAACATCCACACGTTGCTTATTCACGTGACCTGGCACTGGCATATAAACGTTTATAGTCTAGCTAGCTACCTTCCTCGTAATATATAAGTACAATCAATTAAGCAATAGATTGAATTAACAGAATGCCCTTCTTGTGACGGAGCTGGATTTCATTTGACAGGATTTCATTCGCTTGGCCAAGCACGTGACGAGACTTGGCATTGGAACAACTTAAATAACTTCGCTCCTTTCAGATTCTCTTCTCTCTTTAGTTTGATTTCTTCGTACCTACGGTTTTAGTTCTAGCAATTGATTCAAAAGCTGTATACACTTTATCCTTTGTTGGCATCCGTGACACTTCTACTAAGGACAATCGCCTTTATAGCCGTCCGATAGACATACCTCTTCAACTCATCTCCACGGAATGACGTTTCTCTCCCTCTTTCGATTCTCCTAATAGCTTCACACCCAAAATCTACATAAAATCATACGCACCTCAAACTCAGCCACGCGTCCGCTGCAGCTCTCCCCTAACCCCTCTCAAACAAAGCTATTAGTCATTAGGTACTCATATCCCTCGCTTAGAGAGACACGTTCAACTCGAATGCCCTCCTAATATCACGTTACATCTTCGCTTTTCCTTGCTTGGTTTCACTCGTTGTACTTGTATCACTGTTAAATCTCCCTTAGATCAAGCAATCCCAAGTAACTCTCTTGGACTTATCGGCCTTATCTGTCCTATATTATGTATGATATCGTTGGTCCTATATCGAATTGATGTCCGAAATCCAACGCCGGGATTCAAAAGCGAAGACTGTAAATGAGAGGGGGGTGTTCATATACTAGCAATTTGGATCGGTGAGAAATGAAGTTATAGGGGGTGTACATGTATATATACGGGGGGGAGCAGGTATATCGACTCCTACCCCCCTCGCCTAATTGGTGGTCCGTGCTTAAGATACGTCATTTATAATAACTCTATCTTTCTCTTAACACTACACTTTTAAAAGCATAGTAATCCCGTGTTATTGATTAACGTATCTATTTTGTAGTATCTAAGGAGTATTTTAAAAAAAAGTTCAAGTTAATAGATATACTTTTAGGTAAGTAATCAAGTCTTATAGAAAGTCTGTCCGTAGTATTACAATATTTGTTTATTAGCCCTATCTATAGGTATTAGAAATAATAATAAATTAGAAATAAAATTAACTTAATTAAATTAAGTTTTATAACTTATTATATAAAAGATCTCCTATTAAAAGTTATAAGAGCCTAGGACACTTGTTTACTCCTATAAATCCTTAAGCTATACCGCCTATTAGAGGATACGTATAAAGGTTTAATTTAAAGGTTCGATTTCGAGTTTTATAGTAAATTAGGTTTATACGTGATAAACCCCGCTTAAGTGAATAGGGGGTATTCTATAGTTACTTAAGTCGTTCTACCGCGGGAGTTCTCTCCTTCTCTCCTTCTCTCCTTCTCTCCTTCTCTCCTTCTCTCCTTTTAGATAATCTAATTAATATTTTACCCTAATATACCTGATAATATAGTATAAAACTAGTGGGAATAGGTTTATAGTTAATTTACGTAGCGTAGGTATAGGTTTTATTACCTAGTACTAGCTTTAAAGAAAAAACTTACCGCCCGAATAGGAACAGTGTTTAACACTAAAGTGGTAGGGCGGTGAATTTTCACGATTAGGCGAAGGGGGGGGGAGTCGATTTACCGCACTCCGGGGAGTCGATATACCCGCTCCCATACCGGGGAGTTATGTTTTAACTTGCAAAGATTCTTTCTTATAGTTCTATAATTGTTAAATTTATAAGGAGTTAATAGGACCTCTTATAATGAATAAGGATTCGGCAAGATACCTGCTCGTTACTCAGTACATATAATACAAAATTTTATTATAATAAACATCTAGTACAATTAAGATAATGATATTAGTATACCTAGGCTAATAAAAAGTAACCGGTAACAATTATTATAAGCTCTTTAGATAACCATTTCTTTTTCTTAGTTATATGAAGCTTTTAAAATAATTTTAGTTTAAAAGAGATGTATACAGAGTATCGACCGCGTCTCTTACACAATTAGGGTTCTAATTGTAAAGGAGTGTGAAGAGAGAGCGTGCTGAGCACTTCGGTTTTGTAGTATAGAGAGGATAAGGAGGCGAATTGGAGCGAAGTTCGATGGAAGCCCGCCTCGGTATCCATTAAAACATCCAAGATCCTTAGCGAGAAACCAGCAGTTGAAGTAGTAAAATCAAGTGCCTTGCATGTGAACATATTTCTTCTCGCCACATCCCCTCGGCTCTTTTAACAGAAAGCATTCAGCCTACAAGAGGCATATATTTGTTCCCACCCAAAGCCAAAGGTCTAAGCCTACCCATACTCATATTCTGCACATACTCCGTCTCCATAGCCACACTCTCCCTAATCCTACGAATCTTCTTTTTCTGATTAGCTCTGACAACTATGAGAATAGTCGTCAGGAATGTAAGAACATAAAGAATAGCCTGAGCAACCGAGACAAACCAGGTATGTCCCTATAAACACGTTAGACTAGCCACTAAAAAGTCTCCTGGAAGGAAGAGAGTGAATAACCTGCAAAGTGCACAAGCGATCAAAATTCACGATCCCCTGCACAGAACTTTGGATTGAATCCGCCTTAGAACTACAACTATATCCCCATAGATCCCGACCTGTCCGAAATATCCTATATGCTGCCGATGCCGCAATCCAAGTAACAACATGAATAGCTAAAATAGCATAGCCTACATACGAAGCCACATTACTGACTTTGTTGGCGGCCTTAACGGAGCGACAATAGCTAAAGAGGGCTATGACATTCAATACGAACGTGAGCGCTGAAACGGCGAGAAGGGCGATGGATGGCCATAACGTTGGAGAGGCGCCCCATATTGATGTCCCATCAACTTGGTGACTTTTGGTCGTGAAATATGAATAGAGAGTATATGAGAGTGTGGCAATCATTAGTGCATTCAGGATTGCGGATACGAAGCGGGAGATAAATCGCATAGTTCGGATGTGCTTTTTGTAGATCTGATAATAATGTTGCCAGCCAGCCTATTGTAAATCTCGGTCGAGCCGAGAAAAGAGAAATGGGGAGTTTTATGGCGCACCAGATCCATCTTTTCTGCTTCTGATAGCTGGAACTCTGAGTTCGTGGTTGATGTCTGTCGTAATGGTTCCACACCTGCGACAGAAACTCTCGGCTGTTTGCTGCCTTTATTCTTGCCCCAAAACGCCATGATGAAGGTTTGGAAAGAATTTGGGACTTCGATCAAATTATCTGAGATATGGACCTCAAATGGGACATAACCTTCGAAGGAACTGGGCGAAGAGAGTCCAAGAAACAGAACAAACTAAGAGGCAAGGCAACTGGGGATCAAAGCATCCAGGCAGAAAGAAAGCTTAGAGGGGACAGGAGGAATTATCTATTAAATTTACCAATTGCTTCCCGCATTTTGGGGGCGGTACGTTTGGTGGGGAAGCTCGCGTGCTAATCAGTAGCTCATCTTACGCCACGAGAAGCGTGCCTATCAGCGAGAGATGAGGCTGATTTCAGGCTCCGTTTTTCATGCGCCCGAAAAAAAGAAATGGTTGGTGCTAGTTTGCTAGTGCTTAGGGCTGACAACAAGGTTTGTGATTTGTTACCATCGACAGAGGAATTTGAGGCTGGAGGATCGTCTTCGACCGACGCTTTTCAGCTTTGGTGCACCTACTCCAACCCTTTTTTCAGCATTGCAGGAAAAAGACGGTTTTGAGATGTTGCAGCAGTAAAACTCTCAACCACGAAATGCAATGGAAAGTATAGCTCGATACTCTCTACCTTTGTGTTTAAGTTGAGAGCATGCAATATTCGTGATGAGCTGGAGTGGCGGAGCTATCGAATGCTTGTGCCAAGCACCTTCCGTGCGTTTTGTTTTGATGCGAGGACAAATTCTAGGGATAGTTAGTACTGAATGGGCAAGGTTATCTCGTCTGGGTGGTCATGTGGACGTCGAATTTGAGCAGGCCGAGGAAGAGCAACCATGACCAGCAAGATGAAAAGAGGTTCGGTGCAATAGGGGCAGTTGCGACATCTTGCTCCTTCCCACGTTCGTTGCTCTCGCTTCGCACTCACAGATTTTGTTTTTGTCGAGAGGGGAAGGCACGAATCCGACCACTACGATTTTTTGTTGTTGAAAACGTACGGCGGCAGGGGCAGCGAGGTTTTCCATTATCAGTCGACCAACACTTGATGATCTGGTTCCCTTTGATCATTATCGTCCTCGCAGAATGCGTCAAGTCAAGTTGAGTTCTTCTGATCTTTTGGGTCCAAATGCTTTCGTAATGAATTTCTCTCGTGATTCTTGGCTGGAGGAAGGATCCCTGTGCGCTGACGGGCAGAACTCTCGTTTTTGTGGCTGCGTGGTGTGGCTTGAGAGGCGAGCTTTCTTACTATACAACTCCATGTTTCTCTTAAACAGACAGCTAGCAGTTTTGTACGTCTCAAAACTTGTATTTGTGCTTTTATGTGTGCTAAAGACAAAAAAGTGCAAAAAATCAAGACATACAACAGCAGGTATTCGCTGGTGGTCACCCACCCAACTACTAATCTGCCGATCTGAGGCTTGTGTATGGCAGAGCGGACGGGATGCCCAATTCTCCTCAGTCTATGGTCGTATGTGGCAGAGTTTACCTTATGTGGGAATATAAAACATGGCTGATTACAACGCCTGTGGTTGTGTAGATGCAAATGGCTCGTTACAGTACCGCAAGCGAGGTGAATATTTCAACGATATTCACCCATACAACCCAACCACGCCAACGCAAATAAAGTTCCAGGGATTTCGAAACATTAGACGTGGGTAAAGCTAAGGTACTATACTGTAAGATTGAAAAAATTATGTCGGATTCCGCTGGATCTTTTTTTGTTCTTGATTTTTGTGCTTTTTTTGCAATTATACAGCATTTTTGACAAGCCTATCTAGGCTTCCTTCGCTACTGTTGTAATGCTGCGTAGTATTGTAGTAGTAAGATACCTGGTCATTACTCTGTATATACTATATAAAACTCTATTATACTAAACTTGTAGTACAAGCAAAATAATTGTCTTAAAATACCTAGGTCGGTGAAAAATAAGCGTTAACAATTATTCAAGCTCTTTATATAACTATTTTAGTTGTACGACGCTTTTGGACTAATTTTATTCTAAGAGAGGTGTGTACAGCGTAACGACCATGTCTCTTACATCGGGCAGTGCAACACCCAGAAGGTCTCACCGAATGAGGATTGGATCACGGTAAGAGTCATCAAAACCAAATATACTTTCCATATCTCATTCCACTCCTATTTGATTTCAGGCCTCTTTAAACTTTCTAAAAGTTTTCAAAATGCTCTCGCCAGATTCTCCGGGCGGTCCAAATCTTGCTATCATCTCAATCGTGTGCGGTTGGGTGTTTATCAGTCTCGCAATATTTGCCGTTGCCTTACAGGTTTGGGGGAGCGTCAGAAGAGGTTCAAGCATTGGCGGTGACATTCTGTTGGTTCTTGCTACGATCATAAGTGTTGGTCTTGTATCACACATTACGTGGGCAATAGTGAGAGAGAATTTCGGCAAGCACGATGCTGATAATCCAGGGAATAAAATTTCCTTCATCGCGAGGGTATGCGTCTCTGATTTTTCACACACTTTTGAAGTATTGACAGATTCTAACAGTCCCTTCTTATAAATCAAACTCTATGGGGCCTGGTTAATACACTTATTCGGGTCAATGCTATCGTCTTCAAGCAGAAAACACTGCTCCTCAGGTGGCCAGCTTGGACACTGCTAGTGCTTTCTATCCTCTACGGAGTAGTCCTTATATTAGAAGTTTTCCTAATCTGTCGCCCTTTAGCATTGGACTTGGGAACTGAACTGGACACCAAATGTAGCAACCAAGTGGACTCTTATCTCTCACTAGAAATATGTGGTCTTCTTCTCGATGTCCTGATTTTGATTATACCATTGCTGAGAGTGTGAAGCCTACATACAACAGCCAAAAAGAAGTTAGTAATCATGGCACTATTCTCTGTTGGTGTTTTGTAAGTATTCAGTAAGATACCTGGTTGTTACTCTGTACACACTATAAAAGATGTTATTCTACTAAACTTCTAGTACAAGTAAAATAGTTATATTAATATACCTAGGCTAATCAAAAGTAACTAATAGCAATTATTATAACCTCTTTGTATAACTGTTTTAGTTGTACGACAGTTTTAGAATAATTTTATTCTAAGAGAGGTGTGTAAAGAGCAACGAGCACGTCTCTGACATCTGCCGGAACTACGAGATCTAATATGTTGGCAGAGTTTTTGTTATCACGGGCCTTCAAATGCAAGCTGTGAGCTTGGTTGGAGCTGCAGACTACAGTTATTTTAAGGGTTACCTCGGGCTGCTTTCTATTGTGGGCTCAACACTGGGAATATTTTCTGTTGTGCTCTAGCATTCTACTCCACGATCACCATGCTTCGGAATGCTCCAAGTTGGAGGCACACCATAATCTACGACAAGAAAATTACTAGAGGCAATGGTCCAGTAAAAGCAATCAGAACTGGAACAAGTCTAGGTGAAATGATGCTCGACGAGAAACAAGGAAGTATGGATATGCACGCATGACCTTTTAGCATTTTGAAGCTCAGTTCAAAAGGCGCTATACCATCGCTTTCAGTGGCGGGATCTTTTTCTAGATCAAATGAACTGCGTTCCAATTCTCTTGGATAAAAATTTTTAATTGATGCATATGGAGACACCATAGGCAATTTTCGTGATGCAGAATTGAGTCTGTAGAGAACTTCGTCGCCACGCTCTTTCATTGCTGCACAGAGTTACCAGCGTTTGTGGCTGGTGCAGTGCAATGGCACTGTAGTCCCCGAGATTCTGAAAGGGCATATGTCGTTGAAAATGTTTAGTATCAATGAATTATGTGTTAACCGAAATAGCAATAGACAGGGAGTCGAAGTACCAAAGTTCGCGAAGATCCTTCTTTCCCCTTTCGTAGCAAAATCCAATGAGAGACCCAAATGGCTAAAACTTGCCCGTACAGAAGCATCCACGAACCTCCCCTGAGACATATGCTCGTCGACAGGAAATGATTGGCAATCCCCTTCCTCTCTTCAGTCAAAATTTTATTGTTGCTATATACAATAGTACTTTTTATATCTACAACTACTGCCGATGAACATATATATTCAATGCTGTAATCAGACACCGGTCATGGTCGTACTAATGGTCCGTCGTCGTTCACAATTTGTCAAGAAACTCGAAGTCAAGTCATATGGCCCGAAAAACAAAAGTCGAGATGTATAGTAAAAGTCTAGGCATAATTTCGAAGTTCTTTAATTTTTAGATTGGCAAATAAAAAGTTGATTCATCGATCGTCTTCTCTTCCATAGGCTTCAGATTTGTCTCGCTAACAACAAACAGGCCTGCAGCTAATTAGAGGAGTAGTATGCATTGCCGTCCTTTAGTACTTGATCAAGAGACTTAACTAGAGCTCAAATTTGGCAATGAAATTAGCTCTTACATCGTACTAGAAATATATAATTGGCCTTCTAATCAATGTTATTATTAGGTATAGGGGATGTTTTATATCACGTGAGGACAAACAACCGACAAGAGCTAGCGGCGGGAGCAGGAATCATTAACAACTTCTTAATTCCTGCCTAAGAGCAGGAATAGAGAGAGCGTGTGACACCCTGGGTATTACCATAATTATACTAATACAAACTATTTAGCAATTTGAAACAAACGCTGAACAGTAGTAACAGATTTCCTTTCTATTATCTATTGGTATCTCATAAGCATTTATTCTATTCACGGAAGTAGAGTTTAATGACGGGATTTGATAGGTGAGCAGAATAGTTGCTAATATATACTTGCCAATACAAGCCGTAGGCATGATTGAAGCTGAAGATTTTAGCTACTCAACAGATTATCTTAACACCTAGAACGATGTTTCACTGAGCTCCAGCATTCACGCAGCTTTGGAACACCCAGACAACCCGCGACAAACAACACCATCGTAAGCAATGCAACGAGCCAGTAAAACAGACAGGAGTGGAAAATATCTAAGAGAAATGAAGCCTCTCCAAAAAAGAAGAATTAGATCTAAGAATTAGTAAAAAAGCGTTTATTAGTGTTACAACGTTTTAATATTCGTTTGAAGGAGAAACTCCTCTAATGCTGTCATTTTCGGGAAAATAAATTGAGTAATTAAGACTGGAAAAATTTCAAGAGTTGATTCTACATTTGACGACACCTTGAGTGGAATTTGCGATGCAAAATCGATCCTCGTAGATAAGCTCGTCCTTTCATTGCAGCACAGAGCTAACATTGCTTGTGGCTGATACAGTACAATGGCAAGATTACTGTATTACATAATCCCCGACAATTGAAAGAGGATAGATCTTAGCCGCTGAGTGAATTTCAAACTTCGATAGTGACGTCAAGCTGGAATTGGACCTCTATGGGGACCTCGTAAGTAGATTTCCTGTTGGTGGATTGCTCGCTGTATCTCGATATGGGCCCAAGACATGCCAATCACTGATGAGCTTGTTTGTGCTTCGTGCAAGTCCCAAGCACAGACCACTCGGTAGCCAGAAAATGCAAGTCTCAGTGCACGCACGGCGGGAGAGAAGATCTGATGATCAAAGCCTGACTCTTACTGTAGATAACATTTTGTAGATAGAGTGTCTATTCTTGACCACTGCGCTGCCTAGTCCCGAAGGACGTGTGGAATTTGCTTGATCTACTACAAAGTGCCCTGCTGCTTCCGCATCTGGCCCTCCTTCTACTGTACGAAAAAATCAGACGAAAAGAATACTGGTTGGGTTGAGAATTACTTAGGGTTGTGCTGATGCACTGTTCACCATTGCGACTCTGACAGGCTTAGAGCTATGAGTTCAGACAAACTCAGTTCACGAATCAGGAAATTAAGCCGTGACTTGGGCAGTGTGCCTCGTAAAGCAGATGTTGATAAACCCGGTGCTGCGAGTCTTTCGTCGTAAAGGACCTCAGAATCCGTTTTACTCGTGATACAGCATTCGCGAGAGCGCCCTGAAGTCAGACATAAATATGGGAACTTTTGATGATCACATCCTTGGTACTTGAAGAGAGGATCAAGGGGAGAATGAAGCTATTTTGGGGCATCTTAGCGAGCCCTCGGCGAAAGCTTGTCTCGGGGTATCCCCAGCCCCAGCTCCCGCCGAAGAAGATCAAAAAAACATGATCGAATTTGGGAATAGAGGCGAAGCTTCGTCGGATGTGTTTTAAGGTTGCCGATGCCCTACGAATCATCTGGCCTTCTCGGCCTCGATTATACCAGTACTTACTGTACTCCCATTCTGACGGCTCACGTTCATTCCTACCTAGGTACAGTACAGCGCACGGGTGCCCCAAAATCCGTGCTCGAGGCCTGTCAGCATGAAGCCATTGACACCCTTCAAGTTTCAGATCATCCTATCCCATGCTCGAAACCCCGGGGCAACGCTGCAGTTGACGTACTAATTCCCCTCATCCTTCACAAGCCACCAAATGTGAGCCCATTTTTATCGTTTCATTCATTGAACATTGTCATTTTATGACTGGGTGTACGCTCCGTACCGAGCCTCTCTTGAGCCTTGGCCTGGCTAAGGTGGGCGCTGGCTTTTCAATTCTTCGTCCCACAACCTCACGAATCGTCCGTCACTTTCTTTCTTTCAACACCAGAGCCTGCCGGACAGCGAAGGACTGTCTACTCTCACACTCTAATATTTCTTTCCTTTCGGCTTTTGGCCATCAGCACCTTTGACAGGGCAACTCTTCATTTCTCCAATTCTCTCTCTTTTCGTTTCTCCCCCTTTCTCATCCATTTCGTCATTTCCCCGACCACGAACCAACCACCGGGACAAACCATAATCGATTTTCCCATGGGGATATAGTGCCAAAAGATATTCCCACCCGATTGATTCGGTCACATAATGCGCTTCACCACTCTATCATGGCTTCTTCCCGTTGTACAGACAGTGGGAGCAATCGCTGTTAATTCCAATTCAACAGGTACTTCTCATCGTCCCAACTCCTGGTAACAACAGCCTTGGATTTGTAGTAGCTAACCGAAACTCAACAATAAAGCGTCAATAAGGGCGGCAGCAAGTACTATCGCTTTCGATTTAATGTCATACTACAAAGGAAATCTATCCGTAAGTCTATGCAGGATGTGGTTTCTTACTGGAGGTCAAGTGATAGGTTCTAACAAGACTAAAGGGAGGAACGCCGGGTATTTTGCCAGACCCATTGTTCTGGTGGGAAGGAGGAGGTTTGTTCATGACTATGATTGATTACTGGAAATTCACTGGCGACAGCTCGTACAACGCAGTCACTTCACAAGCATTACAATTTCAAGTCGGCGACAACAAGGATTATATGCCTCTCAACCAGACCAAGAACGAGGGTAACGATGATCAAGGATTTTGGGCGATGGCTGCCATGTTGGCCGCCGAAACAAACTTTCCAAACCCTCCTCCAGAAAGTCCACAGTGGTTGGCTTTAGCCCAAGCAGTTTTCAACCAATACGTAGTTCGATGGGAAACCCAGCATTGCGGAGGTGGATTAAGATGGCAGATTTTCCCATTCAACAAAGGATTCAACTATAAGAACAGTATCTCTAATGGCGTATTTTTCAACCTTGGTGCGAGATTGGCTCGGTACACTGGAAATAATACCTACGCGGAATGGGCAGAGAAAGTTTGGGATTGGCAAGAATCAGTAAAGTTCATTGATGGTGACGGAAACGTTTTTGACGGTGCGAATCTTGACGACAACTGCGTTAAAATCGTGCCATTACAATGGTCGTATAATGCTGGAATTTTCATGCACGGTGCGGCAAACATGTTCAACTATGTAGGTCCCATCTCTCAATACCAACGTAAGTGCCTCTAACATATGCCCAGAGCAAAGGATCCACAGTATGGCGCGACCGTACCCAAAGCATTCTTAACAACACCGTCAATGTCTTTTTCAACAACACTGTTATGGAGGAACAAGCTTGCGAGCATGTAAACACGTGCAATACTGATCAAGTGTCATTCAAAGCCTATTTCTCATCATGGCTCGCAGCTACCACGATCCTCGCGCCTTTCACATACGATACCATTGCTCCTCTTCTCGCATCTTCTGCAAAAGCTGCGGCTAATCAATGTACCGGAGGAAGCACCAAAACGCAATGTGGATTCAAATGGGGCGCGGAGGTTACAGATGGAAATTTTGGAATCGGTCCTAGCATGAGTGCTCTATCCATTGTCCAGGCGTCCGTAATTTCGGTTCCCTTTTTCCGCAAGAAGGTCGACCCAGTAAGCGGTAAACCGGCACCACCAACCAATCCTTCAAACCCATCGAATCCGTCCAACCCCCAAAACCCGGCTTCTCCAGCATCTCCTGGATCTCCGGATCCGGTAATTCCTGGATCTCCAGCATCTTCTACTGATCCAGACTTAGGCGAGGACGATGGGCCCCCTCCTTCATTCGCACCTGTCACAAACTCGACCGGCGGCACCAGTCAGGGAGACCCATCGGCGGGTGCCATTGGAGCTGCCAGAGGTGGTGGACCGGAGGCAATTCAACAGATTGTTACTACAAAGAAGGATACTATCGCGGCTAGCTTCTTGACCTTGGGCGTCTTGGCTAGTCTGATTGGAGGGAGCGTGATTATGGTAATTGAATGAGCGAGCATCCTCCTTTCTAGGATGTGCGAACTTCTTCGAGGCTTTGTATATATTGGAAGAATTGCATCTTGGGTGGCGTTTTTTATCTTGCTGCCTGGTCAGAAATGGATTACTAATTGTTCCGTGTTAATGACGGCATGGGAAACCGGGTCGGTGGATCCATGCCTTTTTCTCTTGCTTTGAGATACCCTCAAGTCCTTGGGTTGGTCTTTATTTTTTGGGCATGGTGAAAAATTGGAGGGTGTCCAAAAAAAACTACTTGAAAGGGGGCTTGTACAAATTTAGGGTAGAAATGTATATATGAGAACAAGACTATATTCAATGAAAAGAAAAGCTTTATGTTGAACGAACTCAGGGCTTCTTGTGGAACAGTGGTATCCTCCCCAATAAGCTTTCTCTGAAGTGCAGGAGGTAACAATATCACTTATCTTCCTTGCGCTTAAAGAAGACCATGTTCAAATCAGGCTAACCAGCGTTCTAGAATTAGTAAGCTTCATCAGCCAATTATATATTTCAATAACGATGATACTGCCCTATCTGTTTGAAGACTTTGAACTGTTTGCGTTTTGATGTTATCGAATGAACCTTTCCTATACAAGTTTATGCGAGTTTTTCTCTCACGATCTATTAGCGGGAGACACTTCTTAGCTATAAAGGCATTGAGTGTTCGCTGAGATGAGAATTGTCAAGTACCATTGTTTGAGAGCATTTGACGCTCTATGTTTCAGCCAACTCAAGGATATGCTCTCAGTTTAGTATCGTGGTGGGTGGACGTGAGGTGTATTACCAGGACCTCCCTGGACTCTCGGTTAAATCACGTGCATTGTTGACTTGTCGTGCTTGTGTCTGCCACTAGCACTTTGTCTAGTCTTGGATAGGATGTTTCTCCTATCAACAGACTTGCGGCCCAGTTTTGAAAGGAAAAGAGCATAGGAAAGGTGGTAGGCTGTATACCAAACAACTCGACATCATGTCGGTTCTCTTCAGCCTGAAAAGGCCTCGCATACCACTTTAACTATGTTGGAAAGGTGGTATTTATTCTATGATCCTAAGCGAGAATTCAAAAATAACCACACTCCCCTACTCCCACACTCACTTTTCCCCCCCTTCTAACCAAGGAAGCAAGGGAAGTTAAGGCATACGAAAGAGATGTTTATGGAGTTCAGTTTTGCGATTTGTATTGAGGTTTGGTAGAATTGATACGCGACATACTTAAGTTAGATATATCGGCGTCTTATACTGTCGGTTCTCAGTTCTGATTGGTTAGCGAGATCTGGCAAACCCAGTTCACATCGGTCTCTATATAATGGCTCGGTCTGCCACCGACTTTTAGTACTTGTGGTGGGCTTTTTGTGTTACAAGTATGATCTAATCATTCTAGCTTCATTTCTTTTAGACCTCGTGGGCTAAGTCTTTCATAGATGTTATATTACAGTTGGTTGTTGGCATATTCCATGGATATACTGTCGAAAACTTGCGAAACGGAACGATAAATCTTTCTTAAATGACACAGACAGGGCTCCAACTATGCAAGACCTTCCGAGTTTTGCAATCATCAACTGCATAGAAAGGACGCCAGCATATCTAACCTTTCTTCTGCTTAGATTCCCCATTCCAAATGCCAGAATGGGAAGCTAATTCAACGTGAAAAATAGGTTGTGAACACGCCATCTCGGGCACCTAATTGTACATTGCATCACCCATTGTGAGCGTATCTCAATACACCCATAATTTCTCATTATCAAGTCAGTAGGCTAGTATATCCATATTATTCGATGGCGCATACACTTCAACACCACAGCAGCCACGCCTCAAGCACACAATCAACATCCTCAAAATCCTCCCGTTTCACCACCTTACTCCATTCCCCCTCCACCTACCCAAGCAAGCTCTCAGTCCCTTGGTACTACTATCGCAATAATATTAGGTGTGTTCAGAGGCGGCTCATTCCGCGCCGCCTTCATTCTTCCCCTCGTCGAAAACTTCGCATGTCAGCAAGACCTCAGAATGAAAGTGCAACAACTTTAGCCCCCAACAAATCACAGTTCGCAGGAAGAAATTATACCGATGGATTGGCGGAAACCAGAGGGTCTATATGGTCCCTAACTGTGAAAGGATTGCGGAGGTGCAGGAGAGGAGTGCGGTGAAGATTGGGGGGAGTCATCCTGATGCTGGGAATGTGAAGGTCAGAGAGAGGAGCAAAAGTGAAAAGATGGGCAATTTACGTTTCTAGTGTGGTAGTCTATTTATTTACCGTTTTGGGCACTTGGTACATAGGCCGCTCGTTTTCCTACGCCTTTACTAAGTTGAGAATAACGAACCTAGAAGCTAGGGTTGGTACAGTATGTCAATTATCTTAAAATGCTCGATAAGCCACATTCTACTTTTCTAAATTCGAAACAAGCACAGAATGATCTGGAAGTTAGTATACCAGATAGGTATACATACGATTAGACTACTCAATCCGCTCGGGGGATGGGAGGGGACCCTCTTGGCTGACAACTCTAGGTAGACGTCGAGGCCAGAGTACCAGGAGCTGCATCCAAGGATTCAAGGTTGTATCGACGCGAGGTTGTTCCTTCCCAGTAGAATCTCGACCTCGTCAATCGGTCGGAACGGACAAGACACTCGACATCGCTCCTTCCGTCAACCATGCGGCACTCTCGTGGCGAGACCAGGCCGAGGTCGAGAAGAGAAGGGACGACTTACTCCCCTCCCCTCCAGCTCCAAAGTATAAACCCCCCCCCCCTCGCCCTTGCCCTCGCCCTCGCCCTCTTCCATATAAGCTTTTTTCGTCCTCGGAAAAAAGCCTTATGGGGGTGAGAGTTTGTTGGTGTGCAGGTAGCCACCATCTTGATCCACGAAAGGCAGGTGCAATCTAACATCGCAGACTCCTTAGAATGCTGGTTTTCAGGGACAATGATGTGGTAAGGTGCCTAGTTAGAGTTCCAATGAAGTGAACAACAGAGATTACAACCCCAGGTACCTCTGTAGGATTTTGCGCTCGCCTACTCAAATCTCATGCCTATGCCTGCACCCATGCTCGGTACATATACGATGGGACGGATAGGATGCAATTCACACATCGGCCTGTGTGAAATTGAATTTTCTGCATATGCAAAGAAGGCAAAATCACTCCAAGAATAGGAAAGGTTGGGTTACAGTATACGATACTTGGAGCTGATTTGCAGAAATTTTGGGGTGGCATTGTACAGTAGTAGTGTACAGTACCTAAGTGTTTGCTGACCAATACTGTACTGTACTGCACTGTGACCTTACAATAGTATGTTCATCATCTCGGTAGTTGATCCCGAAACAAGAATTCTCAACGACGCTGGTCCTCAATTTCGCCGTCTACAAGCTTTGTAGTCTTACCCTTGAAGCAGGTAGTTACACTATTACTTCCATCTTTCTCAATTGTTGTGGGGCGGGGAGAGTCGATATATCCACATAAAATGCGACAATATTTTCAGGAAGACTTTCAGGGATTGGAGTCAATCCGTTTGTGCTGAGATTACTCATTTTATTTTGCTAGTTTATTAGGTACCTAGGTATGTTTTATGCTTTTGTGGGTGAGCGAATCCTCCTGAAGCAACCTCTAATCTTCTGGTAGTACTGGGTGATAGATGGTACCGGTACTGCGTGTTGCGTTCTTAATTGGGCATTTTCCCGCGACTGTGATAAGATGATGCAGGTCAGACTACTTGGAGGGTACTTGGAACCGGTACAACATAACCATCTCGCTCTTCTTAAGTGATGGATATGCTGTAAGGAAGGGCTCGATCTGATGACTGGTTTTCTCGTTCTCGTTCTCGATCTTTTCCTTTCTTGCGGTCGGAAAACATATTCCATTTAGTGGATGTTAGTATATATTCGTCAGTGATGAATTACTCTTTCGCGAAAGATCTTTAGTGTGAGATGTAAGCTCCTTAATCACCTTGCTGATCTTAAATTAGGTATCAATGCACTTTTCTATAATACTGACATGGAACAGCATCTGAAGCTTCAAACTCCAAGTTTGAGGGACAAAGTTTTCCATCAGAAACCCGGCAACGGAGGACACGAATAAGATCACCCTGATAGGAATGTCGCAGCTAGTGGAAGGATCGCCATCAAATCCAGAAACCTCGTCGCAATCCATAATTCAGTCGACGACTCAGGCAGGCCCAGAGACGACGAACACGGCATCGTCTACAGTTATCCAGGGGAGACCTCCTTGGGGAAGCAGTCCTCCGCCTTGGGGCAATGGACCTCCACCTTGGATTACTGCTGGAGGGGGTTGGGGAGGGCCTGTGGTCATGACAACAACAGTCATTAGCAGTAGCCAATCTTCAGTGTCGAATGCTGCTATGTGAGCTTTCTCGCAAACATAATATATTTTGACAAACACGTGCTGACGAAAGTAAACCCATTGCAACCATTCTCCCTTCAGGGACATTATCTACAACCACAAGTCCGTCATCCAGCGTGGTAACCATAGCAGGGTCAGGACAATCCATAATTTCTCCCTCCTCGACTCCCACTTCACCGATCACACCGACACTCTCGGTTACAAATTTAGAATCAAACACTGGGACAAAACCGCAATCAACGATCAATAAACCAGCAATAGCATTAGGGATCACAATCGGAATTGTCCTTCTTATTCTCCTTCTCCTTCTAGCATTCTGGTATGGTCGACGTCAAAGGAGGACTTCAACACAATCTCAGGATGATAGCGAGAATAAAGCAGGAATTGAGGGACATAACTCAGGTTCCAAAAGTGTCGAAATAGGTTCCGTTATGATTGGGAGTATGAAACATGTTGAGATGGAAGGAAGCATGCATCCGTTCGAACTGGACGGGGAAAATATTACTGTGGAGATTTGTGGAGGTGAGATTGAGAGGAAGAGAAGGAGCTCTGGGTTCGCGGCTTGGTTGAGTGATACAGAGGATGAAGGGATCAAGGAAGGCGGAGATGGGTGTTCCGAAAAGGGGGGGAGAGGGGGAGGGGGAAGCGAATCGAGTGACGCTGGGGACAGGACTAATTCAGCAAATTACTAGTAATTTTTAGATAATGACAAATACTATTAGTTCCATTGTTCCTTTGTTCATTAGAACTCGTATACTAAATATGTAAACTTACTCTAATAAATAAATTATTTAAATATTCTCGAACAAGACAATTTATTAAATTAGCTTAGGGCATGTTTGGCTACGCAAATCTCTCCATGTAAATTTGGTGTAAAAGTCTAAGATTTGCACGGGCTAGAGGACCCTAAGGACTCATGTAAAAGTTTCCTAATTTGCATGTAAATTAGACTATTCTGACGAAACAAGTGCACTACTGTTTGGCTGGTGTAAAAGTATTTTATTTATTTTAGGTGTAAATCATCTGTACGCCCCGCTCACCTATCCTTCTATAGTGTTACCCCTATGGTATCCCTCCTATAATTTTACCTCCCCCCCCCCACTCTTCCCCAGGCGCTCTTTTTGCTCCTAGGTTTTACGACTATAAATTAGCCGAGTGTTGATTTCTGTTAGAACAGGGTAATAGTATAAGGGATAGTATAAGGAAAAGTTTTTTTATGGCGCAATTGACGTCTCTTTAACAAAGTACGTGGATCAGACTCGTGGTACGGCATATTAAGGTGGTATTTCGGGTCGTTGATCGAGGTGGTTCTAAGCGAGCTAGGTGGATCTGACTAGGTTTTAGTACTGTAGTGGTACGTAGGACTAAAAGAATTGTACGAAGATTTGTGTAAAAGTAAAAGAAGTGTAAGGTGGAGGCTTTAATTCTTTTATAATCTTATTTTGGTAGTACAAATCTTAAAACTTTTGTGTTTAGATTTGCGACGGATTTGTAACTAATTTAGTAAAAAACTTATGCGGCTATCTAAACAACCGTGTATATCTAAATATACATGCATATCTTATATAAAAACATATACATGCAAATCTTTTTATATAGTGCAAATCTCTAAATTACACGAGCCAAACATGCCCTTAAGAAAATTCTTCATCAAAATAAAATGTTATTAAGGGATGTTTTACTAGAACATGTAAAGAATATTATTTAGTACATTTAGTTCCGTATCCTTAGCTTCTTACACGAACTCTATTCGCGATAAGGGATCTTTCACAATAAGGTTACTAGAAATACAGCCAGGCCTTACGACACAGTTGTACAGTATTCATAGTAACTCATATACACAGTCGAAGGTATCTAAGACCTTAGAAGGGATTAGACTAAAGATATCTGCAGGTGCGGTACCTGTTTACCCATAGAATATCAGATGTATATCCCTCGCTAGAACTGTAGAGCGTCTATCTTCTATAATCTATTTGGAATTTGCAACCATGAGCGGCAAAAAAGAGCCGTGTCTACGTATTATTGCCATTAACAAGACACTAGCAGAACTAAAACAGAGAAAAATTAAAGTACTTCCTTATTAGGCTCTGATCAGCCCACGACCAGTCTCTTGTACATCTTTCTCAGCCTCGCTTCAGAGAAAACGTGAACCTATCCCCCAATAAAAACACCATCTATTTCAAACCATCAATCTTATCTACTTCTAAACAAATTAACAACCACCTAGCTCATTAGAAACCCCCCCTACCAAAAGCACTGCCAAGAAAAGAACCAACCCCTTCTCTTAAATTTCAAAACAACCACCAGCAACAATCTCGAGCTAAAAAATAAGCGAGGAGTCCTAACAACAATTCCGGAGGCGGAAACACAAAAGCGAGTACGTCCAATGAAAAGAGTATACCGCTAGCAGGTTTGAGATTCAAACAACAACCCACCCAATCCCAGCAGAGATCAAGAGTACGTGTTTAACATGTCCATAAAATACCTAACGTACTAACTTAACCAGTCAATTATCAGTCGTCTTTAAAACTTCAGAACGATGATACTCGTTCACGACTTCCACTCCCACAATTCCGTACAGGACAAAATCTTGAGCTCTCGTAGATATGCGTACCATCCTATCAACGCGAGGGAAGCTGAGCCTATGGATGTAAGGGTATGAGATCCTGATGCGCTGAATGGGTACTGGGTTGCATCAGACCGTTCTTACATTGCTTGTTAGTACATAGACAGTTATCATCGACGCTCATGCATTCATGATTAGAAAAGGCTAAGCGCCGCTGATGAATTCACTACATGTCTTATTACTCAGTCTGTCTCCTAATTAAAAGGATAAATAAATAAACAGACCGCCACCTCTAGTTTCCCAGTCTCTCTATGGCATCATACGCCTCTAAATGCCGTCTAAATCTACAGCCCACATCGCCTAATACTAATATATGAAAACAAGCGAAATGAAGAAACAGAAACAATCACAAACGTTCCACATGTAGATTCAACAACTTCGATCATCAGTATTTTCTTTCCCACCATCGCCCGACTAGCAGACGAAGAAAAGATCTATCAAACCACAGTCCCAAATGTCCTTCCATATCCATCCTTCCATTCATACACGCCATCCCCGGCCAGGTCTAGTACTCTCCAGCCATTCTGGGATGGAACATTCCATAGCCGCCTTTCTTACAACCCAAGCAAAAAACAAAAGAAAGATCGCTCAAAGGGAATTATATACTCGAAACAAATACAAACAGAAGAAGACCAGAAGACCGGAGGCGATTACCATTTCTATGCGCCACGCCTTGACTTTTTTGTTGCAAAAACCTTGGGGAAAAACAAGCAAACATGTAGAAGCATTTTCCGTGTCTGTTTGGCCAGGATTATGATAAACGCGATATTCTGCAAGTACCGAAGTCCCTCCTGCTTCTACTGAAGGTCTTCTTTTGAAAGGGAGAAAAAACAAGGAAATTCTATTTGAACATTTAAGCAGCCCTTGCTCCAGTATAAGTGTTTTTTGCAGCACTGATCAACTTTTGAGCATCGAGGCTAGTGCTTGGAGCGAAGCCACCAAGCATGATAACCATGGTCATAAAGATTGCGCCAATAATCACCAACTTTCGGAGAACAGGTTTGGTGGCACCAAATTCTGCCCATCTTCGGCTGGCTTCTTGGATGAACGGCTTCATCTCCTTTTGTCCAAGCTTGTAGTAAAGCATACCTAGAAGAGCGATGCTATATCCGAAGACTTGGAGACCAGAGATAACAGTACCCCAGATGAGAATAGATGCGCCGACCAGGAGAATATCCTTCAAAACACCACAAAGGGTCAAGACGAGGCCGGAGGTTTTGCCAATCTGAGAAGAAGGTTAGCTGGTGTATCAAAATAGGTCCGGGTCCAAAAATTACCAAGAAAACAACCGAGACGTTCAATAAGAATGCACAAGAAGCGTTGCCGAAGAAAGTCCATAATCCAACAGCGTATATCTCGGACATCTTGACTTGAGGGATTTCCCAGAAAAGGGCCACAGTCAAATTCATGACAGCACAGACGGGCGCAAAGTAGTAGAGCGAGACCAGAGGATCCATCTTGAACTCGGATCCGTTGAGGAGCCTCTGCACCAAACAGATTCTGACAGCTTCAAAGGCGATGCCACCCATTTGGTAAAGGAAACCAATCAGAACAAATTCGATTTCGCCAAAAGAAGCGATGACTACACCAATGACAATCATGGAGACATTTCCGAGCTTTTTGAGATCGGGCTTCTCGATCCCGAGACACCAACCGGCGATGAGAACTGCTACAGGGGTGGTGGCCTAACATTCAAGTATTAGCGGACGAGAAAAATGTTCCTTGGTATGTATAGCGCACCTTGAGCATTTGAATAAACGACACGCTCAAATACAGGTATGTCAGATTACCACAGATCAAACTCAAACTGAAAAACACGCCGATTGGCACAATTGCCCTCAAGTATACCCGACCGGTCATCTTAACCGTTTTTCGCCCATCAAGAAGTTTGGTTGTTCTTGCCATGATTTGCGTCATGACGGTCGCGAAGACGAGATGCCATGAGGTCAGGAGAATGGGGTATTCTTTAGTAATAGTTAGCAAGCTATCCTGGGAGTCGTGTGGGTGGCTCATGGAACATACTAAACCCCAAGGTGGACAGAATCCATTTGTTGAAAAGAATGACACTGGAGCTCAGGGAAATCCATACTCTGCGGGACCATTTATTAGCAAGGGGTTCGGAAGTGATGGCGCCTGGATTGCAATAGCACTCACATTACGTAGAAGGCAGGATGGATCCCATTTGATGCGGGCTCTGCGAGCTTCTCAATGGCTGGATTGACAATTGGAAGCACTGGAGCATCGGCAGCTCCTCGAGGGGACTCGCCCGAGAGACGAACCTTCTCTTCTCCCATGGTGATGGTGGTTGTCGAGGATGACGATGTCGTGGTCGAATATAGAGGTGCGACTGCTGGGTCGTGGGGGGAATTATTTTATTGGGTTGGCGGTCGCGGTCGCAGTGAAGTGAGCGCGATGGAGGTTGGAGGCGGAGGCGGAGGCAAATGCAGAGAAAGAGCGGACGACAGAGTGGTGATGTGACGCTGTCGGATGAAGCTGCCGCGATGGAATGGCAGAGGGGTGGAAGGATGGAGGACGAGGTTTAAGGATGAAACGTTCAAGTGAGAGATTCGCAAAGGAGACGAGACGACTAGACTAGCCAGGGAGCCAGGGAGCCAGGCTAAGGAGGGCAGCGGCAGCTTCGACAGGGTAGGCGTATGGGTCTTGGCACACAGGTAGCCACGGGTCGCCCCCTTTTTAATCTTCGTCTACGGTCCGTATGAGTACGGTCTACGAGTACTCGTACTGCTGGGCTGGTTACTGTAAATCTTACTGTAAATCTTACAAGTACGGAGGTATTTACTACTTTACCAACCAACCACTCAAGGCCAAGTACAGGCCGTACCAAAAATAACCGCGAGGCTTGCTGAGCAGCCTGAGCTACTCGAGTAAGTAAGTCTCCGCCCTTCCAATATTCTTCCACTCTTCCACGCCATCCCACCAATCTGTAGATCAACGGCCCTCCCTGAGGATATGCTATCACATCCGAAATTTACACGATGACGACGTCTTGAAGGCTGAATCAGGATGGGGATGGAGATTCACCGAACTTCAGGGCGAATCTCTGGTTCAAAATAACCGAAGCCTATGAAGGCGAGAGCCGGAGACTCTGAGGCCGATGTGCTGTTGGATTTCCAAGTTTGTGCCCGTTGATCGGTTTCACACTTCCTTCCCTGCCTGCAAATCATAAGAGGAATTTGTTTGGACAACCAATCTGGAGCAATTGCTTAATCAAACCAGACCTTGGTTTTGGATATCATTGTGGGGAGCGGGGTGGCACGATGGATCTCGTAAAGGAAAAAAGGGGACCAAGCCAAGTGACGCAAGATGGTCCAACTTCTACCAAGTACAATCTATTTGCGGCTCGTCTTCTGCAGCAAGGTAGAGCGAGGAGTAGGAGTCTCAGGGTTTGCTCTGCGTAGAGTACAGCACTACTACTACACCTTTGGAGAAGACAACTGAAAAATTGATTGAATTGTTTCAAAAGGTTAGGATAATTGCGAGACCGCTTATCCTAAGCACCTCGCATGACTGGTTTGATTAACACTCTTGGGGGGCCGTCTAAAAAATCCCCAGAACCACTCTTAAATCCAAAAATATGTTCAACTTTTCATGTAAATTTATTAATATAAAGCTGTATTAGGTACTACTTCGTACACGCATAACGATCGCACCCTCCGACCAGTTTGGGCCTTCAAGTCGAGTTTTGACGGTAAATGTTTGCTTCTGCTCGCACGTTGCCGATCTATCAATCCTGGTTCTGATATCGCCTCCCAAGTGCACGCCTGATGCTTCGTGATTCGTATCAGAATTCAGACGGCTGCGGTCAGAAGCCGTGAGATGGGATCAAATGCTAAGCTACTTTGTAACAATCGCAACCGATGAGACCGGCTATCCATGCTGACTAGAGCCTGCGGCTGTAGCTAGTTAACCGGCCCTGTGGCATGCGAGATAAATCCTTTGGCGTGTGCCTTTTTTGGGACTCGGAAGCAAAGCAAACCGCCTCTACCCTCGACGGTAAATCGCTGTGAAGACATCGTATGCCATAAACCCTTGAAAAGTAACGGAACCCAAATTTCAACGCTGTTGCAACGATGGATGCGTGCATAAGTGCAGAGCCGAGCGGCAATATCACTATTGTTGATCTCTGATTGCAATCCTGTCGTCATGGTCCTTTTGGGTAGCACCACTTGTACAAATTAACTACTTTAGTATGAACGGGAGGCCATGTGCAGACGGAAGGGTTAGAGTTTTGTGTGAGTAGGGGATAAGAATCAAGCATTGACAGGGTGTCACGCTAGGTAACTTTTGGTGGGGCCAGATGGAATGGTATTCGGTATGGGTTCAGAAAAACCTCAGCCTCAGCCTTCTATCAAACCATCAGATGGGAAGTGAGCAGTGAGCAGTGAGCAGTGAGCATTGAGCATTGAGCATTGAGCATTGAGCATTGAGCAGTGAGCATTGAGCATTGAGCACCCAAGTGTTGAGGCGTCTGACGTGGGTGCTGGTCCGCTGGTTTGATAGACTCGAGAGTCAAGACCACTCGAGTACAGTACAAGTGTCTTCGCAGGAGAGGTACTCGAGTACGAACTGATCATGGCATGGGCATGGGCATGGCCTTGGCCAACGCTGGGCTTAGCTGCAACGGCTACTCGAGTACTCAAGTAGAGGTAATACTGCTTTGAACGTTGAAGCTATTCTAAGCGAGTCCCCCTCTGTTTGCGACACTCGACTCGGTAGCCGCATCCGCACTCGAGTGAAGTATACGAAGTAGTATATCAGGCAAGATAGGCAGGCGATGATCTTGTCAAATTGCAAATATTACTGATATCAATCTTACTTCGTCTGTCGATGATTGACTTATTAAGATTGACTTCAGATTGACTTCTGACCGGAATGAGTGCAACCTCAGAGCCGACTCAGCAGAGGCAGGAATCCCAAAAAGGGGGTTATCTTCCAGGATTTTCTCCTGCCAACCAATCGATCAGGGTCTTCCTCTAACGTGCAAGCTATCCTGCGAACGGTTAGAGCAGGCGAGGCAGGCTCCGGCACGAGTACCTGTAGGGTACTACCGAGCTACTCTCGTGCATGCAGCTCGCCATTGGCAGGAGAGGCAGGCTTGGCTAGCTACGTCCGCTACTTCCTTCCACGGTGAGGACCTACGAAGTACAGACTTACCACCTCTCGAGCACCTGCACTGCACGGTGTGCACCAGTTACCTACGAGTACGGTAGGACGTACCAGTACTAGTAGGGCCCTGGACCCTTATCCCTACCCCTACCCCTACCCCTGTCTAGTCCAAATTTATGAGCGCAGAGGGGACCTGGGCTATCGCTGTCACTCTACTGGTGTGGACACCAATGGTCTCACTGCTTTGCAAATTTACCCCCTCCATGATAATTTGTCCTCGTCTTTCATTTGCGCCCTACGCCATCCTTCCACTCCCCCCATACATCTGTTGCCTCGACAGCAGACGGGGACATCTTTTCTATTTGTGCGAGACTTCAACCTCAATTCTACCCACGAGTCTTCTACAAACCAACCCCTCACCCTCACCCTCAAATCCCACCCCGCAGAAAAGAACCCTTAGACTGCACAACCACCCAACATGGCCGACATGTACGTATCACCACCATCAACGAGAACCCAGAGCACACCTATACTCTCGCCAATGGTTCACACTAATATAAAATCGATAGTAACGTCGACGTTCTTGTGATCGGTGCTGGCCCAACAGGTCTTGGAGCAGCAAAGCGTCTGAACCAGATTGTGAGCTGGCCTCTACACCGCCAGTGCCAACCCCATTTGCTAACCCGTGGAAAAGAACTCGCCGTCATGGATGATTATTGACAGCAACGAGACTCCTGGTGGACTTGCTTCAACAGATGTCACCCCAGAAGGCTTCGTAAGTCGGGTCTCTCGAACCAATGTCGCCATATGGATTGGCTAACGGGTTACGATAGCTCTACGATGTTGGCGGACACGTTATCTTTTCTCACTACAAGTACTTTGACGACTGCATCGACGAGGCCCTGCCCAAGGCAGAGGATTGGTACACCCACCAGCGAATCTCATATGTGCGCCTGAAGAGGACTTGGGTGCCATACCCTCTACAAAACAATGTGTCAATGCTACCACAAGAAGACAAGCTCCGATGTGTGGATGGTATGATTGATGCTGCTCTTGCCGCTCGCACAGCAACCACGAAGCCAAAGGACTTTGACGAGTGGATTGTTCGAATGATGGGAGAGGGACTCGCAGACATTTTCATGAGACCCTACAACTTCAAAGTCTGGGCCGTTCCCACCACCAAGGTAGGAGATCCATACACGGCATCCCATGGCAAAACTAACATTCGTCTTGGGTAGATGCAATGCCAATGGCTCGGTGAGCGTGTCGCAGCACCTGATGTCAAGACCTGCGTTAAGAATGTCATCTTGAACAAATCTGCTGGAAATTGGGGCCCTAACGCCACTTTCCGATTCCCTGCCCGTGATGGGACTGGTGGTATCTGGATTGCGGTCGCAAACACTTTGCCCAAGGAAAAGACCCTCTTTGGTAAACAAGGAGAGGTGTCCAAGGTCAATGCCGATGCCCACACCGTTACCTTGAAGGGCGGAAAGACAATTGGATACAAGAAGTTGATTACCACCATGGCAGTTGATCAGCTCGTCGAGCAGATGGAAGACAAGGAGCTGATTTCGTTGAGCAAGGGTCTTTACTATTCCTCCACCCACGTCATTGGTGTAGGTATTCGAGGCGCCCGACCGGAACGCATTGGTGACAAGTGCTGGCTCTATTTCCCTGAGGACGATTGCCCATTCTACAGAGCTACCATCTTCTCCAATTACTCACCCTACAACCAGCCCGAAAAATCCGTCAAACTTGCAACCAAATATCTTGCCGATGGTAGCAAGCCAGCATCCACGGAGCCACAAGAAGGCCCATACTGGTCCATCATGTTGGAAATTTCCGAGTCCGGCATGAAGCCAGTCGACCAGGAGAATATCTTGAGAGATTCCATCCAAGGACTCATCAACACTGAGATGATCAACGCAGATGACGAGATCGTTTCCACCTACCACCGTCGTTTCGACCACGGATACCCAACTCCTGCCCTCGAGCGAGAAGGTGTTCTCACGGAGCTTCTGCCTAGGCTACAGGCCAAGGACATCTATTCCCGTGGTCGTTTCGGGAGCTGGAGATACGAAGTTGGTAAGTTTGCGAGATGTTGGATTTGCAATGAGCCTGGCTAATTTGTTGTAGGCAACCAAGATCACTCGTTCATGCTGGGTGTCGAGGCTGCTGACCATATTGTCAACGGCGCGGTTGAATTGACATTAAACTACCCCGATTTTGTCAATGGGCGCCAGAACACGGAGCGACGACTTGTGGAGGGTAGCCAAATCTTCGGAGCCTCCAAGGAGCTACCTACGCACGCAAGAACATCTTCCAAGAGCACCAAATAAACGATCAGATGAGTTGTTGGATGCTGTCCATGTTCGCTAGAATTTAGTCATTGTGGATGGTCCATGGATGGTTCGCCATTTGAAGAATTGTGTTCTGTTTCCACTTTTGGCTTTGCGCAAGAAGGCAGCATTGTATGGAGGATATGCGGATAGATTTGTTTCTGGCGTAGTTACATTTCTGTGATTGCATGTTGTAGCATACGCGAGCGTGCTAGAGAGCGAGAAGTACAAAGAATCCGCGGCTTCATGAGCATGGTTCATGAAGAGGCATAGAGAATAGATGGTGATGACATTGGAAGACCGGATTACCGTCCCCCACCAGATTTCTGTTGTTGAATTAGCCATAGCTGCAATGATAGACTTTTGAGGCTCAGAATGTGGATGTTTTGTGTGGCAGAGTTGGATAACTTGGAGGGAACTGTAGGTATTTAAGCATGCATACTGGAGTAATGTTGAACAGACCACAAGCCATCTCAACACCAGTACTCGAGTACTCGAGTACCCACTGGTTTAATCCCCGAACCCCGCGCTTAGTGCTTGGTTGGAGTACGAGTACGGAGTATCAGTGACCGTCCCAGGCCCAGGCCCAGTCCCAGGACAGCGAGCTACCGGTATCATTCTCGTCCTACCAAGTGTACTGTACCTTGGTTTTTATATTCGGAGGTAGGCTCCGGCAGCTGACAAGCCAGCGCGCAGAAGTCGGAACGCTACTCGAGTACTCGTACTTGGTACAGTCGTTCGCTACTCGAGCGCTCGTAGTGCGCGAGGATGCTAAAGCGCAGTGCCCAGCGCCCAGGTGGTCGTGGATGGGCATCACCATTCCAACTCCCCATTCCATGGCGGAGGTCTATATTTTGACTTTCCTCTACTTGGTACCTATACGGTACTGTGCTACTCCTGACTCCTGTCCTTCGTGATTCCGTGGCTTCATCTTCACTCACGCACCTCTTCTGTTCACGTCGACGCGGGCTTCCATTGGCCCCTTCCTTTCTCCGTAGAGACAACATTCTGACGTGACGTCACTGTTCCTGTCAACCCTTGGCGGCAGCAGCACCTGGGTCCACGTCCACGCCCACCTGCACATCCCGAGGTGGCATAGCCCATGGGCAATCTCATCAATCAGCATCTGCAAGCCGACGACTCAGTGGAGGACACTATCACCCACATGCTACGATACATCCACCTTCAACCAGCCCTACAGAATACGGAATACACAACACCCAATACGCCATACTCGACGAAAGGTTGCGATACAGCCGCTCTTCTAGACTTGAGGTTCCCTTCAGCTTGCCGTTATGTGAGGAGCATGACTTGACAACACCAAACTTCCTCCCCAAGCAACGATGGATGGAATCGGCGCCTCAGCCCTAGGAGATGATCCTCCGTCGAGGTTGTTCGAGAGACTCCACCAGATTCCCGGCTATACGTGGAGTGAGACCAAGCTGTTCCATACAAGTTATGATAACTGGTGAGTGGCCGCCTTTCCCCCCCTTCTTCGTGAGGGCGATGCCGATGGCATAGATGATATTGGGTTGCTGATCTTCACAATGTGCCCATACAGGCAAATCTTTGGCACCAAAATCCCGCAGCCCCAAGCCCCACACGGGGAAAAGATCCCGCAGACGAAACGTCGCTCCCTCCAAGCTACCCAGCTCCAGAGTCACGGTCACAGCCAGCAAATCCCACATGATGTCTCTGCCACCGTTGCGGCTCCCGTTGCGGCGAGCGAAAGTGGTAGCGAAACAGATACTGGGCGTGGTAGCACCCTCGAAGAAGCTGCACCCATAGATATCATAGCGCGCATTTCTACCCACGCACTGCGCGAGGAAAGAACAGATTACATTTGTAAGAAATTGGTGCAATCGGTGGATCCAGATGGAGAACATATTGTGAAGCCACTAGACATGCTGCGTCTGGCGAGTCTGCAGGGTGATAAGGGGCCAATCATAGTCACAATATTTGTGAGACCTGGCTCCAATTACCTGTCGAGGGTGATCGATTATGGACCAGCGTGGTACAGGGGAAAGAATAACAATGGAGAGGTAGTGCCATATTTGGATGATGTGGTGGAGTTGGAGACGATTCCGCTGCAGAAGTTCATGGATTTTGCCATTGGTGCTACTGAATGCATTGAGATACTTCATCACAAGCAACGGATCGTCCATGGTGAAATTCGAGGAGACGCCTTTCACATGAGCGAAGAAACCGGCATGGTCAGGCTGATGACCTTTGGATCTGGATTGCGGACTTTTGAACATGGTCTGACAAGTTCCGGCTGGTCTGCCCTTTCCAAAGAAGTGGGTGCCAAAAATAAGCTATCTTTTATGAGTCCTGAACAAACTGGACGTATGCCAGCTGAACCGGATTCAAGAACCGACATATATTCGTTGGGCATTCTCTTTTGGACTATACTCACGCAGCAACCGGCTTTCCAGGGCGAGACTCCGATGGATATCATTCAAGGAGTCCTTGGGAAACGTTTGCCTTCGGTGTCAACAGTAAGACTTGACATTCCAGATGTCATTAGCAGGATCATCCAGAAGATGACTGCAAAAATCATTGGAGACCGATATCACTCTGCAAGTGGATTACGGCATGATCTTTTACAGGTCCAAACCCTTTTGAGTGCCGGCAACTCGGAGGCTCTTCAAAATATGGAAATCGCCAAGAAGGATATTTCCTCATTTTTCATTCTACCCACAGTTATGATTGGCCGTTCAGAGGAATACAACGATGTGGTGAAGATAATTGACAAAGTCTCAGAGCGGCACCTGGCGGGACAAAAGCGAGATGTTTACAGTCTATCTTCTAACTCCAGTTTCTCTGACGGGCGTGTTGACAACCTTGAGACAGCATTCATTGAAGTATCTAGCGAAGATGCCGGAAGTTCTTTGGACAGCCCCATCTGGAAGCCGAGTTCTTCGGGCGCCAATGGAGCCTTGTCTGGTGATCCTCGATCCAACAAGAGCAAATTCAATATGGGACGTTCGGGCGCGAACTCGCTACAAAGTTCTCTTGAAGGAGCTGAACAAATTTCCTTGGAAAGTGGATCAAACCATGTTCGTTCAATCACGGGCTCGCAGAACAACTCTGTTGAAGAGCCAGGGTCCTCCACTGGGTCTCATTTTCTCAAACCCCCTTGGCAACAGAACACTTCGTTATCCTTAGAATCTAAAAGCTATATGGATAGCATGAACTCGGAGTCTGGGACCAGGACCAGCGCTGATAGCGTCGGCAGTTTGACTAACAAGCAAAACAAGCATAAGTTTCGACGGAAAGGTCGTTGTGAGGTCGTTAGTATCTCGGGTGGTGAGTTGCGGCCTCTCTATAACGTTTGGATTGGATCTTTTCAAAGCAAATAAGCTAACTATGAGGTTTTAGCGACCGGCTTTGGAAAATCTTGTTTAGTACAATCTATCCAAGGTATGTATCATCCCAACAACCCAACACACGATTGGGGATGTGAAACCACAGCGATTCATCTTGGGAGAACAAAGAAACCATAATCCCATCTCGAGATTGACTGGCACCCAAGTTCACTGTTCAAGCATTCGTATCAACTGAGAGATCACAGCCGGAGACAAGCGCTAACATTCTCCTGGACAGTCGAGGCTCGTCGACGGGGATATTTTGCAAGCTCCAAATTTGATTTGGCCAAAAAGACTCCCTTTGGACCGGTTCTCAAGCTTCTCTCGAGCCTCTTCAAACAGGTCTTTTCCGAGAGCAATACGGACACGCCTTTCCACCAGCTACTCAAACATTATGTTAGACCGGCTTGGCCAATGCTTCACAAAGCATTAAGCCTTCCAGAATTTTTACTTGGTCCACGAATGACCTCGAGATCAAAAAACCACTCTGCTAGGCTATCGCAAAGCTACAACAGTAGCCTGAGGTCAGAAATAAGAAGACGGGACTCCTCGCCCTCGAGTACTCGTAGTACCACCGGTAGCATATACAGTCTTGCCCTTGGCACACAAAGTTCACAAGACTTCTTGCGTGCCGGATCGTCAACAAAATCCGTGCGTCTGATGAATACCGTCTTGGACGTATTGAGGGTCTTTACACAGCACAAATTTATCTGCTTCTGCTTAGACGATCTCCAGTTCGCAGATGATGAGTCTTTAGATCTCATTACCCAGATCGTAGCTGCTCGTATGAAGATGGTTTTAATGGTGACCTATCGTCCGGATGAGGTCCTTCCTGAAAAGATTCGAGGAATCATAGAGCCGCCCGATGCTGAGGGTATCAGTTTGAGCACTCCCTTTTCTCCATTAACCCAAAATGCTAATTCTTGCACAGAGTACATAAAAAATGCGGGAGTCGGGATTACAAGGATTGTATTGAAACCGCTCACGGAAGATGATATTGTCACGTTCGTCGCTGCCACTCTTTGTTGTCCTAGGGAAGATGTTCTTCCTTTGGCTGCAGTCATACAGTCGAAGACTGCTGGGAACCCTTTTTACATGCGTGAAATGCTTGACACTTGTCATAGAAAACAATGCATATGGTACGACTACAAGCAAAGTGCTTGGTGTTTTAGCCTCGATAAAATCTTCAAGCAGTTTCAGACGAAAAATTATCACGATACTCTAAATAGCGAATTCATCACCAATAGATTAAACGAGCTTCCTCCGGCGTCGAGGGCAATTCTAGCCTGGGCCGCAATACTCGGGGCTTCATTCTCGTTCGAGTTGATCCAAAGGCTTCTCTGTGGTAAGCAAAGCCCTTTGCCTGATTCTAGAATGAGGCGACGTGGTCGCTATATATGATAGCCGTCCTTGCCCCTTGGATCTTGTTCAGGGATTAGACTAACACATTTGGAGTAGGTGAGTTTGATTATGATGAAAACTCTCCGACATCAGAGCACTTTGGGTCATACTCGTTGTCCAACTACACACCACAAGAAGCTATTGAGGGACTTCAGTCTGCCATCCAAGCATATATCATCGTTGCAACACAAGAAGACGATCGTTTTCGATTCGCGCACGACCGTTACAGTCACGCAGCACAGTCTCTGGTTGAATGCAATGCTCCAAGAATGCATTTCATCATCGCTCAAACACTTCTCAAGTATTATTCTTCGGAGGAGAGATCTCGTGATACTACGGCTGCGCACGTATCGGAGTGCACCAGTATTATCAAGCAGCGCATACTACACAGGCGATCATTTCGGAAAGTACTCTTTGACTGTGCTCAGTCTGCTGCGGAAAGTGGCGCTCGGTCCGCTGCTACTGCTTACTACACATGTTGTTTTGCGCTGTTACAGCCAGACCCATGGGTGGATGATACCTTGGACGTCTATTACGACGAGACGCTACAGTTATACACGCGCACTGCCGAATGTTGTCTCTATTTGGGCAAATACAACGAAGCTAAAAGACTGCTGGAAACAGTATTTTCCAACGCCAAGACCCCCGTCGATAAAGCTCCTGCCTGGGTCTTGCAATCCAGAATTCTAGCTCAGGAGGGTGACTCCCCGGCGGCATTCCAAGCATTGAGACAATGTCTCTCGGCTTTGGACGTTTATGTGGATGACGAGCCTAGTTTCGAGAAATGCGATATGGAGTTTGAACGACTTTCATTCAAAATCCAGTCTATGGACGTCGAATCACTCTTAGCGAAGCATGATGGAAAGGACAACAATCGACACAATCTCTCTGCGGTTGGAGCTGTTCTTGTTGAGACCACCAGTGCGGCGTTCTGGACAGACACATTGGTTTTCTACCAGATGTCTCTTGTAATGGTGAATACGCAGCTCACCTGTGGTATTTTCCCCCAAGCCGGCATGGGACTCTTGCATCTTGCGACGATAGCAATCAGCCGCTTTAACATGATCAAGTTCGCTAGCGAAGTGGGCCAAATTTCACTTCAATTGATGGAGAGAAGCCAAGATCCGTATACCATGGGACGAGGCGGAACCATCTATTCCCTCTTCGTGGGTCATATTCATCTCGGATTGCAGGCCAGTTTAGGGCAGCTTGATGGGGCCCTGGAACACTGTATAGCTGCTGGCGACAGAATTTCCACTATACTGAATTTCGGCATAGTTGCTAGTCTAAAGTTCTTCGCTTCCGAAAACGTAATTGACCTAGAAAGCTTTTGCCAGTACGGTTGCGAGGAAGTTCAGAATTGGAATTTAGACACAAGAGGAGGTACCATGGCAATTGCTGTCCAGCAAGTTTGCCGTGCCTTACAAGGAACCACTCGCATAGACAACGCCACGGAGGTCCTTAGTGATGATAAACACGACTCCGTACATTACAAGGAGTGGTTGAGGAGTGAGGTTAGATCTAGTGACCGGCCTCTCTTCATTTATGAGGCTATGGAAATGGTTCCGCTTTTTCTATACGGTCACTATGCCAGAGCTATTGAATTGGGAAATCTTGCTATCGAGAAGAGCGATTTGATGTGGTCTGCTCGCAATACACGCCATCTTTTCTTCTTCCAGGGTCTATCATTGTGCGGGATGATGTGGAGCAAACTGCAGAACCCTCTTCGTTCTTTGCCCGAGAATACACCCTTGACACCACGTAGTCCAGTCATCGACCATGGGCCCTCTGAGGATGCCCTTCACGAAGAGACTGCGGAAGTGATAGAAAAGGTTAAATTTTTCAAAAAGAAGATCAAGGATTGGCAAGCTGTTAACAACGTCAATTATTTTGCCTGGTCTCGCCTGCTAGCTGCCCAGATTGCTGAGATGGAGGGTAATCACGGGAAAGCCCTGACTCATTATGACGAAATGCTGGATCATGCTTCCGCCAACGCGTTCACTTTCGAAGAGGCTCTTGGCAATCATCTTTATGCTGGCTTTTTCCTCAGAACGGGCTCCCGTCGCGCTGCCAAAGCTTCGTTACGGGAAGCAGTTCAACTTTATCGTCAGCTTGGAGCGGTTGGAATAGCGACATATATAGAGGATGAACACAGTCTTCTTCTCCAAGGGCCAACCCGAGATATGCGAGTTGCAGACGCCGCTTGCCAAACCGATTTCGCTGGAGACTCAGCCCCTGTACAGTATCGCACTCTTGAGGGAGACGAAGATGATGATCGCCAGCAAACGCGAGCTTCCATCACCGAGACTAAGGGAGACCGCATTGGTGCTTGGCAAGTTTCTTCTCGGCCGGCTGATGGTGGTGGTATTGGTTTACCTGCCCTGGATATGTTGGATCTGACGTCAATCTTGGAAAGCTCTCAAGTTATCTCTAGCGTGCTACAAGTGGACCAGCTTCTGAAAACCATGTGTGAAATTATCCTGCAAAATTGTGGTGGCTTGGCGTCTACTGCTGCTATCGTGGTAGAAGAGGATGATCCGACTCCAGGCTGGAGCATCGCTGCTAGTGGCGATCCCGACGGCGCTACAGCTCATATTCCTGGCATTCCTTTACGAGAAACAGCTTTGGTGGCTGAGGGCGTCATTTTGTACTGTACAAGGTTTCGAGAAACCGTTTTTCTGTCCAACATTCTCCAAGACGAGCGTTTCAGCAATATTACAGATGCTTGGTCAGCTCGTAATCCCCAAGGCAAGTCGGTGATTGCGCTACCAATTGTCCACGGCGATAAACCTCTATTGGGTGTTTTGTATCTCGAGGGAGAGCCTAATGCCTTTACGGATCGAAATCTTACCGTTTTGCAATTGCTTGTCAATCAAATTGGCATCAGTTACTCTAATGCCCTCACTCTCAAGGAAGTCAAGAAAGTTTCCGCCTTCAACACATCTATGGTTGACATGCAAAAGACCGCGCTATCCAAAGCACAAAAAGCTGAATCCAAGGCCAAAAAGGCAGAAGCGGAAGCACTAACCAGTGTCAAATTAGCAGAGGAGGCAGCTAAGGCAAAGTCCATATTCCTGGCGAACGTTTCTCACGAACTTCGAACCCCTCTCAACGGTGTGATTGGTAACTCGGAACTGTTGAGAGATTGCAATTTGACAAAGGAGCAAGCAGAAATGGCGGACTCTATCAGGATTTCTGCAGATCTCTTGCTGACCGTTATCAACGATATTCTTGACTTCTCCAAAATGGAGGCTGATAAGATGGAATTGTGTATCGAATCCTTCAAACCAGATGAGATGATTCGCGAAATCGTTCGTTCAGTCTCATATAGCTATCGCGATAAAAAGCGACTTAATGCGATTGAAATCTTGCAAGATATCAAGCTTCCCAAGCTTTTCATCTACGGGGATCCTGTCCGACTGCACCAAGTTCTCGGAAATCTGTTGGGAAACAGCATGAAGTTTACTGAACGTGGTTCGATCACGATTGGGGCACGTTGTGATAACGAGACCAAAGAAGCTGTCACTTTGACCTTCTGGGTACAAGACACTGGGATTGGTATTCCGCCTCAGCAACTATCGAAGCTCTTTAAGCCTTTCAGTCAGGCAGATGCAAGCACAGCTAGAAAGTATGGAGGCAGTGGCCTGTATGTAAACTTTTCCTTTGTTCCCTTCTGTGAAAGCCCATTCCTGGTAGTCGGGAGCAGGCTTGATCCCTACTGATTGCTACCAGCTCTTGAGCCAATAAGGAAAAGTATACTAATTTGTTGCAGTGGTCTGAGTATCTGCAAGTCGCTGATCGAATCAATGATGGGTGGAACCATCCATCTTGAAAGTGTTGAGAACGAAGGAACAAGAGCATGGTTCACCGTTAGTTTTGAAAAGGGCCCTCAAACATTCGACGGTCCTAGCCACCATGATCGGAACGGGGTCATCCACCAAGGTAGTCCCGTAAGACATGGTGAGCCAGAACGGCAAGAAGCAACCACTGCTTATCCGGAGTCTTCCCATATTCCCCGAGAGGAACTTCGCATTTGTGTGGCTGAAGACAACCATATCAATCAGAAGATTGCCATTCAGTTCATGGAAAAACTAGGTTACAAGCATATCGATGCCTATGATAACGGGTTGGCGGCAGTGGAGGGGCTGAGAAAAAAGTCCAAGGAGAATCAGCCATATCACATCGTTCTTATGGATGTACAGATGCCGGTTCTAGATGGCTACGAGGCAACAAAGTTGCTCCGCAAAGACCCCCTTGAAGACGTTCGTGGTGTTTTGGTAATTGCCATGACTGCAAGTGCCATTGCTGGGGACCGAGAAAAATGCTTGGAAGCGGGAATGAATGATTATTTAGCCAAGCCTGTCCGAGTTGGCGTGTTGCAAAAAAAATTAAATCAACACCTCAATCAGGTTTGTCTTTCCTCCCTCCTTACATTCAATGGCTAATGATATTGTAGCCAGCCCTCGAGATTCCCAACCTCCAAGCAGCAGCTAGACAGGTGGCCAGGAAAGTTCTGCAAAGCGAGGTCCTCGCGAGTCCCCCTTCTGAGTCAGATGGAACCTCAACACCGACAACTGAGCGATCCAACAGTATTCCACCAACAAATTCTAGTAAATCATCTATCCCAAGCAGTTCTTCAAACCACATCTCTTTTCCAGGAAGGCCGGAAGATGGGCAACATCGTGGGTCTGTGATCAGGCGTGATGAGGTGGCTCTGGACGGAGCCAAGACTGAAGGGCATAACTCAAAACAAATGTCTGTCTTCGACGACGATGCTCCAAAGCCTCTTCCGATGAGGGGCAGTCAGAGTAAGAGTGGAAATTTGAAGCGGGACACCAAATAGTTGATATCCCCCATTTCACGTGATGGCCGGTCTCATTACTCAGGCGTACAAACAATATTATGGCCCAACCGAATTCAGCGGATGGAGAATCGGGTGTTCCCCTTGGGTGAGCTGGATACTGGGCAAGTAATACAATCTGCTCCTTTTCTTTACGTGCCACTGTAATATTTTTTGATGTCTTGTTTTCACCTCTTTTTTTCCCCCTCAACTTTTCTTTTTCCGGCTTTTCTGGGAATACAAAGAAGGTTTGCATGTTTTCTGGCTTTGCATAAAGAAGGGAAAGATATATGGTATAGGTGTTGCATTTTCTTCTTGGCTTTTCTTTGAGTGAGCGGAATTTTTGGGATGGAGTTTGGGATATTGGCGGTTGGGTATGGTATCGTGGAGGGAGTGAAGCGGTAGGCAGGAAAGGAAAAAAAGTGGCAGGGAAGGGGGAGGGAGATGGGGAAGGGAAAGAGGTCAAGGGAGGGGTGTGTGTAGGTTTAGATAAGGCGATGTGAATAGTAACAAGTAGATGGTCCGAACATCTTGAGACAGATTCTTTAGGTTGTTTGTAATTGTTTGTGGTGAGACATATTACGATTGTTGCCCCGCTAAGCGTTGTTGCAAACACTTGAGTACTTCTTTTCTTTGGGTTTCAAGTCAGACATATTAAGCTCCAAATTTGGGTGCCATATTGATACTTGGTTCTTTCGGGTCCTCTCTCGTAAGTTCGAGATGTGTCTCGCTTGTTGGCGAGTACACACTGTGTCCTTGAACGGAATATTTGAAGTTTCCAACATGACGATGGACATACCAACCGACCACCAAGACCTTCACACCTCTCTTCCAGGTCCCAAAAATCAGATGACCACTCACCCAATCCAGCCATAACCCAGCATAAATTCCATTTTCTCTTCCGCCTCCACCTCGTCCATCACATCATTCTACATCCAACCAAACGTAAAAATGAGATTCCTACCCCTCGCCACCGCGTTGATAATCACATTCTCCATCCTGGTCCATACAGGACCAGTTGGTTACGCGATTTGACAAGCGAGTTGTGCGACTCTGGTGGTGGTTTGTTACTCCCTGGCGGGGTTCTTTGATGGGACGGTGACGACGGGGATGGCGACCCCGGCGGTGCAGGCTTGTAATGCGGCTTTTGGGACGTGTCATCATTTTAGTGTGTTTGTTTTGTTGGGGGCTGGACCTTGAGGTGGGGAGTGGAGGGTGTGGGTTTGAGGGGGGGAACTTGTGATACGGGAGGAAATGAATGGCCTGTACCTGGGGTACTAGATGGTTTTTTTTGTGCTTGGTTTATTGTTCAAGTTGCGTTTTTGGTATTGGAAGGTACTTATCTTTCTATCTTGTTTATTCGCCTAAATGGCTTTTGTCCCCCATGAAGGCACCGAAAAATGAAAACAATAAGGAAATATAACAGCGATCCTCAAGGCTGTACCTTCGATCCTTTTAGTTCAAGGAGAAGGTTGCGGCCTTTGATAGAAAGCCCTAGATGTTGAAATCTTTTAGAACAAACAGGCTTTAATACTAAGTCTCGTGGGGGGAGCTCTGCGTATGAAAGTGACAACATTTTATACTGATTTGGAAGCCGAAGTGGTGTCACGAATCACGTGTTAACACGTGAAGAGTGAAGACCAGGCGGCGCCCTGACAAGTTAAGCACATCCGTAGACTTATAGCAAATAGGGATCGTTTAGGTTAGCTAAGCGATCCAAGGATTTCCTTGGACTATGAATCACGTGACGAGCGACATGGTCGACCATGGCGACCACAGAGAACGAAGGTTCTATATAAGACTGGCACGTCTGCCATTAGATAGGAGCTTCGTGCTCAACTTAGTTATCAATCTTATCATATTAGTTTGACATCTTTGATACAAGTAACGAGTTCACTTCCAAGTGAACAACCCGATAGTCTTCTTCTTATCATAGCATACCAACCAGCGAGCACCCAGCCAAGTTTAGTTAGCCAGTTTGAGTATTCGTTACAAGTGGCCTCGACCGTGTGGTGGATTTCGTAGTATTGAGCTTCGTGTCGAAACAATTTTTCATTATATTGATGGATTTTTCGGATTACTTCGCCTAAAGTTTTGAAAGGAAGAAAGATGTTGTTACCAACTACTGTACTGATATTCCACGACAAGAAAACTACTACATAGAGAGGAATCCGGTGATTGGATAAAACCAGCGAAAAGAATTAGCAGAGTAGAGTTGAGTAGGAGCACCTACTCAACCCTACTCGAATAGGTTTTAGCCCTACTCTAACCTACCTGCCAAGTGTTGAGTATGTTAGATTACTACTTGAGTAGTACGGAGTAAGTCGGCCCAAGGCTCCGTAGCGCGCCCAGGGACTCCGGCTAGTTAGTCTACCTACTATTTTATCTATTTTAGTAAGAAGATATTTATAAATACCCTTAACAGGTATAGCTAGCGAGCAAATAGCTAGCCAAGGGACTAATATTATAATACGTAACATGGAAAGGCTCTCTAAACAGGTCTTAGAGATAATAATAAGCCTTGAAAGCCAGGGGTTTTAGGCGGAAAGGGAGGCAGAAGAGTAAATAACCGGGCTATGATTTGAGGATAATTACTTTGTACTTTAGTTACTATTTATAGTAAACTACTCAAGTATTACTCAAGTTGTTAAACCCACTACTCTAACCTAATTAAGTATAACTCGGATGTAATTATGTAGTCGAGTAGATCTTTCGTTCGCTGGATAAAACATGATCTATCAAAATTTAATCTGAATCTAGCGATTCCTACTATGATTTGACATGGTATTGAGTCTACGTAGTGCTCGGGATTTTTGCGTATCCAGAGATGAAATAGGATGCAAGAGATATACCACCTTCTCTAATTAATATTAGCATTTACCAATCAATAAAGCTTGAAAGTTCGATTTGAGAGATGTCAAGGAAGGGGAACAAGAAAACTCAAGTAAAAGTGATGGGTTCGTCGGGGTCGGTGAAATGTTGATCCGTGGCACGTGACCCGCGGTCTAACCGCGATAGGGCAGGCGCCCACAACTTGAATATTCGCAAATTTGGAAGAGTAAATTCGATACCAGAATCACCACGACAATTTTCGACAACCCACGACAGTCGAGATGAAGTGTAAGTTTGGGATCCAGAACCACGGATGCGCCTTTCCATCAGATATACTAATTCTCTCAATTTCAGTCCTCAAGGTCGGCCGCGTTGCCATCATCACCCGAGGCAGATATGCCGGAAAGAAGGTAAATTCCTCACCACCCCTCACGATCGATCACTTTTCGACGAGAACCCGAGACTTGGCGATGGAGTCGAGGAATGAGGAATTAGAGAGATACGAGGAGGACGCAATGGAAAGCGATTGGAAATCTTGTGCTGATGGAGGAATTTACAGGTCGTGATCATCCAACCTCAAGACACCGGAAGCAAGTCCCACCCATACCCTCACGCATTGGTCGCCGGTATTGAGCGTTACCCATCGCAAATCACCAAGCGCATGTCAAAGGTCCGCCAAACCAAGCGAAGCAAGGTCAAGCCATTCATCAAGGTTATCAACTACAACCACTTGATGCCAACAAGATACACACTTGAGTTGGAGGGATTGAAGGGTGTTATTTCCTCAGATACTTTTAAGGAGCCTTCCCAGCGAGAGGATGCGAAGAAGGTCGTAAAGAAGGCTTTGGAGGAGAGATACACATCGGGAAAGAACAGATGGTTCTTCACCCCTCTTAGTACGTTGGATCCGATCTGGGAATTGATGTGTGTACGTGGTGGGCTGATGCTAACAATTTTCTCCAGGATTTTGAACGGTTCTCTTTAGCGTTTCTGGGTCGGAAATGGGGTTGCTTCATGGCATAAGTCGCATAACGAGCTAAAGAAAATACTGCATTTCACCACCTGCGGTATTTCAGTGTCTGATACAATAAGGGCGGCGTAACGAACATGAACCCTTCAATCAAGTAAAAACCTCGAGATCCCTCCGAAATGTGCAACATCGAGAATATGTGAGGCAGCGTTCCAAGGTGGAATACAACGGATGAGGATTTTGGCAGTTGGCTGATCATATTGTCCAGTCTGGGCAACAGATCTCCAAGGGAGAATGGGTATCAATTTAAAGCGCTCAAGTTGGCCCAAAAGATATCCTGCTCATTTACATGCGTACAGCGCGAACCGAGACCTGCATTTCCATTATTCCTTCTTACCAAATCCAAATCCGAGTTGGAAATTCCACCAAAAGCACTCTATTCCCTGCAAGCTTTTCTAGTACTCCTCGATAATTGGGCTATAGGCGATTAGAACCGCATGTGTGAACTTGCAACCCTTCTTGACCCAACCTGCCCCTTATTTTCTGTGCGTAATTATCCTCTGGTTGGTTACTTGGTTTGAATACCAAATTTGAGAGTATAATAAAGAGTTAATTATTCCCCCTCCTATTCCTTCGCTTATATATAGAGCTTATGTCCAGGTTTTAGTCAGATGATTGTCATATTTCATGCAAAGGCTCTGGACAGCTCAGGTCCCCTCCCCTTGTAAGTTGTCACTTTCTGATATACCTTCATATGAATCAGGCAATCCAATGGGCTTGAAGGGTAATATTATAGGGTTGTAAACTACCTATAGGAAGTTGTATATAGGGGAGAGGGAGACGCGAGCTGTCCAGACCCTTCATATCTCCAATAATTTGCGCTTTCATGCCATTGCCAGCTGTAACAAGCTTTATGTTGTGCTATTCACTTTGACTACGGCTCAGGCATATACATGATACAATTGGTTTGTTCTTTCGCCTAAATTCTGTGGCCACAATATTATTCCACCCAGTGAATTCTGTTTGACAAAGTACGGTGAAAACATTGTTGACGATTTTACTAGGGCTGCTACACCATAATTATACATAATACCTCGCTAAAGCGCACAGAGAGCAATCACTACATTATACAAACTACAACTGCTCTCGAAGATGTCAACATCAACCAAGACCGAGAACGGAGAACACGAGCATTCCACTGGTCCTACAACAACTCGGATTTTCACCGAGGTCAACTTTTTATGTCTCCCGTGTGAGATCAGGGATATGATCTATGAGCTCTATCTCACCGCTGGTAGGATAGACATAGTCGTATGGAACGGAAAGCCATTCCAGCACCATGGATTCTTCAGCAAACGACACGGGGATCGTCAAGGATGGCTTCACGAAAACTCGTTTGTTGCTTTGACCCAATACGGATCTGACGTCAAGATTTGCCTGTAACATCTTTCCATGCAAAAAATGCAACAGAACGATATCCCAAGAAGCGAGCGCCACGTTTTACGGCAAGAGCACTTTCGTTTTCCCGCATGAGAATATATGATTACGATTGTGTATTGGCTGATGATGATAGGTCCAGTTGATTGAGGGTAGGTATCTGATAAAGCTCCATATCATGATTCATCCACCACCTCAAACTGACGCCCTAGCATTAAATGTATACTCAATGAATAGCGAGGAGTGTCATACCAAGGTATGCCTCCAGGAAGCTGCGAGCTACTGCTGCTTTCTTGTCACGGCACCTCGAGCTATGTGGTCGTCTGTATCAGACTTCTGAGACGGTATTGTTCAGTGTGGAAGGAAGGACTTAGCCATGCAAGTCAGAGGGACCTAGGTAGGAGGCAGTTGTTCGCACCTTCCTCCTCTTGATATATTCTCTTCGTCCCCGTCTTATACGCTCCTTCCTCAGCCAGGCCACCAGCGATCTGCTCATTCTCTTCTACGCCTACACCTGCGCCTGCGCTTTCCGTAAGACCCAGGCTCGTACTTGCCTTTCTCAAAGACTTCGGAAGGTTGACGCGTCTCTGTTCCCATCCCGTCTTTCTTTCCCTTCCTGCAAGAAAACGCGACTTCGATCCAGTCGACGTCAGTACAACGCGTTGTCGAGCAGGTGCAGGTGATAGCGTGACCACCGTCCCTCAGGGCACCTGCAAGCCTATTTGATCTTCTGTCCCCTCTCTGCCTTTTCTTTCTGCCCATCATCATCTTCATCTTCTTCCACCCACGACACTCACACTCCGCCGCACCTCACACAATCTCAACAACTCCTCCCTCTCTTCCACACTCAACTCCAAATTCAACCCCCATAGAGATCCCAAGATGGCCTGCAAGTCTCTCAAGAAGCATCGATTGGCCGAGTCAGTCTCCTATCCTGCCAAGCGCTTTTGCCTTTCTGACGGTGGACAGCAATCTGGATATGGATGGTCCGATGATCAAGGTCGCTGCAGGTAAAGGAAAGAACGTGAGAATCAGCTACTTTCTTCCCCTTCCGTCCCTTTCGCTGACCTCCATGACTAGCGCAAGAGCTTCGATATCCACAAGAGCCTTCTTCAAAAATGTACCCATTACTTTGATGCCAAGTTGGAATCCGACGCGGGCAAGAAGGGTGAGATCGTCCTGAGCGATGAATGCGTCGACACATTGGAGGCATTCAATACTTGGTTGTACTCCGGTGAGTAGTTTCTCTTCCGTTTATCCACTGCATACCTCCTTATGCTATCCTACGACAACTCACCTGGGTCCATTTGCGAGAAGAGGCCTGAAAGGAACGAAACACTCCAATTCGCTTCCTCTACGACTTGTCGCTGTAACGTATGCATCCAATGCTAACATCTTCGTGTGCCAAGGTGAAATTGAGAGACCTCCAACCCAGGTTCTCTACAAATCAAAGCCATCTGCAAAGGAGTCGCAGAAATTGGAGGTGGATCTACGAGCTCGTTTTGATGATCGCATCAGAATCCTCACTGACCTCTATATCCTTGCGGAGAAGATGGCCATCAACGACCTAATGAACAAGTGCATGGATGTCATCCAAGATGGCTTCTTCGATTATGGTACTGTCTTCGGTCCCGGTCAAATCAGCAAGGTCTTCCTGAAGAGCAAGCCCGACTCCAAGCTACGTGAGCTCGTTGTTGCCGCCAATGTCATCCATCTCGACCGTGGTTGTTCAACCCTCCGCGAAGAGCACATGATGCTTTCCATGACCGTTCCTGGCTACTTCGACTACATGCTCAAGTGGATTGGCCGCAACTTCCATCTGATGGGTCGTCGCTTCGAAGAAGGATATGAGATCTGTAAAAACCCACCCAGTGGTTTTACCGTCCTCAATCGTGGACTTCTTTGCGCATGTCATTTTCATGTGCATGGTTCCGGCGAAGCTCACCACGGCCATGATGGCTGTGCTGTTCCTTTCATGTCCTGCGATCATTGAGTACTGTTCGTGCATGTACCGATCACATTTGTGCTTGGTGAGGCACTAGTGGTACCAGTGTCGGTTGATAAAAATATTGCTTCACGCATAATACTCAATTAGATCTCAAGGGTCGATGAGGATTTTAGATCTGCTTTGCAGGGGGGTTTCAAAGGATATGTACCTACTGGAGATGGTATTTGTGGGCTTTCGATGGACATGTAGCTTTTGCTTTACGACCTTGCTTCTTATGATACCTGGATGCAAAAGGATTTGCTTCCACACTAGAGATTTGAATGGAATGATGATGATTTGATGGATTCGCCTGTTCGAGGATGACCCGTGACTTATGACCTCAGTAATGACAGTAAGGAGTCTTTGTTGTGTAGGGAAATAGATTTGGTGTTACGTGACAGCTACATTGATTCTTGTAGGACAATTGCTTAAGAGTCTTGAAAAAGCTTGGCCATGCTTGTTAGCCCTGTTGTATGTTCTATTCACCGCTAACTTGGATCTTATAAGATGTATTGGAAATAAAATAAGGCAGTCATTTTGTTTGATTCCCTCTTAATTACAAAACATTATTCTGATTCGTCCCGTGAACCTCAAAGATTCTGTGCGATTCATCAAGAACCCATAGGACAAATGGCATTTAGCTAAGAACATGTGGGTATCCGCGCTGGAAGATGTACAAACCTGTTATCACAAATTGGCCAATACTAATCCAGATATCTCGTCAACCAACCTGATCCCATATCTGTCTGAATTCAAGAAGATCTCTCTGTCCAAAGATTTCTCCTGCCACTGTGAGGATCATGTCAATAGTTGCTTTTGTATTCCAGTTGTCTGAATCATCAGGGGCTGTTGGGGTTTCTTCAGCTTCAGGTGCCACTTTCTCCAGAGCAATGTCGGTTTGGTCGTCTTGTGTAGGGTTGTCCAACGCCTGAAGCATCTGTGCTTTGGCTGCTGCTAACTCATCCTGCGTGCTTGTGGTACCTAGAGGAAGAATACCTGCGTCGTCAATGTGAGTAAGTGTTTCCTTCTCTGGTGTCCCGTGGGAAATATTTGCCGGGTCTGATTTCATGATAGGGGTCTGGAGATCTCTCGCTTGTGGTGGATGGCTGTGGCTCATGCCAAGGTCCACCTCTCCATCTTCCTCGTCCTCTTCTAGATCAATTTCTTCGTCATTAACAACAGCAATATCCCCCTCTCCTTCTTCTGCTTGGCCTTCTTGATTGCCCTCCAGTTCAGCGATGCCCTCATTCATGTCTGTATCTATTTTCAACCCCATTCCTACCAAAACAGCCTTCTTCCCCAACTCTCTCACCATACCTATCTCTTCGCTTGTCAACTCGCCCCGCTCGGGTAATCTGGCAAGTAAACTCCAAGCCCAGCGACTGGCACCCACATCTACAGTCTTCGTGCCCTGGCGCAACAGGTTCCCGGAGGTTATGAGTCCAAGCAATTTCAGAACCGTTCTCTTATCCATGGTAGCAACTTGGGCAGGTTTGGGGTTCACATTCTTCATCTTCCACCTCCACAAACGTGCGGTAGCTGTATTCATCGTCCCAATGTAGGTTGGGTGATCGGGTCCCAATTGGGCAATTAATTCTGCGGGTGGGGTTTGCTGGAGTTGTATGCGCAGGATCTCAAAACGGGCAAGGATAGAATCGAAATATGCAATGTTGTTGTCGTGGTTTGAGCTCTCGTCTTCGTTGTCGCTAGAGGGAGCAGCATAGTATGCACCATCTTTGTATAGGGCTATGTGGTCACTGGCTCCGCTCTCATATATATTGTGGTCTTCCTTATCATCTTTTGGTGCAACCAGTAGATTGGGAATGCTACTTGCTTCTTGTCTATCCAAAAACACCTGTCAGCACTGTTCTATAGTAGGAGTCTTAGCAAAGATGTTTGATGATGAACCACATTAGATTGAAAGTAATTCTTACCGTACAGACATCAGGTAGCTGATGGCATCCGTCTCTTCGTCATAGTTCAAGCTGTCTCCATCATCCTCCCTTGTATCTTTGTCCAGGCCAGGAAGCGCAAATTTCTGGCCATAGGTCGGATCGATCCGTGCAATGCTCTCGCCTGTTGATCGTGCACGAGACTTGTTGGTGAAGATGGGTGAATTGAAATCATCTGGTTGCTTGCGTTTGGAGCTTGACATGTCTGGAAACCAAGGATCCTTACTGTAAGATCTGACAGTCAAAGATACCTGAGCATATGATGCGATACGATGCGATGAGATGAGAAGAAGGGGATGGAGGATTCAGTTTTTTTGATGTTGACCAGAAATCAACAGAGCGCCAGTAGAGGGCAGCTCAGCCTTGCGAGAAAGCAACATCCTTGGACCAATCGGCGTTGACCGGATTTTTTGAGAACCGACTGAGGTCATTGGTAGGACGCGGGGCAGGGGCCTCAAGTAGGTCCACACCTTTACCAACTCCCGTCCTCACCCATCATACAAGTCCTTAATCCGATCCCAATTCCTCAAACAACACTGCTTCAAAGCACCCATCCAGTTCTCATTCTTGGCAAGAATGTCCCCCCTATTCTGTCCTTGAGACAAGCGAATCGCCGCCATACCATACTCAGTACAAACCGCAGAAACTCCCCTACCACTACCCCGCCACTCTCCACCCTCACACATCATCATGGCTCTTGATGCTCAAGGAAACTGGAATGTAGAAATGTCACAACCTCTGAGACTGCAGCTGCAGCAAGTGGGAGAGCCACCATCAACAATCGCTGCCCCTCCATATAGCTCTCTTGATGGATCCACTCTCAACTCCGGTCGCGAAATCCTCCTCCCCTCCGAAATCGTAGCACATATCGTCAGCTTCCTTCCGCGAATTGGTTCACAGGGCACCCTATGGGCTTGCACATTGGTTTCTCGAGTATGGTATACTTCCAGCATCGCTCTTCTCTATGAGCATCCATATTTGGACGGAAGCAGATTCGAGGCCTTTGTGAGAACAGTCTGCCCATCCAAGAATGCTCATATCAAACCATCTTCCCTCTCGGTGCTTGTGAAGAGCTTAGATATGTCGTCCCTTGTTCACAATAGCTCGAGAAGTCAAACGGCACGTTTGTTGGGGCGATTGAAGGGCAATATTGTGAAATTCGTGGCTCCCCAGTCGAGGTGGGCAGCTCCCTTCCCTTTCGGGTTTTAGGCAAGCTAAGAATTTAAGCGCTGTCCTCCTATGGCAGCATTATTTTTCTCCAAAGTTCCCTCGATAATTGATACGAATACAAAAGCTAACTCCGCGATCTTGCACAGTTTTGCCATCAACAGTTTTGCCTCTTTGAGTAAGTGCTCTAATCTGAAACTACTCAATTTAAGCTTGATCTCGGCTTCAATATCTCTCAAGATATTGTTTCAGACTCTAAGATCATTACAACAATTGGAAACACTGTTCTTTCCACGAACCTCGGGCAGTGAACAAGGACCGAAGACCTCATTTACTACATACCCCTGGCACCCAAAGCTGAAGGCTTTACACTTAGCTGGTGGGGTTGATGACATGTTTATGATACATCAAATGCGTACTGTTCCGGATGGACTGGAAAAAATGAGCATCCAGCACTGTGCACAAGTTCATAGCTACAGTCTCATTCCTGTCCTCAAACATGTTGGTCCGAAAATGCGGCATTTAACAATAAGATACCCGATGCCCCATTTCGACCCGGGGAGTCTTGATACATTATTAAATATCTGCCCCAAGCTGGTTGCTCTGCGAGTCTCCGCAGACTACATATCCGATGATTTACTAGCTGTAGAGAAACATCCTCTCCGGATTCTTGATATAGAGTCATCCCCAGCATATATGACGAATGAGGTCAGTCTTACTGCTGGTAGACTCTATCAAACTGTTGAATCTGGAGATCTGCCTGATCTCCGAAGCGTTAGGATCACGAAAAAGTTGGGTTGGAAAGATACTCCAACTTCACAGCAAGATGTGTATGACTTGGCAGAGGCCATGGAAGATCATGATGCAGAGGATCCTCTAGGCATACCTATTGGTGTCTGGCATTGTGATTAATAAATAGATTGTGAAGTAATAGACTTTCTTCTGTAGATCTTTTTCTCACTCCTTCATTTATATGTCATGCCATTACAACACGTTTTTGAGTTTACCCATTTATGGAGACCAAAAGCATAGAAACATGGCTATTCAAGCTTTAGGACAATTCAGTTCATTGTTTGTTACAAAGAATGTGGGGCAATTTCCCCATTGTTTTAAACTTCTGGACATAGTTGCCTATTTGTCCTATAAGTTTTCAATGAGTAATTCCAGATGCACTGGGAAAGGAAAAGTCTAGAGAGGACTATTCACCACCACTGTTGTTGTTTTTATCCCTCTATTCCTATTTGTAAAGAATTTCACTTAGCGTGAAAGTATTGGCTTTTTACTGTAGCTAAAATATTTCTTGACAGTCAAGTTGGCGACTATTCCCCAGAGCCATCAATTAAGTCTTCAATTTATTCTCTCATATCAAAATCACCTCACCTTCTATTATGGCCTAATCCTCCTCGGCCCTTTTCTTCCACTATGGTTAAGGCTTGAACTACACAAGTAAACAAGCGGGAAAATGGAATTCGTGAATGACTATAGAGGGTAGCTCTTTCCTATTTGGTCCATTAGATACCATAACTGGAGCCTAAAATCACTGGCTAAAATAAGTAAACTGCGGCTCCATCTGAACCAACCCAAGTTTGCATCAGTGTTCAGTCTCTCTCTTCTCATTACAGCACTCTTATACCAAGGACTCCAGTACCATAATGGTCTTAATTCACTTCCAAGATTCCAGTCAGCCTTTTTCTCGTCTTCAAGTTTAGGGCACTGGAGAACCTGAAGCTGAGATATAGTGGAAATCTCCTTCATGCCTGTCTGCTAGGCATCAATACTACCAACAATACAAGCATTTATCGCTGACTATCTGAGGGTTGGATAGCAAGCGCTTCATTGACATAGTGTACTATCCCCTCTACAGAAACCGTCCCAAGGCAGAGCAGATCCAAGGTCGCCTTTGTATCTATTCACAAGTCACTCTGGTAGTCACTTCACAATATCATGGCTTCTTATCACTTACATTGAACTCAATCTCCATCAACTCATTCCAGCCTTACGTGGCTCATATATTTACCATTTACTGGAGTATTTCGCACACAACTTATGCAATAGGTCTATGATTCACAGCTTTTCAATGGTGTCAGATCATGTGACAGCATCTGACTTTCATACCTATCTAGCTATTGAAATTGGAGGGCCTCAGTTTTCACTTCAGCAAACTTGTGTGGAGAATATTTTCAATATCTCATCAACATCGTTAACCCATCTATCGCCAAAGCTCTTCTTCTTATAAACAGCGGTTGTGGTTTGCATTTTATCTCAATCTCACCCACCAAAATGTTTGGAGACAATTAACAAAATTACCGACAGCATCCGCCAGACCTGGCGACATTATTTGGACCTGGCAACATCATTCAGACCTCTAGTTCTGGAATGTCGTCCCCAACTCCCACCCCCAGCCTTGATGAGATTCTCTCAGGCTCAGTCTTTCCCTATCTGATGCCATCCATTGAGACTGATGATGTGGAGGAACACAGCCATGAAGCGGAACCAGCTCCTACACTTACGCCACTGAATTCAGCCTGAAAACGCAAAGCGTCTGATGATGTTGCTGAATGGGGCCGTCCTAAAAAGACCTTTATTGACCTGACGGAAATTGATACTTCACCTGAGGCTTCACAGGCTTCCTCTGTGGTTAGGCATACGCAAGATACCAATAGGAAGGAAGTGGAACATGGGAGGCCTGTTGATAATGCTGTTGACACCAGCGAAGCTTTGGCTACAGCTGGGAAGAAACTCAGTTGTCCTGGCTACAACGTTGGAGAAGGGGCGCTTGGAGCTACTACAGGCCCAGGAAGTTCTGAGGATGGGGAGGGTGACATTGAAGCGTACGCTACACCCAAAGAATATTTCGATAAAGATAACGGAGAAGAAGATATAGAAGGAGACCGAGGTGGATCAGATTTAAAGCCCGAAGGAACCATCACACAGTCTCCACCATTTTATATAACCGAGCACATACAACCCATAATCGAGACTTCATCCTCACCAGTACACGAGAACCATACTTTACTTAATCCACAGTCGACTCAACCCATGGACCCAATTCCCAAACCTTCTGTTCCGCCTCCAGGTCGACTATCATGTAAAGAACGGAAGCGGCTCGTCGTCTCCCTTGCAACTCGACCAGCAAAGCTAACTCAAGATCTTAAAGCATGGCTCAGAACTACTAATGACCTCCTCGACCCATTTCGTGAAGACGATGATTGCTGGCTCCATCCATCGCCTCCTCCACCTCGTCTCATGAATGGACGTCTCGTTGCGCGGCACATTATTTCGAAGCGCTTTATATTTACCTGTCCTTCTCCTTATGCCCCATACGAGCTACAGACCCATTCGCTTACGATACCTTATGGAATTGCTCATCACCTCGTCTATCATTCCTTGACGCTTCAACAACAAGACGGGTGGATCAATCAGAATTGGCAGAACAGTCATTTGTGCGGAAATTGGACGTGTCTGAACCCTGAACACTTGACTGTTGAGAGCCGTGGGATTAACGTTAGTAGGAACAATTGCTTTAGTCATCGAGTGGGATGTTTTCATGATCCGAGTTGTTTGAAAGACCGCAAGGTTCCCCTCGGGAGTGATGGCTTGGTTGTTCAGATGGAGGATGGCGGGTGGCAAGTTGGCAGTTCTGGGGAAAGGTACGGATGGGCGGAGATGGATTACGGAGAGGATGGAGGGATAGTCGAGGATGAAGATTTAGGCTTGGACAACATTGACATGAACTTTGATGGAGAGCCAGAGGGTGCGGGAGAGGAAGATGGATCTTATTGAACAATTACTTGGCAAACACGTCTTCGGGATTTCTGCTGGATTAATGTCATTATAGGGAGTTTCCAACCGGGTTCGGGTACGAGGTAAAGGCATCGAAAATGGACATCATGGAGGAAGGGGAACTTTCCATCGGGGTCGCCATGGATATTCTCTAATTTGTCTTCATGATTCCCCAAAATAATTATCATGGCATCTGACGGGGTTCGAATATTTCCCTACATATCTTTCAAACAACCTCCAAGCTACTACTACTCCACATTAGTTTTCACATTAGATTCGAATACAAGCGTTGCGTTTCTCTTTGTCTTTCTTGCTCAATTTTGTAGACATGAGACGGAAATCTATTTATCATACATACGATTTCATTTTATGATGGATTGAAGTTGGATTGCGTTGGGTTACCCCTGTTTTGGCTGACCCCAACTTGGTAAGTCAATCCACGTAATGTGCAATCTTTGGGGTTCTTTTAAGCCGCAGTTGTAAGACAACAAAACCTACGGCAGTCTGGAACATATTCTTTGTCGCGGGTGTTGGCAAGGCGCTGCTAACAAAGACCCTTTATGCAAGTTCTTTCTCGGTTGTATTACTATGTGCGGAAAAGAAGCGTCTCTTTGGTAACAACTTTTCTTTATTATCAACGGACATTTGAATGTTCCATATATTGGACGTCATTTGTTGAAATATCAATTAGTGCTATATTCATTCTCTTTCGTGCATATAATCTTCATATACATTCATTAACAAGCTTGGCTCATCGCAGAGTATCTTTTATAGATCATATCAGATCTGGGCGCAACGTAAACCGGCTAACCAAAACTCGAGACACCATCATTTGGTACACAATAGCATTGAAGGTTTAACTACTCCAACGCGCTTAAACTCGAGACAAACGCCGTCGTGCTACCTGTTCCCACGCAGTCACATAGTACAAGGTCACATTGGCTGGACGCCATCTACAATCTTCTCAACATTGATCCGCCATTAAAGCCTGACGGTACAACATCGCTTGGTTCAGCTCCTGTCGAAACCAAAGTTTTCTGGAAACATTGACGCTAGCTGTAATTACTATCCAAAAGTTTCGAAAATAATTCGCACACGAGATTGCATTACAATTTCTGAGCAAAACTGTAAGACCCGTATTCGAGCATTTTAATAGAAATACATGCCAACCTTGAGGTAGATAATTCGCAGATATGGGAGACTACCAACCTGCAGATGATGAGAAAGTTCTATTCTCGAAACGAGAGTATTTCAACGTAGAGTTAGGGCACCAAATCTGCGAACTCCGGCTCCTGGATCCCTTGACTGGAGTCACCAATAAAGACATAAACGAACGCAATGAGCTTAGCACATACATACCGCATCCCCTCAGACTCAATCGACTGTTGTCAGAAGAAGAGATGGCCGCAATCGACTATACTTCTATGAAAGATGACTTACCGTTCTATATCCGGCCCAAACACCACACGGAACCTGGCAATGTCAAGAACGCAACCACCGTCGTTACACAAAAAAATCTCGTTCCCTATGCAAGATATTATTCAGCAATTGCGACCGAGAAACTGGGATTCCATCCTATTATGGCAGCCTTCAGAGAGAAGCTGACCAGGCCAGGTACGGAGAAAAGATTTCATAGTGCTGTTGGCGCACGCACCGTTGAGGCTCATGGGAATGTTTATGACCTCGGATTTACTGTGCAGCAAGAGGCCAGGAATATTCAAACATCCAAAGTTGCCAGGCTCGGGGACCCGGAAGTACGATATCTAATCACAGATATTATCCGTATTGCCATGGTGCTTTTGGAGAAAGCATTTCCTGGTCGTGACTCCGATATACAGACTAGAAGTTGGTTGGGAAATGCTTCCATTGGTATCGGACATAGGGACAACACTGAATTCACCTCTATTCAAGTCAATATATCCGAACTCAAATCTGATCTCAATTCTTCTCTGAAGGACTTCGGTAGCCTGCATATGGACGCCACTGAGAATCCCATCAGTTTCACTGCTAGCTTCTGTGTTTCTCATCTTCCCGAAAACTACTTTCCCGGTCGTTTTGCAATCACACCGGCAAGACTTATGTGCCTCACCGCTCCATTTACCGCATTGGTTTTCACAGCAAATCAACCACACATCGCCCTTGCTGGCGGGCGGTATCCAAAGGGACTTCCCCACGACTCCCCTCTTCGTTACTCGCCCAAAGTTGATCTTCCTGAACTTCCTCACGATAATTGTAACAAACCATTTGGAGTTCGAGATTACAGAAGGATAAACGTCATACCATACCCCAACATTAAGATGCAAGAATACGAGACGCACAAACTTCGAGACACAGTGTTCGACGATGATTCTCTGCTCGTCTGGGGGTCAATGAGAAACAAACGTGAATTCGAAATGAGGCATGCGATGTTATTAAAGTATCAAGATGGAAAGTAGAATGTTCCCCAGTACAAAGATGCCAAATCATGGGTTAGAAAGTTTGCGTGGCAGGACAAAAAGGGTAATTGGCATTTTCCCAGACGGAGACTTGTTGAGCGTCTTCTTGAGATTATGGAGAAGGAAGATACAGGGTTGAACCAGTTGAAAGAGGATGTTGAGTCTTATAGCTGTGGGAACAAGTTCAGAGGATACAAGACCTGTAAATACGTGACTTGGACACATGAGAGGCAACTGATTCGTTTCCGGGATAGCATTTCTGGAGGATCAAGGAAGGATTCATAGCTGGCTGCTCCGTGTGGCTAATTCTTGGAATCGCAATTATGCTTTATCACCATCTTGCTGCCAATCTACCGCCTCGATTTTGCTTCTGCTTATAGTATTTTTATCTCAAGTATCTAAGCGTGGAAAAAAGTATATACTGCTAAATTTGTAGTATCTTAAGTCCTTCATTTCAACATGTGATATAGTCTATTCTCAACCAGACATCATTCTGAGGCACAATTTGACAAACTATGGCAGTTGCTCACAGTCTATATGCAAGTTCCACGATTCTTCTGATGCCACAATATTAATTATACGCAAGGAGGGGCAACAGGGTAGCAATTCTTCGGCGATTGAGTTCTTTTTTTCCCGAATGCGTAGAAACATTACAAGATTTCGAACCAAATATGTTGGTTACTTACATATATCAGTGTGTATCAGCCAAGTCGCTGGGCAAACTTTTCAAAATCTCGCCCACCCTGTAAATAGTTCCTCTTTCCGGGCGCTTTACCTAGCTCTATTGTCTAGGCTCATAATTTAGCCCTGCTTGCAAACATTTTCCCTCTCACAATCTTCTTGACCTCTTCGACCGGTAACGTCGATACCCTTCGTCTCAGCCATACCTTGTCCTGCTCCAGCCCTTGCCAGATCATTGCTTCAATCCCCTCGATAACCTCCCAGCCCTCATCTCTCGCAATTTTAGCTATTGCTGTGTCGGGCGAGGGATGATAACACATTTCCAGCAAGAAACTCTTGCGTTCTTTACCGAGAAATTCTCTGATGATAGCCCTAGTTTCGATCTCCGCCCGGGAAATGGGTGAAAAGTCCGGGATCGCAGAAATGACAACGTGAGGAGCGGGCAGAGACTTTGCTTTCGCTAAAGATGGAATATAATACAGATTATCTCCAAAACCTTGAGCTTTACATTCCGAGATCACTTGGTGACATTCCGCAGGCTCCCTATTGACGAGATAAACCTCGCTACATTCGAGATATGTTTTCAAAGCATAAACCGCTGCTCGACATGTTCCTCCGCCTCCGATCACCATCCCCGGCTTGCCTTTCATGTTGGCAGCTTGTGCTGGTGTGGTGTTCTGAAGTATTGCCTCTCGTATTCCGATACAATCAGTGTTGGTTCCGCAAAGTAATCGCTTGCCGCTTGGGGAGCTGCGAAGGAAAACGGTATTGATGGCTCCGATTGCTTCACCTTCTGGTGTCAACATATCGAGATGTGGTATGATTGCTACTTTAAAAGGCATCGTTACCGCAGCTCCAAAGAACTTTGGGGATTGCATTAGGGCGAGACATGGTTCCAATGTTTGGGACGGATAAAGGTGTTGCTCGTAATTTAGACCTAGAGAGTGGTAGATGGTGCGGTGCAGGAGAGGTGACAGAGAGTGAGCAATTGGGTAGCCAAATAGATAGAGGACCTTGTCGAGATTTTCCGTGGAGGGGATAGGGGTTGGAGGAGATGCGTTGTGTTCCTTCGCATTTGCCCCTGTAGTATCATGAGGTATGGCACGCGAAGGTTTTAGGGCGGAAGAAGGCATCGCTACTATGAGCTTTTGAAAGGAACGGGTGAAATTATTTGTTCGACTAATTCTTCTGAGGTGATGACTGATGGTATATAGATGGCGGGTTGAGAATTCCAAGAGGCCGGTCTTCAGTATTCAAGTTGGAATCCTAGGTACCGACCGCCCCAAGCTGCCTCAAGATAAGTCATGTATATTAAAAGCTTCTTCCCAATTAAATCACCGATCTTCAGCCGGAGAAATCTTAAGAGGTGGTGCGGCCTCAAGTGCTCGAATGTCTGTTTACCTTCTCTGGATATTATGGAATCGACAGTAGTAAAACTTGACAAATACCGCGCTACTTCAAAGGTCACAATCAGCTCCCTTGGAAATATGACTTGTCAAAAGCAAAAATCCCAGAGATCGTCAAGATTATGCACTTCTAAAATTCAAGCCAAGGCTGCCCCAAATAAGTGGAAGAACATATAGCAGATACACACCTGGATCACAAAGACCGATATCCAGATGTATTATAGACGAGTGGCGGTGGGGTATAGCAGGCAAATGGGAAAAGAATTGAAGCCCAAATGGGATCCAGTTTCTTCTCGTAAGTGTTTATCCGACAAACAAAATCTGTGGTAGGTACTTGTAGACAACCTTTTCAAAAAGTCTGATGCTGTACTTCGAGTAAACTTCTGGGGCATATATGAATAGTTTTCGACTATCACAGCACACTAATAAGCTAACATTCCGGGTGTTTCTGAGGTCTATATGGATATTCACTGGTGTCTATCTCCACTGCACTTTCGCCATATTCGACGAATACGCTTTCTTATTGGTTGGTAGAGCTTCGGTGAATTGTGGCCCCACTAATATATTCGGATGCCAGTCTCGGTTGAAGCTTCAAATGAACATCCTACTTCCCATGACGAATGACAATCGATAGGGAAGGTTGGTCACCTTGTAGTACAGGCGGCTGGCTTGCAACTATGATGTTCTAGCTAAGGGAAATCATCTCGCCTGGTTTAACCTCGGGCTCCCTTACCTTACATTACACTGGATCCCTTGCAATGTTTTATATCTTCTGGAGGTTTTTATCTTTATCTTCTCTTGAACCAAAGGAGATTCATGGGAAGTTCTTATGTTACATAAAACCTCAATATCTACTCGACGGGGACACAACGGAGAAAAATCCGTATCATTGCGCATTGATCAAATCTGGGGTTCTGGAGTTGTGGAGTTGTGGAGTTGTGGAGTTGTGGAATACCCCATGATATCTTGTCTGTTTTTGTTCGCGCATCTCGGGAGAATCATCACCCATCATAAACGCGTCCTTGGTCAGAGCTATGATGATAGGCTGCGTCAAGATCAGCTTCGCCAACCTCCAGATGGACCCCGAGAACCCCAGACCCCGTATTTCAACTCGCCGACTACGGACCGGGAGGATCAAACAATCTACTAGGTCCCCTACCTCTATAAGACAGGTGCGCCGTTACAAGTTGTCCTTTTCTCTTCTAAAGGTTGAAGTTATTGACTCCCTTTTGTTTTCAACTATCCGGTTTTCTATCGCTATACTTGGCAGACGCTGTGTTGCATTGTTTGTTTTTTTGGGTGCTATCCTAGAGACCTCATAGAGGTTTTCTTCCAAAATGGGTCTTCTCACATTGAACGAAGGTATGCAAACACCGAGATAAAGGCTATTTGACACCAGGCTGATAAATTTTAGATCGGCCAACACCACCATGTGTTTATAATGTATGTATCGACCTCTGAATAGAATGAGCTTTCTAGGATCAAACTCCCAAACCTATCCGCGAACGCCATGAACAAGGCTAATAGAGATTCAGGCTCGAGTTTATACCTGTGCTGCCGTGTAAGTTAATATCTGAAATCAAAATAACGATAAGTGCTGACCATGTCAAAGTGCGTCGTTCTGCGCCGTTATGATCGGTTATGATTCGGCATTCATAGGAGGAACACTTGCTCTAAGCAGCTTCAAAAATGAATTCAATTGGTTACAATACAGCAAGACTGAGGCAAATTTGATCACAGAAAATATTGTGTCCCTCTACCAAGTCGGTGCATTTTTCGGTGCATTTTTCGCTTATGCTGCAGGCCACTATCTCGGTCGAAAGAAGGGTCTCCAGATATTCTCTGGTGTTTTCATCCTTGGGGCTGGCCTCATGCTTGGCGCAAACGGTGACAGAGGACTTGGATTGATTTATGGAGGTAGAGTCTTGGCTGGAATTGGTGTAGGAGCTGCATCTAACTTGACCCCAATTTACATTTCTGAGTTGGCACCGCCTGCAATTCGAGGGAGACTTGTTGGGCTTTACGAACTGGGATGGCAGGTGGGAGGTGTGGTGGGTTTTTGGATCAACGTAAGCGAACAGCTTCATCGATTGTGATAAATCGGGAATCTACTAACTCCAAACAGTACGGCGTCTCAGTAACCATGGAAGAGAGCCATTCCCAATGGATTATTCCTTTCGCCGTTCAAATAATTCCGGCGGGAATCATGTTTGTAGGACTCTTCTTCATTAGGGAATCTCCTCGCTGGTTGATGACCCGTGGGAATCGTCAAGAGGGACTGGAGAACCTCTGCTGGATTAGAAAGCTACACACGGATGACATGTATATGCTCGAAGAGGTGTCTGCGATCGATGCTGCTCTTGAAGCTCAACGTTCTAGTGTTGGTCTTGGTTTCTGGCAACCGTTCAAGACACTTTACAACGATCGAAAAGTTGCTTATAGATTCTTCCTTGGATGCTCTCTGTTCTTCTGGCAGAACACTTCTGGTATCAACGCAATTAACTATTACTCACCTACAGTTTTCAGAAGTATTGGCGTCACTGGGAGCAACACAGGTCTTCTCACCACTGGCGTTTTTGGTATTGTCAAGGCAGTCATGACACTTGTCTGGTTATTCTTCCTCATCGACAATTTGGGCAGAAGAAACCTGCTCATGATTGGCGCTCTGGGTGGAGCCATCTGTCTTTATTACGTTGGTGGATATATAGCTATTGCAGATCCTGAGAACAATCCTACCGTGGATGGAAAGTTATCTAGTGGTGGGATTTCTGCTATGGCCTTCTTTTATCTTTGGACGATGTTCTACACTCCATCATGGAACGGCACCCCCTGGGTTTACAATTCGGAGATGTTCCCCCAAAACGTCCGCACCCTTGGACAAGCTTTTGCGGCTGCATCCAATTGGCTTTTCAATGTAAATGGGATCCTTAACTTCCATAATCCAAAAGCTAACACTCATAGTTTCTTATCGCGCGTTTTACTGAGCAGATGTTTACGAAGATGAAGTTTGGTGTATACTTCTTCTTCGCTTCTCTGATGTTATGCTCTATCGTCTTCGTCTTCTTTTTATTGCCCGAGACAAAGGGAATTCCGCTCGAAAGCATGGATAGACTTTTCAGTAAGGAACTCGTATCACGCCACGCTCATTCTATTGTCATGAAGGAATTGAGTGAGGATGAGGAGCAATTCCGTACGAATATAAAGGGCAGTGGTTTAACGCTGGACAAAGATGAGACGGGAGAGAATAAGCAGCATATCGAGAAAGTCTAGTTGTGGAAGTTGCTCTGCTACATAGCACATTGGCCTTTTGGTATTTTCTCCTTCTTCGAATAACAAATAGACGGATAGATGGTTGGGATAGATGAGTTTGCAAGAGTCATTTTGACGATGTATTATCATGACATGTGCGACCTTGAAAGTTTGTTTCAAAACACGTTTACAAATTCTTCTGGACACTTAATTCATGGCGATCAGATATAGTGACTCAGAGCGGATCGTTTAATAAAACAGAACGAAACTCTGCCATTGCGGAAACTCGATCGGAGAAAATGAACTTGCACAACAACTGACACAAGAGAATCTTCGTTGGTCAATGACCCCTAAGCTTCAATCTTGATAGGATACCCATCGTCATTTTTAGTGGCCATCTTGATAGCCTGGCAGACTTTCAAAGCCCTCAACGCATCCTCGCCACTACAGCACGGCTCTTCTGTCCCTCTGACCACTTCCACAAAATGATTAAGTTGCAAGTCAAAGGGCACATCCTCCACCCTCACCTCCAGCTTTTCTTTCTTCAAAACCCGCCCCCAACCCTTTTCTACATGTTCTTCCTTTCCTGGAACCTCATCATAACTCCACCTCGTTAAACCTGGGACACTTAAACTCCCCTTCTCGCCCAACACCCTATAAAAACCATCGGCCGCTTCCACCTTCGGAATCAAAGGATTCTCACCGGTCCCAGCCTCAAAGTTCCACGGACTCGGGGAATTGTCACTGAAAACAAATGACCCCACAACTCCACTCGCAAATCTCATCATCACAGCTGCGCCCTCTTCAACTTCATATCCTCTCCCTTTCCCAGTCTGCAACGCCGAAACCAGATTTATAGGACCAAATAAATACTGTACGAGATCAACTTCGTGGATGAGGTTGATCAATATCACACCCCCGCCATCTTCAACACGTTGACGCCATGTGTTGGTTTCCGGGGTGGTGAAATATGAAGGTGGTTTCTGGAGAGCCCATGTACCTTGGATAGCTAGGATTCGCCCCAAATTTGGGAGTCCTGCTTTGGTTGCTAGAAGGTAGGTATTGAAACGACGGTGATGTCCTACTAAGACTTTGACGTTTGCCTTTCGTGCTACTTCTACCAGTTCGAGACCTGAAGGGAGAGATGTTGCGACAGGTTTCTCAACGAGGATTGGGATTTCGGCTGAGATGAGCTCGAGAGCAAGGGGCACATGTGTGTGGTTTGGTGTGCATATTATTGCGGCATCTGGGAGAGGAATAGTGGGGAGTAGTGACGATATACTGAAATGGTAAGTGGTGTCGAGGGTTCTGGCCAGAGAAGGACCGTGAGAAGATAGCTCAACAAGAGCATAAAGCACAGTGGACAGATTGGAAATGACTGTTTGTGCGTGTCTAGGCCCAATAAGCCCTCCTCCGATTACTGCAATTTTGAGGGGATCTTTATTGCTTATTTTGAAATCTGCAGAGAGAATCGATTTGAAGGAATCAGATGATATCCCTGAACCGGCTGATCTGTATCCTGAAGTGGAGTAAAAATCCCAGGCTTGACTCTTGAGAGAATCTTATGTGTGATACTGCATTAGTTAATCCCACAATATGCATCGCCTTGGATCATAAACAACCAACTCATAATTCCCCGAAAAGCAGTTAGGCATACAATGCCAGACATGATATGAGTAACTCAAATCCCATTCCCAGGGCCCCGAGTTTCCAACTATAGCTCGCATTTATTGTCTCATGAAATGAAATCGTTTGATATATTACTCGCTCCATACTTGTCTTGGAATTCTCCTGTCGTGACGGAAGCGCAGTGCCAGCTCAACTGTGGGGAAGAATCCTTGTAGCGGGGTCTCCAGGACCATCTCTGGTCTACCCGTGTTAGGAACTGGTGGGAAAGCTTGAGATGACGTTCGTTGTCGCTGACGGAACGAACACACCCGCCGGGAGAAGACTATCCCACCCAAGCACCCACATCCACATCCACATCCACATCCAAACCTATCATGTTCAACTTCCATTTTGATACGAGAACAATTCAGATTTGAATGATGATAATAACAGTGGAGATGAACCAGAGCGCTCATGGTGCAGATTAAGTATGATATAGCGAGCTGAATAGATTGGACCCATCAGTCTAGTCTTAGTTTGGGGTAGCTGCAAGTTGAGTCTATCTCCCAGGGGAGGGACAACCCCATGCTATCCTCTCTTGAATTCTTTCCCACTCACTCCATTGTCATGAGGCCGTATTGATAAGGGAGCCAGCGGAGATCAAATATGCCTATCGTGTTCTCCCGGCTTTATCATCACATCCAAGTAATACTTATCTGTTCTGTGTGTCGCGAGGAACAACAAAACTACTGGTTTCATGACTAGCCAGTCCCCCAGATATCAAACAAATACCTACTCGTTCTACTCACTGGAATTCTGTATTTGACTCTTCGTTCAATCATCAGCTACCGCCAACCCTCTACCTGCCCTCGGCTGTATAAAAGCAATCAATGGCTCCTCACCCCTTCTAATTCCTACAGATCAAAAGCAAAGAAACATCAATCGCAACAATCAATAATATACCCAACCATGTCATATAGACCAGCCATCGCTTCGCTTTCTCTCGGCAGAGCTTGGCTCCATGATCTCGCCCCCAAATTCGCCGCAGCAGCAAATGCTGGTCTTCCAGGCATAGAAATATTCTTCGAGGACCTTCTCTACCTGGCATCCACCTACAAAGGCGGTTCATCCCTTAGTACAAACCAGATCCTCGCCGCACGCCATATTCGTGCTCTCGCTGATGCCAACTCCCTGACAATCATAGCACTGGGTCCTTTCTCCGACGTTGAAGGTCTTCTCTGTCCCCAAAAGAAATTAAAGAAATCGGAAGATCTCAAAACATGGTTTGAGATCGCCAGAATTCTGGGAACAGATATCATTCAAATCCCTAGCACCTTCCAGAACGAGGGGTTTACCGTGGATTTGGAGACCGTGGTAAGGGATTTAAGGCAAATTGCTGAGTTGGGTGCGAGAGAGAACCCACCTGTTCGGTTTGCGTACGAGAATTTATGTTTTGGGACGTATCATGACACGTGGGAAAAAGCATGGGCGGTCGTGAAGGGTGTCGATCGACCGAACTTTGGGTTGTGTCTGGATACATTTAACATCGCTGGACGAGGATGGGCCGACCCATCTCGAGATGACGGCAAAATTGAAAATGCGGACGAGTTGTTCGCTGAGAGTCTGAGGAGTTTTGTGAGAGAGGTTGACGTGAAGAAAGTGTTTTACGTACAGGTCGTCGATGCGGAAAGAATGAGGAATCCTATAGTCAAAGGGCATGCCTTTTATCAAGAAGGACAGAAGGCCAGGATGAGTTGGAGTCGGAACGCCAGATTATTTATTTGCGAGGAAGACCGTGGAGGGTATCTACCTGTGATAGACGTTTTGAAAGCAATTTGCGATGAAAACACTGGCCTGGGCTACAAAGGATGGATATCCATGGAGTTCTTCAATCGAAGTCTGGTGGGCAAAGGACCCGATGTCCCCGTAGAACACGCAAAGAGAGCAGTTGACTCGTGGAATAAGTTAGTGAAAGTCATGGGATGGGAGGACAAGGTTGAGGCTATAATCCCACAGAAGCGTCTTGGTGAAGCAAAGTCAATGAGTGACCAGTGGGCTACAGCGGAGATATCTGCGAGGCTATAGAGATCTGATTCCACTTGAAATTACAAGTTGACCTTTTAGCGGCATTGGGAGGCGTACATAGTTATTGATTGGTATTATATAGCTTTACAAGGAGATTTCGTAACTTCCAAGCTCAATCTCGTTATGTACCTAGGGGTGACATAGTAACCTGGAGAGAGGAAATTAAGGAACCGCTGTTCCTTGGAATAATCCTTCAAAGAGTATTTTGGGCAGACGCGGTTCAACAAAGACAAGATTGTTTATGAAATGTATGTTTGGAAAACTCTCAAAAGAGAAGTGTCTCGCTTCTGTATTCATCATCCTAGTGAAAGGTTGTAGCATACGCATGAATAAGGTGCTTGATCATTCCAAGGCCATTGGCCATTAATCTTCAAACGCTCCGTTAGTAGCAAATTTCTAGATGAAAATTGCTCCTGCGAACTCTACAGAACGCATCGTTTGGTAGTATATAAGAAAAGGCAACCAGTTTCACTGTCTCCAAGGCGAATACGGATGCTAGAAAGCAGATCATCGTGATAGATTCTCTAAAAAACGCCGCCGTCATCTTGACGGAACCTGCCTCTGGGCCCCATATCCCACAACGCCACGCTGATGTGCAAAAGGAAGAAAATCAAGTTAGCTTACATTCATCATGACTTCATAGTTAGCTCCTCAATATCCTGCGTGAGCAAACAGTGGAGATATTGTTTCACCATAATGGTTTCTGCGGATAGCTTCAGCCAGAAGGGTTGAGAGATCCAAAACAACAAGTTTCTTCGCTGCTCTTGCTTGCTCTTGCTGTATTGGGAAGGAGTTGGTGACAACTATTGTGTCGATGCAGTCGCAGTTCTGAAGTTCTTCAAGCGATTCTCCTCCAAACAAGCCATGTGTAGCAATGCAATATACTTTTCTTGCGCCACCACGCTTGACGACACACTCAGCTGCAGCAATCCAGCTTCCAGCCTTATCAATCATGTCATCAATGATGAACACTGTTCTGTTTCTGACATCTCCAACGAGCGTGATCATTTGCTCCAAGGATGGGTCATTAAATCCCTCTTCCTCTTCATCAGAGCTCGCAGCAGCGTCTGCGGAACCACTGAGAGGGTGTGCATCGGTATTGAAGAAGGAAGAGGCCCTAGACATTACCATTGGGTCATCATCAGGGTTCTCCATCATCGTTGAATTGGACATGGCTGATTGTGTGGGCGAAGGATAGTCATCAGGGACAACATGGCCTTGGATAAGTCTTCCTTGTGTAATATCTCGAGCTCTTTCATCCGTAAACTCGGCGTCCTCTTCACGTGGGGCTGAACGAGGGGCAGGTAATGTTTGGGCACGGGTAAGAGGAGAGCTGACGTTGACGGAAGAATCAGTTGCAGATCGCAGCAGAGGGGAGAGTACTGGACTTCTCCGTGATGAACCACTTTCCTGGCGTGAGTGAACTCCCCTTGTGGAAGAGCCATTCCCATTGGTCTGAGGCTGATCAGACTTGGAATCAGTCGTGGAATGGGACTTTGATTGGCGGCCATTTGGCTTATTCGTAGTATCAATCACCAATCTGCTCACGTCCGAATCAGCATCCGAGTCTGGCACGACAAAGCCATCCAGGCGTCTCATGATCATGCTTTGTGTCATATTTCCGCCGGCAGCACGACGTTTATCTGTTGTAACCATGCCAAAGTTGAGCTTCAAGGCATCGGCCAAAGATGTAACTCGCTTTGTTCCACCTGCATTCTTGGATACACACACAGCCTCTCTCCACGTGGGAACGTTATGCCTAATCCACCTCGCAATGATGGGTTCTGCGTGTAGGTTGTCCACTGGGCACTTGAAGAACCCCTGCATCTGAGATGCGTGAAGATCAATTGTAATGACATGGTTCACACCAGCCACACTGAGCAAGTTGGCAAGCATACGTGCTGTGATGGCTCCTCGGTGGGACTTCTTTTTCGATTGTCTGCTGTAGGGAAAATAGGGGAGGACCGCTTTCCAGAGTGATTAGCTTTGGCTCGCTTGGGGGTTGACTTTGAGCGACCACCTACCAGTAATTTTATTGGCAGAACCTCCTTTGCAAGCGGAAATCAAGATCAGCAGCTCCATAATGCTATCATTGATCTTGCGACTGCCTGATTGCACCACAAACACATCTTTGTCACGAATGCTGGTCATGATCTTGACACTGGTCTCGCCCTGTTGTGCCCGTCAGCCTTGTCTCGCTCATTCCCCTCGCCTAAAGCTTCAGTCGGTATTCACATTTGCAAACTGAGAAAGCTCAACCGCGGCGGGTACCATGCTGAGATTGCCGCATATTTGATGCGTGAGGGCGGGACATGAGCTCCCAGCGAAGATGAGTGTGTTACGCATAGCTTTTGGGGAGCGGGTAGTGGGTAGTGGTGGAAGACGACCGATGAGGGAGAAGGGAGGACGCAGAGGGAGGAGGTAGAGGGAGGTGGAGGTGATGGTGGTGGTGGTGGGATGAATTTCTCCAGGCGATGCCAGTGCCACAAAAAAAGAATCTGACCAACTGCTTCTGCAGGAGACAATGCAGCCCTGAAAACTCCACCCTGTCAATTTACTGGTCCGTGCACCCATCCATACCACCTGCAGTCAGTGTCAATCTCAGACCAACTCATAACCACACCCAACAACATCAATTTACACGCTAGCACGTATTTTACTTTATATATATGAATATATACATGTATATATATATACACATCACACAGCAAGCTTCTCGCTCAGAAACGCAAAGATGTCACACAGCATCTTGTCAGAATACCAATGTCCCAGTCCTTCATATTCAACCATTTGGACTTTAGCCCCCAAGAGATCCAAACAATTCTTGGCTTCTCGACCTACCTCAATACCAACTTTGTTGTCTTCGGTGCCATGGCCTAAGAATATAGGTATATTCTGAAAAGTCAGCTGGGTGTTCCCGTCCACGTTGATTTCATCTCGGAGAAAGGTGATGGCCTGAATGATAGAGTAGTTAACAAATATCCCTAATCAATGATTTGTGTTTCTCGATTCCGTGATAAAAGTTGACATGAGTTGACTTGAGATAGCCGTAAGGTGCTTTTATCTTCAATGCAGAAAACCTTCTGGGTTTTCACTAGTCTGGTTCAGGTTGCTCTTCAATGTAATGCTGAACTATCAAACTTGAGCAAACACGGCCCCCAGTACAGTTGGCTCGAGTACCACGGGCTTGGATATTAAGCGCAATGGAAGCCTGCTGGATTTTGCGTACCTGAGCTGGTAGATTCTGTTGGTCTAGCGCATCATCATGGTCGCCATCATGGCCAAAGGGATTCTCATCATCAGAGTCCGAACCAGTCTTCATTATGTCATCCATATGGTTCGTAAGTGGTAAATATCCACACATGCCAACCTGAAAAGGGCTAATTAGTATTGTAACTAGGTACCGGAGTTCCTTTTGCTTACTGTTGCAGCAAATGGGCTACCGTTCCATGTCAAAAGTGCTATCAAGGACGTTGCACAACCTTGGCTCAATCCCCACAAGACAATATTCCTGCCGATTTGCTCCGTTTCTCGTTGCAAAATCTCGTGTATGTATTTGCAGCTCTATTTGCTTTTAGTATTTTCTTCCCGGACCGAAATTCAAAGAGTAGGTGCCTTGTGTAGTCCGTCTACCATCAACTCCTGGCACTTAAACCGGGAGTCCATATGCCAGAAATCGAACCATTGATGAGTATAGGTTCGTTTATAGATTGTGGCTCGATTTTTGGATGCCGTGAGAAATATGAGCTTAGCGTGGGGGAAGGCATCTTGGAGTTTCTCTCCTGAAGTGGTGCAGCTTTCGAGAAGGGGAGGACCGAACTTCTCGGCTGTAGAACCGCGCCCATGTACTAGAAAGCATCAGCATATGGTTTCTCCTTAAGTCAAACGCTGGAAACAGCAAGTCAAAATCAAATTTCGAAATCAAAGTTGGCATACAGATAATAAAGGTATGACGGTGGTCCTCTTTTGGAGGAACAATTACCGGTGGTGGAAATTCGCCTGGTAGGTCTTTCACCGTTGAGCGTGAGAACAAGCATGTATATTCAGTTGGTCCGGTTTGGGAAGACATTGTTGCGTTTGTGAAAGTACAAAATCCATCTTAAGAAGCATACGGAAAACTTACATCGCAAGAATCGCTCTTTTTCTTTCCAACATATAATATTCGGGGTGTTGGAATTGTGTTGGTCTACCCCACCAAGTGTGGCGCAGGTGCAGGTGCAGGCGCAGGCGCACAACTTTCCTGCCGTCGTCAAGATGCTGCGACCTGGTGCAACCCTCACCCCTCAACCAGGCTCCACGATCCCACGCTATGCCTATGTAAATGTACAATTGCTGCTATGGGCATTCCTCGTCTGACCAAGATCTTGCGTCCCTACGCACTTTCAGGGCCTCTCGAGTACCAAGTCGTAGTCATAGACGGACCCGCTCTGAGCTTTCACATATATCATCTTTGCCTGAGCTCCCGAAGAGAGATCGCTCGGAATCAACTGGAGACCGGAATCACTCACAAGGAGCTGGGCGATGTGGCCATTCAATTTCTAGACAGTCTGCGTGACCATCGGGTTTTTGTGTGAGTGCATGCATATGATACCCCCTCTCCCCCACCTGCACCTTCTATGCCCCCTATGCTCTATGCTCTATGCTCTATGCTCTAACATGGGTGCAGCAGAGAAATTTACTTTGACGGTTGGCTCCCGCCCTCGAAATACGATACCAGAAGTGAAAGACTTATCAGACAAACAAAACAACTGAAATCATACCACGCCGGGTTTCCCATCACTCCATGTTGCTCCTCGTCTCCGTCATTGTCCCATCGAGCTCCCCACAATCTATTCGCTTCCCCCATCGTCCCAGAACGTCTTGCCAAGCTTCCCCCAGTTCCTTTTCTCGTACCAGCCATCTTAGAGTCTCTACTGGGCTCCGAATATAGCAACGTGACGAAAGTGGTTCCGGGCGAGGCAGATGAATACTGTGCTGCTTCTTTGAAAGAAAAAGGGGGTATTGCTTTGACAGGTGATTCCGACCTGCTCGTGCATGATATTGGGGAGGCTTCGATTGTTTTTTTCAAAGATATTGAGAAGGACTCTGGCGCCCTAAAGTGTCTGGTGTATTGCCCAGCGGACATTGCTGCCAGGCTGGAATTGCCCGCTCCCAATGGCTTGCTGTTGTTTGCGTTTGAATTGAAAGTGGATGTCCACGCATCGTTTCCTGAACTTCTCATCCGAGCAAGGACGTCCGAGTCAATCAAGAACAGATCCGAAGAGCTCGAGGAGTTTCGAAAGGAATACGCATACCGGCCAGGTCAAGGTGGCAGCGACGATGGACGATCGTCAAAAATTCTACGGAGCTTAGATCCACGAGTATCGGAATACGTCCTCCAGACCCCCCTTTTCGCTGAATTGGCAGGTCACACTCCGAACGGTAGCATGGGTTTAACACCACATATATTCCTCCCCTTTCTCTTCGGTTCTCCTATAAGGACAAGCCCGTGGGAGATGTCTCAAACAGTCCGGCAGCTAGCTTACGGGCTTCTAAACCTAGTTTTACCACAAGGACAGGTTGTCTCTAGTGTATATGAATATCGCAGACAAGAAACGAAATCGAATGGGAGAGAGCTGCAGCTCCCGGTTGATAGCGTTCCTGCGGCGTGTCAAACGCTTCTGACATTTCTCCAAAAGGTAAGTTCGAAGCTGCCTGAGTTGCCTGACTCCCAATTTTGGATAGCCGTATCTGTTTGTGAAGAAATCGAATGGTCTTATCAGCATTCAAAGCCTGCTCTAGGCCCGCTTGTGAGACATCAAGAAATTCTGGTACAAGACAAAACGCATAAGAACCTGAGTTGGGATATTCTACAGTTTTTTGCCCAGATTCAAAGCACGCATTACTCTTTCAGGATTCTTAAGCTTATGATTGCCTTGGTGGCTACAAGATCCGATAATCCATTGCCCCAGCCAGTCTTGCAGCTAAAGGAGAAATTGGATTCTTTCCCTCTATTGGCCGATTTCCCCGAAATTGACCAGACACTTCCCATCATCAAGATGATCAGGGATAAAGATATTGGAAGGGTTGCACACGAAATATTGGGAATTGAGGTGCCACAGATACCTGCTACACCGCAGGTCTCTCGTCGAGAAGCAAAGCGAAAGCGGAAAGCTGGGGGTGATTTATCAAAAGGAGGTAATCGATCAAATAATCCGTTCGCATTGCTGGATGCAGATTGAGATTCGTCAGTATACTTATGAGAGGTTGGCCCAAGTGAGACTTGGCCAATCAGGAACCACCTGACCTGACTCTATAAAGTTCATTTATGCGATCAACCATCAAATATTGCAAGATAACTATGCACTGTCTGTGAGTGATGTTTCTCTTATTTTCTCCATTCCATAGCGATTAAGTTCACCTGGACATTCTGGATATGCGAACCCCGTGGCCAATTGTTAGGTGCAGATACTCAGGGATACAGTGTTATTGATGCAAATCAGGGTGTTACTTTGTAGTCATCAGAAATAAAAATACCGCAAGTTGAGCGGTTTTTGCCTCTACAAAGTCCTCGCAGGTGTTTCTCAAGGAAAGCACGCTGCCTTCTATCCTCATTGTTTCTTCGTTCCTACTATTCTTGACTTTCATTGAAATACGGTACCTTTTACGCCGTTGGAGGCCCCACGAGTTCTTTCATGACACTAGACGCTCACATGTCGGTAAAACTCAATGACATTGACCATCCACAGCCAACAGCCCACCACTGTTGGTCTATTCAATATGTTTGATCAACTGACAGTATGCCAAGGGGAACTTTCCCACGAGTTCAAAAAGGGAGAGATTGCCGAGCCTGAAGAATATTGACTACTCTGTCTTACTAATACTGACGAAGGTAGAAGAGAGGCATACAGATAGAAAAGTATATTCCCTACAATTGGGTTGATACTAGAGGACTTGCTTGCTAACTGCACCGTAGTTCACCAAGTCGCTTGGACTTGGATTTTCCAAGACAAGCACGATTCCGCATCTCAAAATATCGATAGCCTTCTAACTTCTCTGATCCTACTGCCTCCCTTGCAGATATTTGATAAGGATGGTCACTTTCGGCTTTTGCATGGCGAAGCAAGCCCTTGATTGCGGCTCGGATCGACCTCCGGATGAGCGATTTATTTGACCTGCATGCTATTCTCACCTGCATATTATCCTCCGCAAAAGTACCAACCCATCCCTCTGAAGATCGGCAAACCCACCACCAAAACACACTAAGCTTAGAGTTCCGATTGGCTGCCTCTAGTCCATTCTCGGGGTTTCTCCGTTGCAAACCATATCATCTTGCTTCCCATAGGCGATGAATAATCTGGTCAAATCAGATATATGCCTCATGGAAACACCCCGCATTCGCTTCGAAAGCTTTGGGGGCTGTAAGTCGGTCTTACAGGCATCGCCATTTCGACGAAGCATTACATTGCATGTTATCTATTCGGTGTTGACGGACTCGATTCTCGTTGTTGAATTGTTAGTTTGAGGATTTCTTTCAAGTACTGACCGTGTCATATGTCGTGAGGGAAATGTCAGCGCTGGTGGAGGCGGTGTTGTTGCGTTCCGGTAGGTAACGTGCATGCGCTGCAGTATCAAGGTGAGGCTTGCGAGTGAATAGAGAGCGAAGTACAAGTAAATCTGGAAGCAAATGAGCCGGGCATAGCCACTCGTTACGTTGCTGTGCCGAGAGGAAGAGAGGAAGAATTGCGAGTGCAGGTGTTGACAGGATGCGTGGGTAGGCTTATAGGGTATTGCTGGAAGGCTACACTGTACTCGAGGACTGTCGGCCTACAGTATTCACTTGTGTCTAGTACTTGCGCCTAGTAAGAACAGAATGGCGCGGTGATGCGATATGGGAGGTTCCCCACGTGGGGAGATAAGGGGACCTCGCGACCAATGGCGATTATCTGATGCGCCATTGTCATTGCCATTGCAATTGCCATTGGACGCCAAACCCGCGTCCTGAATCGGTGTAACTCACTGTCTCTCATAGCAGCTGGTAGCAGCCTCCGAGCTCATCTCGCTCATATACCTTCCGCTCCTTCCATCACTTGAGTCTCAAGACTTCATTTGTACATCACGCACCCTTACGCTTTGCGCCGCTGGATATCAGCATCTCCTCTTTCGACTCCCTTGCACATCGAAAGGAATCTAGACGCCTTCACACTATCCACAAATTCTCGCGACATGGCAACATCAACCATCCAAATTGAGGACCCCATACATGCTACGAGATCAATCGCGAGTAGTACTGGCGTTGGTGGGGTTTATCCAATTAGAGCTATCTCGACGGACCGCCGTAGCCACCGGAGAAGTATCGACCAAGAGCACCAAAGAGAGGACGAGGACTCGGGATTACGTCGTGCGGGTGATTTCAAAAAGAAGCAGGTATGCGTGTATTTGTCTTCAGACAATCCAATCACCTTGAACCCTCATACACGTTTTGGAGGATTTGGAAGGACCAGAAATAACAAATCTGGATTCTTTCCACCCTTTGAAGGTGTTTCTGAATTTCTCTACACTGTTTCATTCTTCTTGTGTCTACATATTTTCGTTACCTCATACTCCAAGCCCTCAAAAAAAAGGCCTACTCATTTATATCGCCCTAATAGGTATTTTCCGGAAAATATTTGCTATGGTTAGCATATCAATCAATCGGAGTCATATACGGTGATATAGGTACCAGCCCTCTATATGTATTCTCGTCGACTTTCACCGAAGAGCCCTCTCACGAGGATTTGATTGGTGTCCTGTCTATCATCATTGTGAGTTCTTTTCATTTATTCATGGTGAAGCAAATAGTTGACCATTGAAAAGTGGTCTTTGACGATAATGGTGGCCATCAAATATACACTAATCATTTTACACGCGGACAATGATGGCGAGGGCGGAACATTTAGCACGTACTCTCTCTTGTCCAGATACGTAAGGTTTCTCCCAACAATTCTTGGGACAATACTAAAGATCTCCAAGGCCAATATCACGAAACGCGATCCCCGAGAAGCATCACTCATCAAAATGGAACGTCATCTGACAACTGACCTCTACAAAGCAAATCGTCAGGTTCGTTCCGGGATCGAAAACAGTCGTTTTGCGAAGGGACTTTTGAAGACCATCGGTGTTCTCGCAGTTTCCATGGTGATGTCTGATGGTGTATTGACACCAGCCCAGTCCGTCCTTGGAGCCGTGCAAGGGCTCCAGGTTGTCAAACCGGACATCTCGAAATCGGCAGTTGTGGGCGCTACCTGTGGGATCTTGGTTCTTCTCTTTTTGATACAACCTCTTGGTACTACGAAACTTGCGAGTGCGTTTGCACCTATTGTCATAGTTTGGCTGGGATTCAATGCCACGTTTGGGATTTACAACTTGGTCAAGTTTGATCACACGGTGCTGAAAGCTTTTAACCCTGGATATGCTTTTGGTAAGTCTCCTCTAATTCGTGACCGTCGTAAATCAGTTACTCATGGTCACAAGATCTATTCATTCGGCGCAAGACAACAGCGTGGAAAATGCTCGGTGGTATTCTCTTGGCATTCACAGGAGTCGAGGCTCTCTTTGCGGATCTGGGTGCTTTTAGTCGAAAAGCGATTCAGCTTTCCTGGTTTTGCTATGCTTTCCCATGTTTACTCTTGGCGTATATTGGTCAAGCTGCTTACATCAAAGATCATCCGGGTGCTTATACAAATCCATTCTACAATGCCGTTCCCCCTGGCATGCTTTATCCATCCCTGGTGGTCGCGATCTTGGCTGCTATTGTTGCTTCCCAAGCTATCATCACAGCAACATTTCAAGTAAGCCTTATTCGTGCCCTTCATCTGAAGATGGTTGCTGACACTTCTTGTAGCTTATGGCTCAAGTTATGAAGCTGTCTTATTTTCCTCAAATCAAAGTCGTTCATACCTCAAAGATCTTTCACGGTCAGCTGTATGTTCCATTGGTGAACTGGCTTCTTATGATTGGAAGTGTGGCAGCAGCTGGGATCGCAAACAATGTGGGTTTTACTCCCGACGTCTATCAAGTACAGAGCTCATCAATCATTCCAGACTACAACGCTTGGGAATGCTTACGGGTAAGTCGCACTTCCATCTTTTCGATGCTACCAACAAGTAGAGCTAACTGATCGTCTTCAACCCAGCGTCTGTGTCATGTTCGTAACCTTCTTCGACAGCTGCATGGTGGGACTCGCTGCCCTGATAGTGTGGCGTCGAAGTCCTTACCTAGTTTTCTTCCCTTGGCTAGTCATAGCCTGTCTCGACGGCCTATACCTCTCCTCCTCGCTTATCAAAGTACCCGAAGGAGCCTGGTTTACCCTTATTCTCTCCGCTGTTCTTACGGGAATTCTAATCCTTTGGCGTTTTGGTAAAGAGCAGCAATGGGATGCCGAAACCTCCGATCGTTTTCCCACTTCTCATCTCGTAAGAGCTAATGAGAATGGATATCTGAGATTGACAGATGCTTTCGGGGGTGAGACGCTGAGTACTATCAAGGGGTTGGGGATTTTCTTTGACAAAGCTGGGGAGACTACGCCCCTGGTTTTCAGTCAATTTCTGGGCAAATTGGTTGCTGCTCCAGACGTGATGGTTTTCTTTCACCTGCGGCCTCTTGAGACCCCTAGTGTGGCGCCCGACGAAAGATATAGTGTTTCGCGTCTTGCTATTCCTAATTGTTATCGGTGAGCTTTTCCCCTCATGCAATTTTTCTTGTCAAGGGTACCGCTTCATAGGCCCACGTGGTTTCGGCTACAGGAGAAAAGGGGTGGCTTCGCTTAAACAGCAAAGGATATATTCACAGCCCAATTTTTCTGAGGACAAGCTTACTAATCATGTTCTCTCTAGTCTAATAGTACGCCATGGTTATATGGACGAAGTCATAACACCTGATTTAGCATCCCTAATTTGCACCCAACTCCGGTCCTTCATTCTCAAATCCTCTCTCCCAAATCCAGATCGACCCATTTCATTCGAACCTTCTGTTACACCCCCTTCCGCTACATCTGACACCCTCTCTGAGAAATTAGACAAATCCGAGCAGGACAAAAAAGACCAGAAAATCTCACAGGACCTCAAAATGCTGGAGCAAGCCTATGATCAGAGAGTTCTGTATATCATTGGCAAGGAACAAATGAAAATCAGACATGGAAGTGGGTGGTGGAGACGTGGAACTCTTAGTGCCTTCTTGTGGATGAGGGAAAATACTAGAAGCAAAATTGCAAATTTGAGGGTGGAGACCGAGAGAGTTGTTGAGGTGGGGTTTGTCAAGGAGGTCTGAGTTTTCGGCGTGTCTTGCGTTAGATTTGGTGGAATTTGTGGGTTTGTGAGAATCAGAACCTGGGTTGTTTATCCTTTGCTGTGGTGGGGTGGGAGCCAGTGAGGGGAGTGACCATGAATGGGGACGAGGACGGCTGGTGAAATGAACGGTTACGTGGTTAGAGCGGGTTTATGTTATACCCCTTTTTTCGCTTAGATGCGATAAATGGACTTCGAGGAGATTAAGACCCAGTTTTCCTAGAAGTGCAATTCGTACATCCTGTCCATGATGGCATCCTTTAGGCATACTGACAAGTAGACCAATGGAGTGGCATTAGAGGATTCTGTCATAACTCCACAAAGCCCGCAGTCACATGTCTGGAGGCTTCTTTGATTCAATGTTCCTAAGCACCGGCTAGCTCATCGTGGCAGCCACGTGCCTGAGTTTGAATCGGCCTACCATAGTCGGGTGGTCAAACCGGAACTTACAAAGTACTCTTTAGTCTGATGAGCTAACGGGGTGTTCCCTTACTCGGTGGATAGACAAATCGACACTCTATATCCAAACATTTTAGTTCCACCGTAACAGGAGGTATCTACCAATAAAACACAAAGTTAAACACGGAAGGCCGTTTTCGGCAGACATACAGTAGGAGATAAATAAGATAAGTTACAGTACATATGAGGCAAGATCCTCCGATCTTCAACATTGAAAGCTCAAGATCGAAATGGCAAACCTAATCTTACCAGGCCACGCGAGCGCGAGATGGATTATATATACTTCAAAGTACCTCGAGAAACTGCACCCACTCTCGGTCTTATGTGGGATCAAGTGAAAACAACGTTGTTGAGATCTCATCTACAAGTAACTAAAGTACAATAAGTATATTTTTGGGGGGCCAGGGGCTGTGAGAACCCAAAAGAATTCCCTAGCCGTCAAACTCACACGCTTGAGTTATTTCGCTTGATGCTGGAGGAGGCTGGACGGTACTGTACTAGACTAAATCAAACCAACCCGGTGGTGGCCACACTGACGATCCGCCATGTGCTTTGACAGCGCCAGTCCATGATGTCGGGAACCACAGACCAATCGTTTGGACGAATCTTTCAAGGTCTCGCGATCGAAGCTTAATTTGGGAAGGAAGGATGTCGCTCGCTAAAATGACGTAATATGTATGTATAATACATTGGTTTTGGGGGTCTTTTGCTTTGGAGGGACGGTATGATGTTTTTGTGTGGAAAAAGGGTTCATTCCGCGAGGAATAATGTTCTCGGTACTTTTCTTAGGTCTTTTCTGAGAGTTTTTGGGCCATGTGGTTTATGAGATGACGTCTGCGTGTCCCTCGTGGGTTCGATAGTTATTCTCTATGACTGGTTTTGCTTTTTGTAAACTGACACAGTGGAATTTTCTAGACGAAGGCGGTGGCACCGCTGACGGTCGTTGACAGCATTTGTTTGTCTCTACAGAGCCAACTGGGGATTTCTTGATACGCGCAGACCTAGCCAGCAGTCCGAAGTTTCTGGGGTAACTAGATTTATTTCCGAAGGTTCTATTTTTCTCAAGGTAAGGGCAAGTCAGAGGCTGAAGTTTGCTGTCGGCTATTTGGGAGAGACCTTGAGAGCCACATCCTGTTCCTGACTCCTGAGATTTCGGCAATCTGGTTACGTTGCGCGTAAGCGTGAGCGGCTTGGGGTCTTGGAAGAGGGAAAAAGCATGTGCTATAGTATGCCACAGTACATAATGCAGCTGCAAGTGCAAGAAAATTCTCAGGCAGAGAGTGTTACTTCATTGGCCTGCAGTTCATGAGGGCCTCAAAAGCAACTTGAAGTGGAGTATGCTCATTTCCTAGGACTTCTCTAGTTACGAATTTCGACTAGCGTGTGGGTGAAGGCATCCACCTCTTATTATCAACATCCCAATAAGTGTAAGGACTACTCCGCATTGTCCGTAGATTGGCAAGCCATAGCCAGCCACACATATGGCTCATAGGCTATGGCATATCTGGATACAAGTACTTACTGCAGTGCCTCACAGTAGTAAGGGCTGAAGCGTAATAACACCCTTTCTCGGTACTGGTATTGGTACTGCTACTGGTACTATCCTTCCGTAATCATTTCTTTTTCCATTTACTCCTTCCGTATTCCGTACGTGTATTCTGCCCAATCTACAAAGTAATTGTAAGAAGGGCAAAGCCAATGGAATGTTTGCAGATCAGTCATTGCATCCGCATCCCCATCCCCATCCCCATCCTGGGCTACACTCTACGGAGTACAGTGGGTTTTAGTGCCACCTTTCACATATACTCGAGTATCGTGGTGAAAATCCAGTGACGTCCGGAAAATTGGGTGCGCCCCACCAAGGATCGCCACGCCCCATCTCACCACTGTGATCCACTGCCATTCCCACCCCACCCCATGCCAACCCCATACCCTTGCACATCAAAACACCCCTCACTGCCTCAGTGCAGTGCCTCTGCATGAGTGCCTTATTGCCTCAGTCCTCACTCTGTCAGTACTCAGTCCTCCGTCCCCAGTGGTTCACACGATAAGTACGAGTACTCCAAAACAAACATCTTCGACTTCCCGCCCTCTCACTCTCACTCGCACTCTTGATTCCGCTCACCCTTCCCCCCCCCATTCGTTCGGATGTCAGATTCACAGACTTCATGACAATGCCACCTGCGCAGGTTCTGCATCTCCCTGTCAGAGATCCTTCGCTGGTGGACCTGATGACGAAGGCCCCTGAAGCAAAGGCCGCCAAAATCGAATCCAAATCCAAGCCCAAGTCCAGATCCAGATGCAGATCCGGGCATATCGAGTACAATGACCGCGAGTACATTCGCGAGGTTCTGCAGCTGGGAGATAACCAGACTGAGAGCTTGGCCCATGCCATTCTCATGCTCGAGGCAGAGGCCCTTGGAATCACCATATCGAGACCAGTATCAATGAGCAGCGAGGGACATATAAGAACCGACTCGGCCGACTCTCAAAAGACGCAGTCGACCGGCGTAACGTCCATATTCTCTCGTGGGTCTGCCGATGTTACCCCAGGCACAAGCACAGGCATATTGCACGATCAAAGACCCTCGTCGAGAAGGAGCCTATCCTTTTCGGAATATGGCAAGTATTTAGAGCAAACCGGGGAGACGGTTATTACCCACAATTCATCCGTGTCGATCGTGTCTTCGGACGATCGAGAAGGCTCTCTATTCTCCGTGTCGACCAGGAAATCCTATATCAGTATCAAGAATGGCCTCAAAAAGAGCAGTCGAACCCTGTTTCGATTGCGGAGGGGTAGTGCATGCTCCCAATTCAGCAAGTGAGTGAAGTTTACTAAACAAGTCAAAAGACCATTGGCCAACTGAATCTTTAGTTCTTGCGTCTGCTGCCGAGAAGATTTTGATGCGAACAAGATGCTGAATAGCCTGCCCTGTCTGCACAGGTATTGCGATGAATGTCTACGGGTTTTATTAACACAATCCATGAACGACGAGTCCAAAATGCCTCCAAGGTGCTGCACGCTGGCCATCCCCGGAAATACGATAAAATCGGTTTTAACGAGGGATGACCAACGTTTGTTCATCAAGAGCGTGGTACAGTTCAGCACACCCTGGGAGTCACGAATATACTGTCCGAATGCTGCGTGCGGGGAATTTATACCAAATCGGGCGAAAATTGACCCTAAATATCCCTTCGAACTGGCGTGTCCCAAATGCCTGGAACGGGTTTGTTCGACATGCAAGCGTGCTACTCATGGCTTTGGCCAAGACTGCCCGGCCGACTGGGAGTTAGAGATGGTACTAAATATGGGGGAGAAGTTCGGATGGAAGCGATGCTACAAATGTAGAAATTTGGTCGAGTTGTCACAGGGCTGCAGCCATATTACTTGTCGCTGCAAAGCCCAATTTTGCTACATATGTGGGGCCGTCTGGGACCAAGTTGTGGGATGTCCAAACTACTGCAATGGCGAAGAGGAATTGGAACGTCGCAGGTTGGAGGAGGAGGCTCGTTTAGAATTGCTGAAAAAGGAAAAGGCTGAGAGAGAGGAAGAAGAAAGAATTGAAGCTGCGGAAAGAGCTGCTGCGGAGAAGAGATCAATGGCGTCCACGGAACTCAATGCGCTCAGAACCCGACAGATCAATGAACGAGATCGATTCACTCTGTTTGAGAGGAAAATGAAGTTCATCATGTGGACACGACATTCCAAGTCAAAACTAGCCATCTTAGGCCGCTATGGCGAGATGTTTTCCAAGATGAAGGAGCGACATGCAAAGACGTCAGCACATTTAGAAGATCTTCAGGTAGCAGCTGAAATGGAGTTGCGCTCCACCCATAAGCAAGCCGAAAGAAGTGTAAGAATACGGCTGAGGCATATGGAAGCTTACTGCGAGGGCATTGGGCGAACAGAGAGTGGTTCGAACCCGGCAAGGGTTGTTACCGAAAGAGATCTTCGCGAACTTGGGCAGCAGTACAACGTGCGCGATGACCTGGAACGTCTTCACCAAAGCAAGATCAATGTTATGCGAGACAAGCAAGCCAAACAAATGGAGCAGCTCGTGGCCCGCCAGGAAGAAGAGCTTCACAGGTTAGGCAAGAAACAGGATCGAGAACTGGAGATATTGGCGGAAAGTTTTACAAATGAGGAGGATGAATTCTACAATCTCTTCCAAGCCCGACGAGACAAACTGAGGCTAAGATGGGATCTATCAGAAGAGATCATGAGAAAGAAATTGGAAGCTCAGAACAAAGTCAAGTATGGACCAATGCCTCCAATTCAATGGCCACAACCAGCTCCGGTAGATGAAAAACTGGAGTCTGTTGTTGAGGAGGCGATGTACGGATCGAATCTATTAGCATCAAAGATAACTACGATTGACTTCAATTAGCACAGTCAAGAATATACGATTAATAACATGGGGGTAGACGCGGCGACGTCATATTTCTTTAGATGTTACAAATGATGAGTCTCACGACAAACGACATTTTCCACTCTCTTTTTCTTCCTTTCTCTCTCTTCTCCTCGTGTATGGAGCTCGAGACGGCGCTACTTTGGTATTTCATTATAGGACAAGTCCGAATACTTTATATCGGCTTGCTTGGGTGGGATGGGCAATTTTGGGATTGGCTAGGGGCGAGTGGGGTTTTTTTTGCTGCCTAAGTTGATACGATATACCCTTTATCTTCTTGAATTTTTTCATTTAAGTAAGGGAATGGGATACGGGATATATATGCGGGAGGGTGGAGTGGAATATCGTTATCTCGTACCTACGGACTTTATGTAGTAATCTTTCATAAGATTGTATTCAGTGAGCAGGTCAGCCTAACGCCTTTTTGAAATGAAGCTTTTTTGTTTTATGGGCCGACATTATGTGCCTTATCTGATTTCAGCTTCCCCTCATGTCCTTGACAAAGCCATTGTTCTCAGCCAAAGCCTTATAGCGCTCGGCGCGACCTCCGTTCTCTTGCGAGGCACCGTTTTCTGTTAGCACAGTGCTGTTTTAACAACTCTTGGAACAGAGGGCGTTTAACAGAAACGTATTTGTATTTTTTATAGAACTTGAGCGTCCCTAGAGTCCAAGCCTTAATTCTATTGTCTACTGATTACAGGTTATTTACCTCTCTATATCTATTAGTAATCAACTAACTCTTGTGTTTTTTGTTTTTTTTGTTTTTTTTTTCTCAGGAAATGAGGTCTATTATATGCTATTTAGTTATAGTGGATAGTTAAATAACATCTATTCTAAAGGCACTTGTTAGTATTAGTATTAGTTTTCGTCTTAGTTTTAGCAAATAGTATTTGAGAAATGCTGTTTAGTTTAACATCTGTATTACATGTACTTATGAAATATTAGTTGAATTTAATACTATTCTTACGAAGAGTCGCTATTTCCGGAAGTTTGTAGTAATGTTCTAAAATCCGTCCTTTCTGGGACTTAATTCGCGAGAAGACTATACTAGTACAAAACGGTAATTTAATGGATGAAGTCTGTATACAGAATGACGAATTTTATGTTTGTTTTATATGTTTGGATTATTTACGGTTGCCATTAGTTGGTTAAAGCTTAGTGGGCAAAAGCATTTCTTAGGAGCTGACTGCCTAAGAATGACGGCATATTTCAGCAACATTGTCTATCACGATATAATTTGAGTCAAGTACTAATAATCTCAGTTCCCATCTCTCCGCCTCCTCCAACAATCCGACACCACTTGGATTTATAGTTGGTTGGATATCCACAAAGATATCGCAGCCCCCAAAACTTGTCTATCCCTCCCCACATGCTCCGCAACCGGCATTTGCACATAAGAAGCATACAATGCGTCAACAACATCTCGGACTTCGGGAGTATATACGAGATATCGGTTTTTGTTTTGTTGCCACTGTTTTGGTGAGGAGAAGTTAGTACATATAATGTATGATCTATTTAGTAGAAATCGTGCAAGCTGGCTGGAAAAGAGTCAGAGGATGACGTACATTGAATCTTTCCGTTAACAAAGCAGCAGGTTTCTTCTCGGCCTTAGCAATAAAGAAATCCACGGTTTCATCCATTACTGCTGAGCAAACGAGAGTATTCTCATCAATTTTTTCAAAGACATCTGGATCGTCTAGAACGGTGATGTTGATATCAGGAAGCGAGGAGAAATACTTCTTTTCAGCCGAGGAACTCAACAGAGATTGTGCGTAGATAGGGAGGGGCTTATAGGGTTCTATAATCACGATAATTTACTCATTCCGAGGACTCACAAGGAGGGCAAGAGAGAAGGGAATTTCATACCACCCAAAATCTCACAACACCTCAGCGCCCGCAAGTAGTGAAACGGAGCCGTCTCCTCAGGAACATTGTCATATTCTTGATGTCTTCCCCAACTCTTTCCATCTTTAGGCCATACCGTATTCAAACTTCCAGCTCCAATAAGAACCACTTTCTCAATCTTCTTCTCCTTCAACCTCAGTTTCAACATCAGCAATTCCTCCGTAGGACGTTCGTATTCTCTTGTCTGTTCAAATTTCTCCTTCGCCTCTCTCAATATCCTCGAAAAATCCTCTGGAGCCACCGTTCCACGCCGAAGAAGGTGAAAATCGACATATGTTTTCGATGTAAGTACATTATGCTGATCTCTGAGTAGATTTCGTCTCGGCACCATTCTAAGCATCACGATCGTCAGCCCTTGGTAAAATGTTTGGTTTTCTTAGGCCTACGGAGTCTTGGCTCACTCCATATTTCCATGACCAGGCTCCCTAGCTTTTGTAAGCTCCGTAGGAGTCTATGGAGGGGTAAGGCCAGGGAAGAATTGTGGCCAACTCTCAAGCCGTACTCTGTATGACCAGTAACTAAAGGCACGTTCATCACGAAGGACTTGGCCATTCTGCGTGATAACGATATGGTCGTTTTCGTGGTTGTAAGTTGCGATATAACCCATTGTGTATTGCGTAAGTAGGATGTAGTGGTCGTGAGGTGATCGGGACCCTCTAAAGTCTATTTCTCGTGTTTTCGATTCTCGTAGTTTTGGATATAGAGGTAGTAGTAGCAGATATTTGAATAAAGAAAAGCCTTCTATTTCCGGGTTTGAAGCTTGTGAGATCTTCTTTGTTGGGTTAGAAAACTGCTTTGTACTATCGGTACAAAGTAATAAGGTCTGTAAGCTCCATTATTTTAGCGATATTCTAAAACAATCGTAAGTGTAATAGCTAGTACGTTCTTCTCTACGCTATTACTAAAGGTCGGCGGAAGTAAATATAAGAAAGATAAGCGTTATTCTATACTAGTTTTAGTTTATACTAATATAGGTTTACTATAACGCTAGTTTATAGTATAAAACGTATTTAAAATTAAAGATATATTTATTATTATTATTTAGTAAATTATAGAATTGTACTTTAGTTTAATTACCTCTTTTAACTTAACTATAAGCTATACTATAAGATATTACTAATCCTCTAGTTATATCTTACTTAAGAACTAGGCTCTAGAGCGCTTAGCTAGAGGTATATAGTACTTAATAAGTATAGTATATATACTAAATAGCTAGTAAGTAAACTTAAAGAACCTCTAGAGCCTAAAACTATCCTAGAACCTTACTAAGTAAGAGACTATAACGGATTATATAGGTAAAAAACTAAATAACTAAATAGGTAATACTAAATATAAAGAACCATATAATTTATATTAGAGATAATAAGTAGAGAAAAGAAGAGTTTAAAAGTATAAAAGATATAAGGAGTTAAAGTAGAAGGTAAAGCCTTCTTATATACACTTTTTATATAGTACTTAGACCTCTATTTATTTCTATTTAATTACTATACTTAAGTTCTTACCTATAAAATAAGCTTTTTTAAAATATCTTTTATATTTAGTAGAAACTAGGCTTTAGAATACTTAGCTAGAGGTATATAGTACTTAGTAAGTATAGTATATATACTAAATATCTAGTAAGTAAACTTAAAGAACCTCTAAACTAGGTGAATACTAGGGTTCCTTTATATACTAAAAGAAATAAAATATAAAAATAAAACTAAAGAAAATAAAAGAAAGAAATAAAAATTCCTACAATTAAGAAAGGCCTAGACTCTTTACTAGTATTCCTTACTATTATAGTCCTCTATTATAATGTTCTTAATCTCTTAAGGGAGTTAGTAGATCTAGAGAGTCTATTATAGCTCCTTGTCGCTAGCGGGGTAGAAATCCTAGGTAGCTTATTTAAATTAACGCTAAGTTCTCTAGAATACTTATAAGTTATATACCTAGGTTCCTAGAAGGCCTTATAAGAGAACTCTAAGTCGGGGCTAGTACCCTAGAAGAGTACTTATACTATAGTAAGCGTATTCTCGGGGGTACTAGTAAGGTTTACCCTTATATAAATAAAAGCGTTTAGTATATTTATAGTTTTATTAATAGAGGATTTAGAGAATAAGAATAAAGATAATAGAGATTTATTTAAGTACCTTATATATTTCTCCTAGGTAAATAATATATTCTAGGTAGTAGTTTAAATAGCTTTAAAAGTAATTATATTAGAGAGAAAGGTAAAGGTATTTATAGACTATTCTACTAAAAAGGTATAAAATAAGCTATCTAGTAAACTTATAGTAAATAGTACTAGTAATACTAAGAACGTAGGTATAGGTATTATTACTAGTTAAATAAAGGTAATATTTTTAGTTACTGTAACTATTAAAGATACTTAACTTATAAAAATAAAGAAGTATATCTCTAGATTATAAGTATATTTATATTAATTAAGTAGAAATAGTATAATAGTTCTACTTAAAGGAATATATAAGTTCTAAAAATATCCTAGATCTTATCAAAGTTCGAGATATACTTAGGAACTATAATAAGCTATAAAGTAATATAAAGCCTAATAATATTAAAGTCTATTATAATAAGAAGGAAGAAGTAAGTCTAGTTAAGGGGGTAAGTATAATAGTAGTAAAAGGAAAAGGCTAGAGTAAACCTAAGAACTTCTAATATTAGTAGTAGTATAAGGAAAAGTAATATAGAACTTAGAGAAGAAAAGGTAATATAAAGAAAAGATATAATAGAATATAAGACTTAGGTTAACTTTATAGAAAGGGAGTAAGAGAACTTGTAAATAGTAAGCCTCTACTACTAGCTAGTATATAACTTATTTACTTTTACTTTATATTTACTACTTATATAAAATAAATATTTTTTATGTATACTATTATTTTAATTTATTATATAGTACTATATATAATAAGCTCCCTAGTTAAACTAGAGCGTTCGGGAATAAAGTAAATAATTTATTTAGAATAAAATACTATTTATATAAAAGTATCTAGGGCTATAATAGTAGTATCTTTTAAAGGTATTTAATCTTTATTAGTTTAACTTCTTGATAACCTAGTTAGATAGTCTACTATAGAAGCTATAAAGCTTATAGTAATTTATATTAAGGTTAGCTTTATATAAATTATAATAGAGCTAGGTATTAAGTCTACTCTTAGTCTAGAGATTACTTCCCTATAAAAATAAAGGGGTATTTAAGTTTTATAAATCGTTAGTCAATAAGGCTATTATTACTTTAACTAGATATAAGAGAGAGTTATTAGTAGTAGTTATAATTATAACCTCTTAGTACTTAGTATTTATTTTATTTCTTTTTAGAAGAAAGGTTATATAGTTTTTTATTTATAAGAATCTAATAACTTATAGTATTAAGTAATATAAACCTTTTATATTAAGTTCTTATTCTATTATTATTTCTTTTTATAGTAAATTTTACTTATTCGAAGGAACCTTACTTATACTAGAATATAGTATATTCTTATATTAAAGTGAATCTTTAATAAAAGGGGTTATTTATAAATAATACTAAGGATTATATAAGTAATAAGTTGTTAGGTTCGTTTATATATAACTAAGCATAACTTTATATTTTCTTTGATTAATTCTTCGAGTTATTAAGCTATTAAATACCTTTATAGACTATTCTATATCTATATACTAAAATCGAAGGTGTTACGGAGTTGGAGGAACCAATTCCTCCAACTCCGTAACAGAAGGCCTAAGAGATTACTAGTAACTATATTAGTACTAGGAGTATAGTAGCTAGAATAATTAGTTATTTAAAATATAACCTAGGTATAAACTTTATAAGAAAGAGGTTCTAAGATAAGCTATAGTCTAGGTAGCTAGTTACCTAGCTAATAGAAGAGCTATACTCTTCTTTAATAGAGAGCTAGCTAAGAAATAATACTTATACTAAGGAGTACTCTAGGGCTTAATTCTATTCTCTATTTTGTTTATACTACTTACCTTTATACTTTACTAGGATCTATAAAAAGTTAAGAGACTAGTTATAGTAGAATTCTTAAATAATGTAAACCTACATATTATATTAATAAGTATAATAGAAAACGTTTAAATTCTTAAGAGTAAGTAGAGAATATATAAGAAGTAGGTAAATAAAAGAGAAATAGCCTTTAGTTTTAAAAAGAGTAGACTTATATACTTTACTAAAACTAAAGTACTATAGTTAAAAACTATAATATTTAGTAATATAGTACTATTAGTACGAGAGATACTTATAAATAAGGGTTAAAAATAGTAGTAATAAAAGTATATAAAAGTTAGTATATTAGTTAATTAATTAATTTAGAAAGAACGAGTACTAGCTATAAGTACTTATATATACGAAGCTTTCCGATATTTATATAATAAAAGTAGTAGATATATTATAATAGTAGGAGTACTTTATAAAGTAGTTAAAATAGCCGAAAAATAGTATAATAAAGTACGAAATAACTTTATATATAAGTTAACTTAACTATAAAAACAATAATAAAATAATAATAAAATAGTATGGTCTTTAATCCTATTCTACTTATCTAACTCTATAAATCTCGATATAGTTTATATCAATTAGTCGTTTTAAGGCGCTATTTAACTTTAATTTAGTTATTAAATTAGCTAGATTATCCTTCCTTTCTATTAAGAAGATATTATTAAAATCTCTTATTTCGAATACGTTATATAGGTATATTACGTTAATTATTAGCCTCTTCTCTTTAGTAGTTCCTAATTTAGTAATAGAATCGAATATGGATTTTAGATTAGTATATATTTTAAGTAGAATATAATAACTAAGGTATTATATTAAGGTAGTTTCAACGTATATAGCTATATTATATCCCTAGCTTAAAGCGTATAGTTCCGATACTAGAACGCTTTAGGTAACTCTCTTATACTTTAACGAATTCTAGTATAAAATATTAGTATATCTAGTACTATCTATTGGTACTAGTACTAAACTAAGCTAGGACGTTATATCCGAGTTATTTATAAAGGATCTATCTATAAAGTAGACTAATTTTAGGGTACTAGGTTATAAAGACATAAACTTTAACCCTTAGTCTTCATAATTAATTTACTACTATAATTACTTATTAAGTCAATCTACGTCTCTATTATCCGGTTTTATAATCTATATAGCGAAAGATAAATCGTATACCGCTTTAGGTCAGTATACGCTTAATATATAGGTACTAAGGGCTCGAAGCGCCTTATAATCCTAGGTTATTATAAGCCTTAATTAATCTTTTACTCTATTCTTTTATATAAGAGTAATCGATCTATCTTATTAGAGCGTAATATAGCTTATATTAAAGTCTATAGGTTATTATATTATAA